ACCTTAGTACATAGGGCACTGATCGTAATCTAATCTAAACGTAATCTGAACGTGCCCGTAATCTAAACTGCACGCTGAACTGGAAAAACTTAAAACGATCTTTTTGGACAACGGCTATACAAAATGTCATTTTATCGTATACTAAGGAGAAGATCGCTTTTCGGCTGTTCAAAAGTTTGGTCCGCAAAAGTGCCCAGTTTATTTGAAACTACCATGGATTGGTAACACTTCCTTGCGATTCGAGAGTCAGATTAGGCAAGCCATCACAAAATGTTTTTTGCTGTCTATCCTCGTATTGTATACAGCACTAGGAGACCCCTTCCCTTCCATCCATTCAAAAAGGATTGCGTTCCTACCAACCAAAAAAGTTCCGTTATCTATGAATTTGCGTGTATGTGTGATTCTGGCTACGTAGGAATTTTCAGATAAAACAATAGGATTTTCACAAAATGTGTACGATATTTTCTTGGGGTGATTTGCTTCTCGGTCTTGTAGGTCTAGAAACACTGTTAAACTGTTAAAACAAGTGATTCTGCCATCGGTCAACATCTTTTAGACAACCCAGATTGTGCCAAACTCTATAATGACAACATGTTTCGGATAATTGGCAGAGCCCGGTCGTCTTTGCCATCTAGCAGTTTTGGAATCAATCCTTATACAAACGAAAAAGCCGCCATTGTGTAAACAGAAGGACTTCGTTTGCTCTCCTGGCCCCCCTTGTTTAATCTTCTTTAGGCACGCAGCACTGATTGGTCAACTATACCGGTCTTGTGCTTGCGTTTTTCTGATTGGCCTATTTTGATCCACAACTGGGTATATATTTTTCATCTTGTTTTTTTGGACCCTTATTCTGACGTTTTTTGCTCTGAGGAGTGTCAGACGAAAAAGCTTTTAGCCAATATGATATAAAGCACTTAAATTTGACTGTGCCTTCTTAGATTGCTATTTCCATTCAATTTTGTAATAAGGCTCTTCAAACCATTTTGTGGATTAAGGGGCTAGGGGTGTTAATTAACCTTGAATGCTCAAAATTCTATACCTCAGCTTCAACCATAATTTTTTAAGAGCAAAACTGTTTGCCCAAAAGGCTGGAGAAAGAATGAGAGCGGTGGTCCACAAACGCTTTGATACAAAGCCATAGATGCTATTGTTCTTCGGGGGCTGGAGCCCCCCTCCCAAAAATTGTAAAAATCCTTTGCTTCCAATGAGCAATCTCTTTTGTTTCTGTTGTCCTCAAACAATGGGGCCCTCCCAAAAGTTTTATTCTTCCTACGGCACTGATTGATTCGTCGGTCTGTGCACCAATACAATCGCTGCTATATAAGATATTAATTTCTCTAATCCCCCTTTAGGGAAATATCCGCTAAACATACCTGTAGTCACAACATATTCAACCAAAGGCCAGAAATTTCTCTACTTACGCTGATACCACCGCCTGCTTAAGATCACATACTGTAAAGATATCAGCTTTCTACATTCTTCGTAAACACCGGTGCCTCTTTGTGACACCTGTTTTCTTTCATAGGTATAATATATAGCACAGTACACTGGCAAAATACTGTGGGAAAAACGCACAACAGCTTACCCTGAAAATCAGTCTAGTATCCTTCCCCTCCCCCACCTCCCCTATTTGCTATATTCTATGATTCAACACCTAAAGAAAGCTGCAAAATTTGTCTCAGGAACCTGAACATTTTTTTAGAATAAAAAAACTGAACTACTAATAATGTTTTCCATTTCATGTGCAAAAATTTACCAACAATATTGGAAATTTAGGAAAAAACTTCACAATTTCTGGCAGGAATTTTAAAGGAACACGATAACTGACATATCAAGCTAAGCATTATAATGGCTTTGAAAAAGCAAACATTCGAGTAAACTAAAGCTTTTCGTCTGACACTCTTCAGAGTTTAAAACGTCAGAACATAGATCGAAAACTCTTCGCTAGGAAATATATATACTCAGTTGTGGATCGAAAAAGGCCAATCAGAAAAGCGAGCACATAACTGTTGAGGTTGACCAATCAGTGCCGCTTACCGATTAAGAATGTTACCTATGGAGTCCTAAGGTGAAAACTAACTCCTTTTGTCTACACAATAGCGGTTTTTCGTACTTATGTAGATAGATTCCAAAACTGCTAGATGGAACGACGATCGGGTTTCCCAATAACCCGAAACATGTCACCATTATAATTTTTTGCACAATCTGGGATTTCCAGTAAATGCTGCCCGATAGCAAATCGCAGGTTTTAGTTGTACTTTTAGATCTGCAAGACCGAGGTGGCTGTTCTCTTTGGGGACGAGTTTTGCTTCTAATATTAGACGGAACATGTTGTTTATTCTATCCTCCAATCTTTGGGTACCTCTGGGCAGTGGTTTTTGAGAAGCTCAATACGGTTATTTTAAACCGCAGATAAATTTAGCAATTTGTGGCCTCTGACATTATATCAGTACTAAAAATTAGAGCGCAAAGAGGATAAGAATTATGATTCCCAGCACAACAATTTTATGTTTGCATAGTTGTTAAACTGAATTTGGTGTTGTTGCTGCGTAGTATAACATATTAGCCTTGGCAGTAGCTCCTATTGTTCTTAGGGCACACGAACCACCCCCTCCCTAAAAAGCATAATTCTTTCTTTCTTCATTCCCAAATAAAATTTTGCCTCCCTGTTTTGATAGTTTTTGGTATTAATTCTGGGACAAAGGAGCATATTTTGGAGTGAGGGGGAGGCGCTATTGTTTGCTACATCTTTGATACCGCAACCTTGATATCATACTTCTAGAAAAAGTAGGATGGGGGCTTTTGCCTGTATTTGCAAGGTAGCCCCTGTCCAAATTATTATATCTAAACCATTATGCACATATATAACTTAATAGTCTCAAATTAAAAAGAGGTACAAGGGCTCCAATGCAAGTTTGAAAGTGGGGGGGGGGCATGAACAGTTTTAAGACTCATAAGAAATGATTTGGCAACAAGCTGTGCCAAAGGTAGGTCGCATATAACGCTTATGTGTTTTGTCCACAAAATAATTGTCTTGGAAGAGGACCAATTCTTTTTTATAAGCTTGATGTTATCCACATTGCTGCAAAGGTATAGTTTTTAGAATTTTAAATGTTGGAGTGCTTTTATCTTCCTCAACCAATCATAAAGAAGTAAGAGGTCTTTTGGAGAGTTGTCATTTTTAATGATAATGGCAAGTACAGGGGTGGAAGGATTTTGCAGAGGCACGGGTAAATATTATTACCCTATTCATAAAATCCAATGATATTTTGAAACCCCACTTTGAAATAATGAAAAATTGTAGTACTTCAATATTATTTCTACTCGCGTCATACATCCAATTCTTTCTGTTTCGTTATATCAGAATTTTGTATCAGCTTAAATGTAGTTTAGTGAAATCTGTCAGGCTGGTTGAAATCATTATACATCTTTTGAAAATAACTTGTTTATACAATAACAGCTGACTGCAGAAAACTTTAAGTTATTCTATTAAGGCATGGTGATGATCCATGTTTTTTCTCCAATTTCCATTAATTAATGTTTTAGTGCACCTAGTAAGTTTCTCATTTTGTAATCAATGCCCTTTAGAAAAATTGCCTTGTTGTCGAGAAAAATATCACTACACAATAATAATAATTGTTTTATGCAAAATATATAAATTATACCTCGGTGGAGATCTTCCAAAAAAATTGATACCCCATCAGGATTAGTGGACAAATTATGAAACCCCAATAAAAAATTCATATCTCTCCAAAAGTTCTTCCATTCCAGTACCCAGCATTAAAAAATGAAAACTTTCATAGCGAATTTCTTTTGGTGGGGGTGGGTATGGAAAATGATCTTTTGACGCAACTGGGTGAAAAATAATAACATTAAAATAAGCTAATATGCACCTTTGATCATAATTGCTCACGATCTGAACTATGAAATAAGTATGTAGCAAATGAATTAAAACATAGCCTAGCAAGACAACACAAAAGAACAGTTAACGGATATCATTAAAATAGCTTTTCGAAACTATTTTGTGCAAAAGAGTACTTACTAGTAACGATTCGCTGAGTATTTAGTGAAGAAACCTTAAAACCTAGTGGGAGCAGGCACCGCGGAGCAGGGGGGCTGGGGGGCTGGGGGCTTTAGCCACTTTTTGCAGAAATGCCAAATATTAAGTATCAAACTACCAGAAAAGCCTCTTTTATACGGTTCTGGAAAGAAAAGTTTTTTGCAGCAACATATTGAGTAAGACAGACAAATAATTCTTTAGAAGAATGAGTCTATGAAAGCTAGCGTCTAGAAGAAGTTCTTTAGGTCCTTACTTACCGACCCTTTCAAGTTATTTCAAATTAAGATACCAAGACTAAAAGGAAATACAAAAAGCTTTGCATGCACAACACTGAAGAATGTTTCTAATAAAATGTTAAATGGTAGAGCCGTGAAGATATAAGATAAGTTCAAGAAAGCGCCGATTCTAATTGAACTTATTCTGTTAGATACATCTTTATTGGGTTGATACTGGGGTGAAAGCATGAAATGTTAAAAATTTTCTTCCTGCTTTAGATTTTCATCAACCTCGAAGATGCTTTGAGTTTCAAAGTTAAGTTTTTCTACAAGGAATAATAATCAATTGTCTGTGTTTATCTATTTTGTTCACAAACATTCCAAAGAACGTATTTCTGGGTGGAAAGAATATTTACGTACCTTCGCCGTAAAAATGCTATTTTTTACATATTTAAAAATGCCATTTTTTACATATTACAATATTTATGGCTCCGTGTTGTCAGCCGTACAATGGCCTAAATTGCATCAAGTTATATAATTTAATTGAAAAATTTTTATCACTTGAACCCTGAAACTCTGCTACCACTAGAGCTAAGGCACAGCTAACCATTACATCAGCGATATCGTTTCGCACTTATGTCTGGGAAAGCCCTTAGGACATTCCCTTCCATTTTCGTTCCTAGCCCCCAATTATTCACATGCGCATGCGTTCTTGTTTTGAATGCGCAGGAAATTTTTACCATTCGACTGTGTTGAAGAAAGTATGGCGGAACAATTTTCAAATTGAAGTAAATACTAAAAACTGACGGATTAATTCAAGTCAAGATGTAACGAATATCTGTCTCCTTCGAAAACTGGTCCTGTTATGGACATCAGCAGTCAGTTGGTTGCTAGAACAATTTCAGAATCGATCGTGGAACACTAAAACTTTGGAAGAAAGCTGGCTAGCTTCGCTTCAGTTTCCTCGAATGTCGTTCATGTCTCTCCTCCATTTTTAATAACGGGGACCAAAGTTACCATTTAGTGGACAAGATATAAAAAACTTGTGAAAGGTGCAGTTGAGAGAAGGCAGATATGTTATCAAATAAGAGGTATGCTCTATTTTCCTTTGCGATTTTGTTTGCTTGTGCTTTGGGGAAACTCTCGAGAATATTATAAAGACAGTATTGTTCGTTTTTGTCCACAAATCAATGCCATATGTATGATGGAGGTCGTTGGGGGTTCATTACTTCCAAGTAGTTGTTTTCTCAGTTCTGTTAACTACTAACATTAATAACGACAGTATGATAATAAAGTTATTTTAGGCTAGTTTGGTACTCGGTCGGATTAAGAATCAGACGGTTTAAACAATTTGGGTAGGAAAAAGTTTTGTTCCGAGGAGATCACGAATGAACGACTTACGAAATTATGAAGTTAATTGAAGGTTCATATGCATAGATAGAATAAATTGAAGATATACGGAACGTCTAATGGAGCAGCACAGATTGATGCGATTATCGATTCGCCATATTTTAGTTTGCGATATTTTGTGTCCCCTACTTCACCTCTCGGCGAGAAACATGGCATCTAAACAAGAAACAGAAGATTGGTTTCGCGGAATCGATTGCCAAAAATGGGAGCGATTAACTCGATCGATTTGTTTAGATAGATCTTGCTGCCCTTATATTAACAGAAACTGCAAAACAACTTGAGTCTATGTGTAAATTTTATTGCTGGAGATCCTTCTTCTATATCCGTGAAAGGTGATCATTTCTTGATGCGGTCCTTTATTTATTATTCTCAAGTGTGCTTTCGACAGGCCAGTGTATGTCTCAGGAATCTTTCTTGTTTTTGTCAACAATTTCATCATATTATTGAATGCTGACGAAATATTTCTTGATACAAAACTTGCATAGGACTATTTTATGGCTGAGTTCTACAAATTGAAAACTGGAATTGCTCTTGAAATCGAGCAAGTTTGGTTTGAACAAATCGTTTTAGACCAACACATCATCTCAACCATAACAGGGCCATTCTGATGTTTCCTTTAATGTTTTCTTGAAATTTCATACTAGACACCAAGAAATGATGTATATTTGAAAAAAAGTTATGATAATTGGGAAATGATTGATTTTGTTGTGCAACAACTTGTAACCTGGCATGAAAGACCCTATGATGTTTAACATAAGTTTTTAGGAACAATACCCAACAGTGATAAGCTTGAAGAAAGTATTTAATTGTCATCTGAGCTTTGTTTATGTTTTATGCCACAGGACTTAAGTATATACCCATCTGAATAACCCTAGTGACACCAGACATGGCAGGTCCCTGAAATAGATGAAATGGAATGGGAAGTCTCAATTTAGTTTTTGTTTGATATATGCTATCAAACCAAAGTTTCTAATTCAAATAAAAAATTTTGCATTTAGATATCCTCCATATCAGCTAGTTATCAATGCACAACAATCTTTAGAGTCTTTTGACCCCCTTACTGGTACCAGCTTAGAATACTTTGATGTTTCACCTTTTCCTTAGTTGCTTTTGCATTTATCTCCTTGAGTCTCCTTATTTTTTTCATACATTCTTCTGGGTATGAATTTTTCACAAAAAATTTTTTAGATTCCTGCTTTTTATTATCTTTTTCATGTCTTAATAAAATAAGATCACAAATTATCAAATTTTAATTGGCACTCCAACCTCACCATGGTCATATTTTACCAAATATGTAATCTCTATTGTTGGATCTGATTGTCTTTTCAGACAAAATTGAATTAACCCCTTGAAACTCAAATATAAACAGAGTGTCCCATTGACCTTATGTCTAATTCTTTTTGAAAATGCAATTTCTATTTTGCTATAACCCTGGCTGTACATATTTCAGGACAACCAACATAGAGTTAATATGGTAATTTATACTCCTATCTTGGATTGTTTTGAAAAACTATAATAATGACTGCAATGGTTTTGATTCCTATTTTTAAATAAATTCTAGTTGAGTCAAACATCAATAGGTTAACTCATATCAATTCTGTTTTTTCCTTTTAACTTTCCTCTCTCTTGTCTTGCTTCCTTTTTTGTCTCTCTCTCAATCTTTTTTTAAACACTTTTTTCCTGTATTTTACAATTTTTTGGACAATCATATCAGTGGCCTTCTAAGGACTAAGGTTCCATATTCCATTGATTTAGTGGCAAAATGGGCTTATAGTACAAATTAAATGGCAATTGAAGAAAAGGGTAGCAATTCATTAAACTCTAGTTTACTACTCTGTTTGTGTTTTCACAGATGGATGTGTCCCTACTGCAAATGAATTATTGTACTTTTTTATGTATATTTTGTCATTTTGCCTGAGTAATAAGCATATGGTTAGTGATGATTTAGAAAGATATTTGGTAAGACTAACAGAGTTCGTAGTGTGCTAAATCATATATGGGCCTCAATATAAAAACTTTTGTGATTGAGTTGATGAAGGTTTACTAGGATTTTGCTCATTTTTAAATCAAAATAAGTTAAAAGGTTGTCTATGAAGAACTTAAATTATATATACCTCAGTTATGATAAAAAGCCTTGATAACATTGTTTTTGGTCACATCAGATTCTTGAAATATCCAAGCACCTCTCAATTAGTGGATCTTTGTCACCATTTAACAAATTATTTTTTTAAGGTTTCTTTGATTAGAATCTTACCTTATTTTATGGAATAGCTGCAGCTTTGCAATTGAGCATACTTTCAAAAACAAGAAAAAGCTAACACACTGTATAGATATAGCTTTTAAAGGAACTTCTTGGAAGTTTTCTGCAAGAAATTGATCAGCCTTAAAATAGTCCTTCCCACTCCTTAAAACAGTCAGTGCTTAAACCTTTAAAACAGTCAATACTTTTTATCTTTGAGTGTATAGTAATATGACACAATTGTCTTGGATGAACAATCAGACTATCAATTACTATGAAAATAGAAACCATATGTTTCATGGTCCTCTACATCTATGAATTTATCTCTTTATGACAGTTTCTTAGCCAGCTTGACTCTTTTTCAAAATCTGATTTCATCATCTTATCAGGTCTTGTCTAGTGTCTGTTTCTGTATTTGGGTGCACAGGGACCTTTTAGACAGCTTTGAGGAACAGTTGCATGTTTGTTGACAATTAATCTTGATAACTTCCTTTTGTTGAGCATTCAGCAGAAATAGACTATTTGATTAAGTGGATTAGTTCTGATTGCACTTTGCACAAAATTTGAATTCTTTTAGTTATAGTCATTGATTATATTCCAACACATTTTGGCAAAATTTACTCGTTTTGATTTTAGTTTAATGTGACCTTTATAATAGTTTAGGTTTAATAAGAAAGCTAGATTGCAGATAAACATTTTATGGGTGTTGAAAGTTTCAGATGCTTCATTTTTTTCATGTCCTAGCTTGCACTGGCTGATAAATGTATTATATCTAGTGAATTTGTCTTGAAAGAAATATTTCAATTTATTTGACCTAGTGTTTTCATCTATGGTTGTTCAAAGGTCCCAGTTAATGATGTTGGTTTTATTTTGATTGAGCATAGGAACCTGTAGAAGTTGTAGTCATTCTGAAATATAATTGTTAAAAGTAGGAAGTGCAGGTTTTATTATTGCAGAGGGTTAGAAAATCCCTTTCTAAAATTCCACAGAAATAATTGGAAGGCTGTGAAAAGTTGACTTTACTGACAAATATGTTGAATGAAGACAATTCAGTGGCAATGCTAAATACTGTCAGATATTGCGAACAAATAATGATTTTGCCAATTTATCTAAGATTTGACTTGCACGAAAGACTAAAGGGTGTTCCATCTGCTACATCCCCATCACCCCTATACACCCCTGCATGCTACACCCTTTTTGATATTTTGAAGTGTTATCATTGACATTGTTTTTGTATATACAAATACATATTGTATGGTTTTCAGTGCAGTTACCCCCCCCCCCCCATTTTTTAATCAGGCAAGATGAATTTGGTTATATGGAATAGGAAATTAGGTTGAATTGTTTCAAAAAAGTATATTGTGTAAGTTAGTTTTTTCCTCCAACAAAGTTATTTGATCAACATAACTTTTTAATTCAAAAACCAAACAAACAGCTTTTTAGCCACCAAGTTAATGCCTTTTCTTCAAGAAACATTAATACTATCTTACTATGCTATACTATCATACCCTATAATCTCTGCAGTGTTTATCATGAGTAGGCTATGAATGCTAAAATACTGTATTTCTGCTATAGAATGTTTTATAGATAGTGGCGTAAGTATGACATAATTGATTTATTGTTTATTTTTCCATGTTGAATCAATTGATCGACGTGAATTTGATATTGTTTTGTTTATGCGATGCGTGTAAAATGATATGACGTTCTGTACCTTATAGGCTGTTTTGTTACGAAAATAAATTGTCTGACCGCTACAATCCGATAATGTTGACAAAAGGCAAGATAAAAGCCAAAGGTTTTCTGCAATATTCCTTGCATGGTACTGCGATAAAACACGGCACGAGAAGCAGCAGATGTTAAGAATTGCAAGGGTTTTATTGAGACCTATACACGACTGGTAAATAAGGTCTGGAGACGTTTCAGGAATAAGCCGCAGACGGACTCACTGCGGTTTTGTCTTAATAATCCTCGAGCAATGGATGTAATGGATGGGAATCTGTCTAAGGGTTTTGGCTTAAAACGACCACTGAAACGTAAAACAGAATCCGACTAAATATGCTCTGATACCGACTGTGTCAGAATACTTGCTATTCTTTCTAGCAAACGTACTGTTGTCTACCTGACACAAATGATCAATTTTTCACTGCCACGAAATTCATCATTTCGTTTAAATAGAATCGCCTAGGTTAGTGAGCGACTTCCTCAGCTGATATTCCGCCACCGATGACTCTTAAGTTTAACAAAACGCTGTGGTTATTGCTCCGGCACCGGAACTTTTTACGTTACGGCTATTCATCCGGCATGCACGCGTATTAACTATTTTCGCACGAGAAACACTCTGACGTCTGCGCACACCCAGCAATTTTGTTTTCAATTTTCACGGATCCTGTGAGCGATGTCATGCAAACGAAGTTAATGTTGGTCCCTTGTGTAATTTAACATTACTTACAAGTTTATTTGAAAATGGAAATCTCTTATGGGCTGGTTCCGTGAACCAATACAATCGTGTCTGGCCGGCAGTTGAGTTTCTTGCAGTGCTCCGTGCAGGCTTGTAAATCTGGAAAATTCTCGCAAGCCGGCAAATTAAAATTATTCCGAACAACGTAAATTTTAGATCACAGATTCTTTGAAAGAATTTTCGTGGAGTATTCAAACACAAGCTTGAAGAATTAAAAAATTATTGTTTGGAATAGCCAATAGTAATACATCTCTAGTCAGAACGTAATGAGCTGTGGATGCACAGCGAGCCTCTAAGCGGAGAGGAGATGATGAAGAATTAAAAATATTATTGTTTTGCCCTTGTTCCAGGACCTTCTATGCGTGTTCGTGAGCCAATACTTGATACCTCCCGGATGAATAGCCAGAATGTAATAAGAACCGATGCCGGAACAATAACCACGGCTTAACAAAAAACACTCTTGAACCCTCTTACTTATTTGTTCAGTCACTGTTGTTTGTACAGATTTATACTGATTTATCAATGAATCCGTTGTTTGTTTTTAATGTAAATTGCATCTTAATGCAAATCAGTGGGTTTCCAAAATTCTTATTCCAAAATCTCGGAGTCACGAAGGCTGCATAAAATGTTTTTCAGTTTAATGAAGTAGCGAAGCAAAGAGAGAAGATACCAGTCTATTTTGTTTTTGCGCGTGGGCTTGCAGATGCATGATTTCAGACTCAATGAGAATTGCAAGGACCTCAAGATTTTTCTGATAAAGTTGTTTTTCCAAATATAGTCCTCATAAATAATACAGACAGACGTAGGTGTTAGTTTAGACCGTGGGCCTAGTAATTTGTTGTTATGCGATACATCGTACTGAAAGGAAGAAACAAAGAAACCAGCACCCGTCGCTTTTTATTCTGTTGACTGAATTATCTGAGAATAGGAATTATAGGAGAAGCTGTGGCGTATATACAAATTGGAAACCCTTGAATTTTCAGTTATTGGCACATCATCAGTTATTGGCAGTATCACACTTTCAATGCTACTTACCGTAAATCCTCGGATTGCCCCCCCCCCCCCTCGAATAAGCCCCCACTCTAGAACTACAAATTGTCAATAAGCCCCATTGCTATCGTAAATTCTCGAATTGGACCCCTCAATTTGATGATTTTTGGCATTTGAGGTTGCCTATGTCGTTTTATTGAATCACCACAACAAATTCATACTTTTGGTTGTAATTAATTAAATGCTTATAAAGAAGTCTTTTAATAATATCTCTTTAATGTCTGCAATAATTTGCCCTCCCTCGTTTAAGCCCCCGCCCCTCAAATAAGCCCTCATCCAACAATATCAAAAATAAATAAGCCCCCAGGGGTACAGCCCCCAGTTTTTACATTTAATCTTTATTTAAATGCATGGCCCCCTGTCGATGATTCGTGTTCTTTTTCTGTTAACAAATCCTTATCCTCCTTTGATTATAATATTGACCTTCGGAAGCTTCATATCAAAGCGGAAATAAAGGACTACATGTTAGATCGGGACCAGGAAGTAATTTCTTGGATGAAGCTTGAAAGAGACGATTATCTTTATGACCGTTGGTTTCACTACACACTCAGTTTAGCTTCCAAACTGTTATACAAAAGAACGTGAAACTGAAACGCGTGGTAACGTTATTGGAATATGTGATCCAACACTTAAATGAATTGTGCTGGTGTAGGACCCTGGCTGTTTTATGTTTTCCGTGTCACGGCAAAGGGAATTAAGCACTGTCACTATCCTGTTGTCTGCGTGCATTTGTTTTAAGCTTTACTGTCCTAAAATTTGGGATTAAGCTTTCTATTAATCTCTTACGGACAAGAATCAAATGAAAATCACTTAGCTAAAACATTTTCTCTTTCTTTAACAGTAAAGATAACGAGCGAGTTAAGATGAGGGAAGAAGCAAAAAAGAAACGCGCACAGATAGCAAGGGCAGCCAAATTACCTCATGTACAGCGCAACGAAAGCAAGGTAAGTTTAAAAGGTTTATCGTCTGCCATTGATGGTATTTATCATGTTAACATTTTCCCGTCTGTTTTCTTCAGAAAACCAATTGCAAATTTACGTGGTGTAAAATCGTTGAGGATGCCAGTCAGATTTTGCTAGAAATCGCAACAGGAAATCATCTACCTCTTGCCATCCTCATATCAAATATGTTATAAAATGTTTGCTTTTTTTAAAGCCATTTTCAAGTTCTGTACCGGCAAGAAACTGTTCATATCTTCATAATGTTATTCAGTACCTTTTTGTGCAAATCACCCTTTTCACTTCACCACCATGATTTTTCAGCGGGTTGTTTGTGGTTTGGAGGATGTCCTAGCTGTTGATATTTTGCTAAATTTGTATGTTGTTGTTACTGTTGTTATTGTTGTTATTGTTGTTGCTGCTGCTATAATGAGACATTTTCACTAGCGCTTAAAATCAATCTACAGTTTAAAAAGTGGCTTAAACCATCTGTGAATCAATATAAGCCAATCCATGAGCGTGTGAGTGGAATCGCGCTCACTGGTTGGTCAATTTTTTATCGAAAGTTGACTTATGCTCCTTTAGTATCTGTCACTTGCCTTTAATATCTGTGTTGTTCTGTTTTCTCGAGTAACAAAGGTTTGCGACTTTTCATCGGGTAGGTAGGAGATGAAATGCTGTCGAATAAATTTGCAAGGGTCTTGGGGTGCTGTAAGGCCCATACAAAGGTGCATGATGTAGGCCATGTTTCAGAAGATTACCAATTTTAGGCATTGAAGTCTTTCCAAGACGCGTTTAGTGATAGCGTTTGGATATATTTTCCAAAGTCTTTGTGACTCATTTTTCCTAGAATTGAAGAATCGTCTTATAGATGCATTCTACCTTTTTTCAAAATTCCCATTTTTCCTACAATCTTGACAATGTGTCGCTAGTGAATCCGAAGAAAGCGGTACAAGATAGTGTTTTTTTTACTTTTTCTCAAGCTGATAGTTCGAAAAACGACCAGTTTATTTTTTTGCTAAAGGTAGGTGCGTCCGCACAAATGAACACCCTCTAGTTACGCTTCTCAGATCTCTTAAACATTTGCAATTCTGGTTGCATGTAAGACTTTCTCCTGTACACATGTCTCTTTGTTTGGCAGTCTTTTCTTACTTTTTACCCCTTACCATACAAGATGCAGCCTTCGATCAGACTGGTTTAAAGTGAACACGGGCAACTCTTCAATTGTTTGGACTAGCCTTTCCCGGCTTTACTCATGCAGGGGTTCTTTACCGTCACGTGCTGCCCTTCAACCCGCTCCCAGGGCCTGGCACGCCATATCACTTAATAGCTCGAAGGGCTCGTTATTAGAGCCGATAAAAGACCTTGACAGCATGGATTCTATGCTTTTTGAAACATAGTTGGTTATGAAATGTATACGTATTGCATCCCCATAAAGTAATTCGTATCATTGTCTGTTGTTTATCAATTCTTGCTTTGTTACTTAGGAGTTACACCTTAGCACTAAACACCCTTATTCGTTTTCAGATTAAAGAGTAATTTGAATCATAATCCAACTAGTCCAAATATCTTAGCATCTCAGTTAACCATTTACCTGTTTCTGTAGAATTCACCCCAGTTTCAATAGCGTGAAGTAACAACTTTTACCTTTTAACCGTAATATGATGCAGATTTGATTTTGCTCTATAGTTTCATGATATTTGCGAGACATTCTTGAAATTTTGCCAAACTTTATAAAATTTACCTTTGCATATTTTCTTAAACAGATTTTAATTTGTTTTCAGTTTGGCGATCTTGGATTTGTATCCGTCAAGGTAATGCTTTCTCTTTGGCTCTTTCTCTACGCTCTTGGCGATCTTTTTCTTTTAAAACAAAGCCTAGTGATTTTTTAGGATATTCTTTGTAACGCGCTCCTATCGTGTAGGAACGTTGATTTGGCGCATTATTGCAAACCTTGGTTTGTAACAGCTCAATTGCCATTGAATTGCACCTTTCCTATTACAGTTGTCAATTACCGAAATAAGCTTAGCTAACCCTGAAAAGTACCTGCAATTTAGGACAGAGCCGTTAAGATAAAATCTTTAGAAAAATTGTATATAGTTTATCCCTGGTTGAAAGACTGGACGTTTGCATTTTAATAGAAGATATATTTGTGACATTGAGACATTGAGCTGGGGAGAGTATTACAGTCCTTTGGGTGAATTATTGTTGGTTTAACATGGGGATCTGTTATTAGATAAGGTAAAATTTGTATTTTTGTATAGAATGCACAGAATGCACAATGTAATTAGCTTTTTGCAGTTTGTGAAAACTCATAAAATATCAGTAAATTTTAGCAAAAATATCGACATAACAAATTTTGAATGCAACAGTATACCAGAGGTAGAAGTTTTAACTAAAACAGTAAATGCTTCATAAGTGTTTTTGGAGCAAAAAGCATTACAAAGCCAGTACAAAAACATTATGGCCAACTATTCTATAAAATCTTGCTTTTCATGAATTGATTAAGCTATAAAGCTATGCATCACAATTTAGGGATTTTGCGTTTGATCCCATATTTCAGCGTTTCTACGTCAATGTTATGTTTTTATGCTTTAATGCTGTTACCACTTATCAGTAATTTACACTCTTTTGTTAACAAAGCAGATCCAAGTCTAGTAAACCGTGTTTTTAAACAGTTCTAGACTGAAAATTGACTATGAAATGTAAGCATGTTATTTTAAAACCCATCCAACTATCAAGTTATTTTTCCAAAATTATGTTGCTTGTCCTTGAAGGTTTTTTCAGTTTCTAAAAGTGCCTTTTTCAATCCAGGTTGACCCAGACTCTGATGATGCTTGGTCAATTTGTTTAAAGGTTTGTTTACGGTTTTTGTGTTCCTCTAATCATATTGAATATGCGATCTTTGCGTAGATCCTTTTGATATAGAGTCCATGTGAGGTTCCTTGAATTGCACTCATCTGATCTTCTCAGGGTCAGGCCGATTCAAGTGGGCTTCAAGCGTGCCCATCATCTCTCTAGTGTTTTCAGTGTTGTTAATGTCGAAGTGGTGAAAATCTGGAAAAAAATTGTTTCTATTTTCCCTGGCTCAAGTGCTAGAGATTTCGTTGATCTCTTGTTTTGTTTTTTCTTTCTCTTAAGCGAGGTTTTTTTTTGAGGATTTTCGTTCGTGTGTGCTCTTGTTGGCTGTTTAATGATGAATGTTGCTTGGGGCACATTTGCTTAATTCAAGGTTAAAGGCATTTCAGGTCACATCTTGTTTAACCAGTATGACGTCAAAACCTGACCACATTAGGTTAACAGTCACTCAATACTGGCAATTTCTGAACAGTAAAATTTTGTTGGGAATTCGGATGTTTGCTTGTAATTTCTATAGTCATCCGTGAACAGGGGCAATTTTTTCGAAAGTGAGCAAATTTTCTGCATTCTGAATAAATTTTATACAAAGTGAAATAAACTTTGTATGCATTCGAATTAACTTGTGCCATGACAGCCTAATTAGTTAGCAAGAAATAAAGATAACAAACAGGATTAAAGCTTATTTAGACATTCAAAATATGTCAAGACTGAATGCCTTGGCACCGTATCCTATTCGAGGGGCAAATCCTTGGAAATCCTTTTGTTTTCGTGAAAATCTCGTGCACTACTTAAAAGATTAAAGTATGCCCCTCGATGCTAATATCCCTCGGCAGTAGAAAACATTTAGCCAATTTCAGTTCTTTAGACTTCAGAAGTATGACCTAGACAACAGTAACTGTAAAACTGTATTCCCGTCCACGAAATGAAATTTCTATTTTTCCTTAAAGCATTATTTGGATAACAAATTATTCCACAGGCATACATATACCACAAACACAGGTCCACTTGTAAGACCCCATGCAAGAACGTTCTAGAAATGATAATTCGTGGCAAATTTATTTTCATACATAGCCCATGTTAGAGTGATGCTCGATATGCTCAACCCAAAGAATAAAACCAATCATAAAGCTGGATTTTGCTCCAGTTATTACACGATCTGATTGGCTATCTAACACTTGGTCCAGCAAATTTGCTTCAACTGGAGCAAAATCCCGTGGTCTGATTGGTTTATGTGACCATGACTTGATATCTGCTGGAGCAAAATTTATGAATGCATTCGCCACAGTGAATGCATTCAGAACTGAGATGTGAGAAGGGATGCGAGGAGGGACGCGATGAGTCCTCAAGGAAGGATGCGAGACCATTAAGTAAAATTATTGTTATTAACTCTTAGTGGTGAATCGAAAGTCAAGAAAGCAATGCTTAAGTAAAAATGTAGCTTTGAATTTCCGACTTAAGCAAATTCATTTTTATGATGATGTCTAGGCTTCTCTTGCTAGAAGACTTAAGAAAACGACTGATAATATAGCTATCGCATTTTATTGACATTCGTATGCGTAATTTCAGATGAGCTTTCTCCAAAGAGCTTTACTTACAGTGATTCAAAAATACGAGATCTTCTATTTCAATGTGTCAAATTTGATCGAATCTATCGAATTTGATTACATGTTTTTGGTGTTAGAATTGTGACTGTCTCTGAAATACAATTTGCTATGTAAATATTGAATGTTAACCTGATAGGTCGTGTGTCGGCTGTTGTGTTTGGTAAGGAAGTGCGCTGGGAAGGTTTAAGGGTTTTTCTTTGTACTTGAACAAATTTGAAGTTGCGTCACCTTACTTTCTGTCACGGGTATGTCAGGCAAGGACCCTCACCAGAATTTCCATGCTTTTTTTAGTAAATATAGTAATTTGTTAGTTATTCTAGCCAATCGTAAGTCCAAACTGTCATCGATTGCATGCTTGACAGTATTGAAGATGTTAGATGATTTTTGTGCTCGATGATGTTTGATGATGTTTGACGACGTATGGTGATATTTAGTAAGTTTGAATTATTTCGATGATGCTTGACTCACTCAAAGTAGAACCACTCAAATAATGTCAGTAGTTGATGTAAGAGTGGCTCTTCAACGATTTATGTATTTAGATAAATTTTTTTATGATGATTATGGTGATGGTTTCCTTTGTCCCTAATCTTTCGCCTGGTAGAAAAGAGACCTAAAGCTTCCTAAATTCATATACGTGTCAAAGACTGTTATGCATTCTTCTGCAAAGAGAAATATTTTTTAGTGCTTTTATATGTGCAGAAAATTAAAAATTGTACAAATTAAACATTTTGTTTGCTGCGGAAGAGTAATGACCTTTTATTTTTAAACTTCCCACACCCTCAAACTATTTGATTAGTAGCAGCTAGAAAGCTCCAGAATTAACCAATGTGCCCTTTTTTGGTAGTCATATGGTGTATTCTCCTATCAAAAAACTGTTACTGGTGGGGGAAGCTGGAAATTAAAGAATGTCTTTAATTTTCAGTCGACAACTGTTAAGTAAGCGGATACTTCAAATTCGTTAAGTAAGCGGAAATCTTTTCAGTTCAGGTTTAGCTTACTTAAAACTTGCTTAAAACGATTACTTTGCCCCCTTCCCCTATAAATTATCCGATCTCCATTTTTGTACAATTTTGCCGTCAATATGAAAGCTTCCCTTTAATCATGTTGTTATCTCTATTCCAAGTACTCCGTATTAAATCGAGCTTAATACTGTTCCATCTTGTTTGTCCTAGAATGGCCTTATTGATTACCGTGAACTGCTCTGTTCGTTTCCGACACGAGAAGATTACCGCTACCTTGGCATTGACAATGTGCCGGGTACCCCGGAAGTCAACTTATGTGCTACTGACGATTCATTCAGATTTCCAAGACAAATTCCTCGAGTGAATGGCTTCAAAAATGGTATTGTAAAAGATAATAGCTCATCGCTGACTCATCCATCTAAAAATTCTGAGAAAGAAGATGTTCCCAATTCTGACGTCACAGACAAGGATAGCAAGAGATCGAGTAAAGAAGGCCCAAGTCAGGAAATTTCGAACCAGGAGAATTTGTTGGCAAAGAAGAGATCCGGTGAAGAAATGGGAGGTCTCAATTCTTCGTTAGTAATGCGAGTTAAAGATGAACCAATGAGTCCAAAAGTTGTACCTGACAATGCAACCAACGAGGAGGCACCTCCTTCTGCGCAGAGTAACGAGGATGCTGAGGCGAGACGGAGAGCTTCGTCTCAGCCAAAGGCAAAACCACCAGTGCTGAAAATGCCAGACGCTAGGTAAAACAATTGTAACACTTGATTACTTGATCATACTTGATTATACTTGATTTTGTATACTTGATTAAAGTTTGGACCTCCCGTACCATTTTATCACTAGAGAGACAGTTGATGTCCCCGTATCGGCTGATGATTGCTTCGAGGGGGATGTGGCTTGGTCTTAATCCATATACAATCAGCCAATCAATATATCAGCCAATTGTTTAGGCCAGTCAAATCACAGAACAGCTGATGTCATGTCAACATTTTATTAAAGATTTCAAAGATCGTGAATGCAACTGCAACCTTTATCAGAATTGCCTTTGATGCTCATTTTTGAATTAAGGCGATGAGTAAATATACAAGTATTTACATGAATGAATGTAGCACATTCAAGTGTCTGCTAAGCAACAACCGATTGGTTAATTTAACATACGATACGTGATACGTATTCGTATTTTTACGTATTTTTACGAAGTTCCGATGGATCTTTAATATCAATTTGATTTGAGTTTGATTTGAATTTGAAGCATAAAACTATGATGTTGCTAGTGAAGCAAAAATATTTAGGCCTAACCCCAGATTTTGCTTCCTTTTTTAGCAAGCCAGCAATGAATACAAGTGATAAGGTATGTTACTAGTTTTCTTCCATCTCCTTATTTTGTGATCTATCGAAAATTCGCAGATTTTTTGTCTTAATCTTATTTATATGAGATAGACCAGATTTAGCACGTACCTAGCATCGATCGGGGCCTGAAAAATCCGTACCAAACTGGTGTTGATCGGCCAGTGTTTGCACGTGACCTTGCACATCCGAAGCCATTTCAATCTGCTGTCCGTACCGTACTTTGAATGTAAACCCGTTTGAATCCGAGCCTAATGATAGGTTGGTGAGTTTCTTGCTGCTTATTTTATTTATTCGCCAAGTAACAAATCATAATCGTTTTCAAAACTCATTAGAGCTCTTAAAGTTCATCATCACAGGATCCGATTCCTTGTAAATGCGTGCAGAAATTGATATCGGACTCACATTGATCGGAAACTGTTTGGATTTGGTCTCGTGTATACGGCGTCTTTATTGCTAGATTTCACGCGTATCTTATTTCAAATAATTTTTGTCGTAAGTTTATTGGAAGATAAAATATTTCAGTTGGTTAAGAGAATCCCTTGCTCCGAAAAAGTGTCTTACACTGACAGGCGGCGATTAAGCATACATTGGTCAAATTCACAAGCCCTAGTCATTCTATATTAAAACGACTGTGTGATTAAAGTGACATGCGGGACAAAATGTTGTAGTTCCTCGGGGAAAAAAGCATCTGGCTTATGGAATAATACGGTCTATTTGGAACAAGGAATGTGAGTTACCAATTCTGTGAACCGTATGGGAGATATTTCTATTATCTAAAAAGATTATAATAAATTATAATATATGCATTAGAATGATTTAAAAATAAATAAAAGCAAGTTATTAAGGCAGATCATTAAGGCAGATAAGAGTCCAGAAAACATAACGGTTCCACAGCTGTGTGCCGGAGGAAGGTTGTCCAACCATGCAGTCGTTTTGAGGAACCTATGCATAACTAGGCAAGACTATTAATTTACCGTTGTGCTTTTATTAAAAAAAGATTCAAGGAAATTTTCGAGGAATGCAATAGGGTAAAATTCCATCTGGTTGAAGGGTGAGGCGTCCCCTAACTTTTAGGCAGATTTCATTAACCTGCAAATGGACCGCCCGACATCGTCTCGTTCTTCCATAAATACAATGCTAATCCAAATGAATAATTTCATTGCGTCAATATGTCTGTTTTCCGTGAAAGCCCAACTGGAGATAAGTAATGTAAACCATGAAAATATGTCAATTTGCTTAATCAAAAAACCCCATGATAGATTCTACAGATGACCCAGTCAATGAACCCAGTGAACCAACCTACAAATCGAGGCTCTTTGTCTGCTGTTAACAAACACAAACTAAACAAAAGTGCTCGCTATTATGTCGTAACGCTGAAATTCGCTTTTAATACCGGTCATTTTATTTCAAATCTGCGCTTGTAACAGTGCTGGTGACAAAACAAATATTTTAACAATGGCCTAACGGTGTTGGAATAGCTAAACATAGCCCTATCTTTTGAATTTGTGTAAGAAAACAAAATTTTCTTTGTAACTGTTGTTTCTACAAGTAGCTGTCACAATGCTAGAATTACGATATATAAGATATTGAGAGAGTTCCGTAAAAAGCCAATTTTCCAACATTTTCAAGAAGTGGAGGAATCTGTTGTCGATTCTAAAGCGAATCCGAAAAAAATTCCCTGTAGGTTTTGTAGTCACACAAGTATAGAAACAATATGATATGGAGCAAGCTTTTTTTATCCATTCTTTATTCATGTATATTTCATGTATATTACATGAAGTCTCAATCAAATGTTATAACTACGCAAATCTTACAAACGCAGCTTCTCGGGCTTAAGCTTTAAAATTTAAGCACCTAAAAAAGACACGTCTTGAGCTTAGATCCTCCCCAGGATACATATTTAAACACTGATTGAACTCAGCCTAAGAGCGTCGCGAGAACGACGAAGAGCCCTTTTTCCTAGAACTAGCTTATGAATGAAAGTGTTATTTTGAAACGGAAATTTTTCAGCCTAGTACAATAACCAGTTGTGTTGGGAGATTTGCAGTGTTCCTAGAAGGAAGGGCTCCGATGACAAGTTTTGCCAGGCAAGGACTCTGTCAGTAGAAATATCATCTTCCATTAAGCAACTGCAGTTTATGCTTGTATATTCTTCGTGGTTGTGATTTGCCGCGGAGCATGGACAGTTACTGCGACTGCTTCTAGGCAAAGTCAGTTGATACTTCAGACAGAGATTTCCAAAATTTTCCCGATTTGTAATGGCAGTAAGCATTTAGGTCGAGTATATGCCCCGATGTATCTCGAAGGCTTCTGTTTACGCAGTTGTTTTTATTGAGGTGTGCAATTTCTGCAAGTTGCAGCGCGCGCTTAAGCTCCTTTTTAACGTGTTCGGTCATGGACGGGCATTGTTTTCAAACACAACCGAAACTTGAGGTATAACTTTGTGTGGAAAGCGAGATTATTTCGTTGGTGTATTTTAATATCATAACACGTCGTCTGTTCTGCAGTATTATTTTGAAATCGTGTGCCGCTAATCATTTAGCCTTTTGGAAACATTTTAATACAAAGCAATGAAAACGACTTAGGCACATCGAGGTCAGCGCATTTTGACGACCGCTATCGGAGAAATAAGTACAGAGGGATTCTCGGAGGCAAAGCTACCGTCTTTTTGATTCGCGTTTGTTTTGCAATGCGTGCTTCAACAGGTCTTAGTGAGCAATAGATATGCATTCAGAATTGTCCTCATACAACCGACAAACTTAAAGTTATTTTAAGTAACTCCTTCTTTTATCCACAAAGCTTTCCAGCCTATTCAAGTCGTATGTCCTATACGCAACACAAGAATGAGAAGCAGCGAGGCCGTCGTTCTTCTTATTCAACAGCCTCTTTGCTGTTTTGGTTGCTCCGTAGCAACATACATGTCCTCTATCGTACATACATGTAAGGCTCTTTCTACTTGCAAGCCTCTTTCTGATTGCAAGCCTCTCTGAATCCTGTCTCAGGTGAAATATTATATTGTCTTGCAAGAGTTCAGTATTTTTCCTAACTTGATATTACTATGGAAAAGATTAATTTGCTTACTATTCCGTGACAATGAAAGTTTCGTACTTATTGAAAAAATACACTTGCACGATGAAATTTTGCAAACAGCCAGATTTTTCAAGAAAAATGATGACCTTTATTATTTATTAAAGGTATTTTGCAATGAATTATATCTGTTACGTCCCTTGTATTGGCAGGGGGTCCTTTTTAATTGTTTATAATTTATCCTGTAAATGATTTCTAAAGATATCCTATCAATACGCTTAAACGACTAATCCTATATTGTAGCTGTCTTTTTGTTAGATAGTTTGTTAGAAAGACATTTTCCGTTCTCAAAACAATCTTTTATAATCCAGTGAATGCATGTGATTTGCAACGACAGGTCAGTGTCGCGCTAGAAACAGCACAATTGATCGGTTGTAGCATTCTTGGTTGTGATCTGTGTGTAACGGATCCATTTTGTGATTGGCTACCCGTGCCTGATTTCGCTTATTGTGTTCTATTTAAGAGCTGAAGTGGCCAAGTGGTTGAAGCGCTTGCCCCTTCGTCGGAGGCCCAGTGCACGCTTCTTCTATGTACGGATCGTGTATGGTACTCACCTTAATTGACACAGAATTGACTTTGTGTTCGTCTGAATTCGATGAGGAATTTTTGGGGTTGAGGCAATATATTGGCAAAGTGTTCTTTGTAATGTGACTCCTTGATTTTGAAACGGCTTTTACATTACTAAAAGTTGGTCATGGGCGTTTCTTATTAGTAAGAAGAGCGTTCCCTTTTGGTACAAGGTCGTTTTCTGACAGAAGATAGAGCATGGCCTAAAATTGTTTCATTTGTCTATTGGCTGGCGCCGCCAGTGGAGGCGAATACGGAGCAGACTAGAAAATTGATACCTGGAAGTCATATATAGGCGATCTAGGGAGGGACAGCTGTCCCAAGTTCCCTCCACTAACCAGCCGTTAGTTGATGTCTTGTGACAACACGAGATATTTGCAGGCATCGGCTTGCTTCTCTTATTGTTGTTTCTGCTTGACAGATTGAAGAGAATAACTTTTTCTTCTTAGAAGTATATTTTCTAGAAAAGACATGTCAGTTCTTGTTTTCGATGGGAGGTGTAAGGCTGGTCATTTGACGAATTGATATTGAGAGGGGTAAGTTATGATGTTGGCACCCCGCCATTATTTGTTAAACACTATCCTTACCCTTTAAAGTGGTTTGCCAGAAGAATATTTCTTGAAATTTGACTGTGTCGCTGGGGACTTTCCTAGAGCCTTTTAAAATCAAGCTTTGTCGACGAATGGTAAAATGATGCGTTCGTCCATTGTCATCAGATCTGTAAGTCGTTTTTATTTCCCAGCTACTAAATCTCCACACTACCACCAGCCCTGTGCTGTCGTTGTGATACGAGGCAGATCCGGATATATCTGAAGTAAACTGTCTCTTGCGCACCAATTGCACCTGAAGCCGGAAGGGTTACGTTGAGCCGAATCTTTCCCAATTGGCCAAAATCAATCATTTTGACTCATCAATGTCACCTTACTTCTCTGCTATGGATTTATATTGTTTCCTAAAACCAGATCAGATCGTGTTCTTTATATGATGTCAAAGAAACAGAAGTCGTTGTAATGCAGTACTCGTCTGTATTGGCCATCACATGAACAATATTTCTAGAATGACCAAGATACAGTAGGCAAATCTTGTATCGATTTTTCGCAGATACACTAATTTTCGACAAATTTTTTACTTTTCTTTCATCACGGTCCTCTCGTGTGAGGGTTATCTCTAGAACTCTTTTGGAAAGAGCATTTTTCTAAAGAAATTCGCGAGAGTCAAGTGTTTGTCAGTCTTCTTCTAGGCTCCTGTATTGATGTCCTCATCTTTCTTTGAAAAACTACGGCTGGTTTCAGTGATAAGGAAATGAATCTACAAAGAATTCAGGGTTCTGTTTTGTGAAGTCATCACTGTCAAGACAGTCGATGTAACAAGTCTTCGTTCTTTGCCTTCAAGATGCTTTGTATTCTTCTGCCGACTATCTTTGGCTGTTTTGGAGATCTGGTTCATCAAGGACTTCTAATTGTAAAGACCAGTTTAATGCAATAAATCATGTTAAAATCCAAGAAAAGCTTTCCTCAGATTCGCCGCTTTTGATCATTTTAATTCTTCAAAAACCGTCCCTAATTCTAGATTTACTTGACACTGGCGTTATCATTTTTAGAACGTGAATTTTGATTTTTCAAGTAAGGGCGACTCCTTTAAACTGCAACGAATAGCGTTGGGAGCAGTGGTGGAGTGCTATCAAAATAACATAGGGGGGGCTCTGCACGCAATGTTTTCAAATTTGCTACATCAACAAGGGAGGCAACCCAGAATAGTTACTGTATGTAATTGTGATGGAAATTAAAGAAGCAACGTACAAACCTTTGAACAAACGGTCTTATATTTACGACAACTGCATTTTTTAGGAAATTAGAAATCACGAAGAGTTAAATTCTATTTAGAACATAATGATGTGTAATTTAATGAAACAGCTAAAGTGTAAGCGCGGGTTTAGCAATGAAGTTGTTAGGGAGATTGTGATTAACGGTACCGAAGACACTTCATATTGCTGAAATTCGGCGCAGTGATTTCACTTTGCCATTTGCTCTAATCAGCTTTGTTTGCCAAGTAGTTATTTCTTCGATTAAAAATCTCAGCTGTGTAAAGAAAGGGTAGACTCAAAACAACTCGTTCGACTTGTTTGCTATTCATTTAGGTTGAATTTTTGTTATTAATCTCTGAAGGGTTCGGTTAGGGAGGGAAACTGCATGAAAAGTCTATGTTATGCTTGCTTTTGGTATACTTTCTTTTTTGGGCCTAAAATTATTTCCATACCCTTATCTATCCTTATCCTTACACTGCCCTTCTTTCTCCGCGCGTTATTTCGCAATTCTTTCATCATACGCCGTTCAACCGCATAACCAAAACCCCGGGCCCCGCAAGTTGTTAGAAAGTGGAGGGACTTACCAGTTTATTGACTCGAAAAGCAAGTTACAGGTGTGTTTTCGAATTGCTATGTACAAATGCCCCAAATGTCTTTCCTGTCAAAATTCTCTGTTTTTCCTTGTTTTATGATTTTCTTCTTAACTTTTGGCCAATTTTGAGGCTCGTGTTGTTATAAAATTGTTCTTATATAAAAAGAGTGTACTCTATTTTCCCTTTCCGTTCCTTGCCATGTCCTTCCTGCCTCAGTTTGGAATTTATGGATAATTGACGATTCATGCACAATTGAAGATTTATATATGAGCCCGTTTGCGTTCAGCATTCTGCTGCAACTGTCGAAGATATCATGTTAACAATTTTGCTACCCATTGTGGGCTACTTTGGTACTGTCTTGAAGCGGCATATTTGTGAGGTACTCAATTTTTCGTTACTAAAAGAGGCCCAGGAAGCTACATCGTACCTTCGTGTTGTATCGAGTGGTGATCCTTTATTCGATTGATTGATTGATGGAGATTATTGGCCTAAGTGTGACGGCGATTAGAAAAGTGAACTAGCTGATATTCATAGAAAGTTGATAAAAATCTTTCCTTATTTGTGGAGAAATTTTATTATGTTTCGATGTTATTTTAATTTTTTGGAAACCTGCCTGATCTTTCATTAAAATTCTTCTCATATTGATTTACCATACGGATTTATATGCAATTGAACATTTCTCATACTTGTTGGAAAATTTGAGCCCAGTTTCTAGAACTGTAAGCTTGTACAGGGTGTTCGTTTATGTGAGAATTGGTTGGAAGGCTCTTCGTTGGTTAGTGGTGTTGTTGGTTAAAATCTCGAAGAGGCGTGAAAGAGCCAACATGGATGCGAGTTCACCGCCACCCAAGCTGTCTGAGGTGTACCAAAACAGTTTGTCGGAACGACCTTCCATCTTCTAGCGAACGCCATGCATTCGTATTTTAGCAGCTTTTTGTGTAGAAGGTTGTTCCTGAGCATTATTTGTGCTAATTACAACTTATTAGACCGTTGATTGAGGTGAGAGCATAATTTTGTTGTTAGATTTATAAGCCTAGGCAAAGTTTGGGGCGACTGGTAAAACTAAATGAATCCAGCCCAAGTTACCCCGAGATTATTCCTTTGTGTTTGAGCTTTGTAAATTTGTTGTTCCGAATATTTTTACGATATGAACACCAGGGATCATTTCTTAACTGTGTTTCGTCTCCTTGAAAACGGTTCACCTTGCTTCTAATCAAGGTTGATCTCTTCGTCAAATATCCGAACATTTAGTTGTCGTTTATCTGACAAAAATTTGGTTTTCCCTAACAATAATCTAGTGTCTTACTGTTAGCCCGTTTATAATTTCCACATTGCTAGCGTTGTGGAGATATTACAATGAAGATTTGTTTCAACTAGCATCAACAATAAGCAATGTTTGTATCGATATGGATAGACTGCATTTGACGACATAACTATTTTAAGCGCGCTTTCAAGAGTTTTCCCTACAGGGGAACAAAGCACCTACTGATAAAATGCATGTTTTTCCAAACAAGGTATGTGTATAGCGAATTAGAAAGGCTGTTGGGTTTATAAACATTGGGTTCACTTACATAATAGTGGCATTTTCTGTGCTACCATACACGTCTGTCATCAAAAAGGGGGAATACCACCTTTAACGTTATAGTTGTGGGTTTTTATTTAACTTCTTTTCATCTGTTAGCATCTCTACAAATTTTGTGACAGTGGTATAGAAGGAATTTTTCGTTATTTTTAATTAATATTCCCAGAGTTTTGATTTAATAAAACAAATCCTGCAAGCTCTTTGATCGCCGAAGTATTCACTTCGGTTCGGAACTGTTTTTGCGCTAAAATTGCTGTTGACTGACAAACGTATTTGTGTAATTTATATAATTTTATTCAAAAGTACAAGGAATTGAGTGAATAACAATTGTCTCATTTTCTATTGTACTGGGCCTATTTCTCGCCATTTGAATGATATTTTCCAGACCAAGAAAGACATGGAAAAATTGGCTTCCCGGCCCTTGCATATTAAATATCAAGCTATAAGTCCAAATAGTTGTATTAATTTTAAATATTTAGTTGTATGGCTAGACAGCCATGGACCGATGGTGCTGCAACGCATGTTCCGACCTCGATAAGAGTTCACCTCTTTCGCGGACAACTTGTTGGGATGTTATTGTTTTAAGTTGGGATTATAATTCTTATGCAAATTCCGTGCGATTTCAGACCGAAGCTAGCATACTCCAGTGGAAGGCTGGATATTAAATTCGTCTACTTATCTCAGACGGAATCTTGTTGTGACGATTCCTTCGTTACAGAATCGTTGATGAGCATAAAGAGAAAACAGTTTTGTACAAAAGGCCTTGTTGAACAGTGTAAAGTCGAGCTGGGAATGCGTCTCTTTCTTGCCGTGTTTTGATTTGCCTACTGGAAGCGAGTGGTTTTCCATGTAAAAACCCTCCATCTACGGCCAATTGTATTTTAATCTGAAGAAATCTTTGTTCTGCTGTCTCATCGCAACAAAATAATGACAATTTTCATCCCTCAGACTCAGAGGACACATCCAAGCAAAATAGAAAGCATACTCAAGGTGAGTTTGACTTTCCTTCTCCATTTCCTATTGTAGTAAAGTTTAATAAAGTTTGCTTTGTATTCAATAGGATTATTGCTGTCTGTTTTACGAATCGTTGTCACATCAATTATTCATTATTAATTCTTCTTGCAAAACTTTTTTCTCCTTATTGATCTTCTTATTGGTTGATATTTTTGCGTGGATTTGCGTCTATCGAAGTAACTGATTTTTAAGATGGTAGGTGGTAAATGGGGGGGGGGCGGTGTGGGGACTTCTCCTCGTTATAACCCTGCCTTTTATATTTGTTCGCATGCATTTTACTTCCTCCGGTTTCATTATTAGACTCCAGATTTTTCCAAACAGTTTTCTGTGTAGTGTAAACCATTATTCCATTTTCCTCAACGCGACTGTTTTCGATAAAATTTTCGGTTATTCTTTTGTGTGGTTTTGGGATAATAGGCTTGAATTCGATCTCAAACTGTCTGGCAAGCGAGACCTTTTTGTGAATGTGGACGGACACGATCGTCAGGGGAGAAGTTTTATTGAGATTTTAAGCCTGCTGCAAAATTCCGAATATTCAGAAACCACCAATTTCTTGTAAAGTTTTCATGACATAGGGAAAAACTTTTTCTCTCAAAGCCTTCGCAGTTTAGTTGATCGTAAGGAACGAGCAGTAATTTGACGTCATAGTGTCAGCGACCTTTGCTCGCTCTGACTCCTTTTTTGTTCCGTAAACTCGCCAGGGTTCGGGACATATAAATTGTCATAGACAGAGGCAACATACATATAACCGGTTTTACAGCAACCTCTTATCCATTTGGCATTCGATTAAGCGCCTGTAACCATACTTTGCACTTAACTTTTTCCTCCAGAAAAGGCGGGATTTTGATTACAAGCGCAATGTTTTTCTCAGAAACCTTGCACTTCTTGGAATCTTGGAAATTAAAAATGCTGTTATAACTTTGATTTGCAATAAAATTTTAGAATTGACTGTAAAAGACATGGGCTCAAAACACATTTGTTGCTTTGGAGGGAGAAATGTTACTACAACACTACAACATTGAATATTACTTTCAAAAATTAGTAGGGGGAACAGTCTCTTAAACTATTATGTCTGATAGGTCTTTTTGGAAAATATTCATATTTTGCCAGCTGAAACACTGATCTTCTTCTACCTGATTGGCTGCAATCAATATACTACACAATGCAGCGAAGCCCACATGTTTTCAAAGAGTAGGGTAGTTTTTGTACCAACGTTTTGAAGCTCAAATTGCTTAAATTTAAGCTTTAGATAGGTTGCCAGGTTGTTATAAATCCTCTTATATGAGTTTTCCCACAATTTTTATAGTTAAAAAATATATTTTAATATTCAGTACTACAATTGCACCCTGTCCTACGCTTTCAATGTATCTGAACCGTCCTATATTTTAGGGGGCCTCCAACGTTTTCGTTCTTTCCATTCCCTAAAAGAATTTTCTCGCGTGTGGTTGATTTGATACTTACAGTTTTGATACTTACTTATGGGAAAAATTCTGGGTTTAGAGGCCCATGAAAAATAGAAAAATATTCTACTTCATGTGAATTTATGCCTATAATTTGCAAAATATTGCTAAAGGTTGAATATGGTTTAAAAAATGTTTTTAAACTTTTGGTGGATTTTATTTTTTAAATTTCAGAATCTAGAAATTACAGAAGTTCAGTCGAAAATGCGACAGCTTGCTGTAACGAAGATAATTTATAAACAATCTTTTGGTGGTACAAAACTTTAAAAAGGATTTGAAAAAACAGACATTTGAGTAAACTAAAGCCTTTCGCTCGACACTCTTCAGAGTTCTGACGTTTTATACTCTGAAGAGTGTCAGACGAAAAGCTTCAGTATACCCCAATTTTTGCTTTTTTCAAAGCCATTTTGAAGATAATTTACAAGAAGCTGTCGTAAGAATTGTTTCCACATCCAAGATTTCCTTGGAATGGACAAATTCTTGGAAAGGAGCCTGGAAAATGGCAGAAAATTTACTTTTGACTGGTGTTTGTAGCACTTGCTGCCGTTTTCAAGGCATCTTGATTATGCCAGTCATGCAGCTCCTTGGAATCACAGCACAAGTCTTAGGACTAGGAAAACTATTTAACTATTTTAACGAAAACACCGTGGGTTTAAGAAGCCAACAGCTTTTTTGAATGCATTCAACCATAGATGCTAGGTGATTTTGTGGTATTTCAAAACACGTGTCAAACAGTGCTGGATCAGGATTTGATGAAACCTGCTTACCGAAGATTAAAAATTCAAACTTCGTCTTTCTAGTTTCTAAGGGCCCTGATAAACCTGGCCAATTTCGGCAATGTTTTTCTGCGTGCCCTTGTGATCCTGTGTTCAGCATCAATTTTGACGGCAGCTACAAGGGAGAACATTAATAGAGGTTGCTGTTTATACTCTTAAAGCCGAACACAAATTTTCGGGGAAAAAATGGCTATTATTTTGATCCCGATTTAACGAACACCGTTTTCACGAACTTTTCGATATAACAAACTAAACGTCGGACCCCCTTCAATACTTGGCAGGTTTTGAATATCACTGTTAATAAACTCTCGTTATAACAACAAATTTTGTTGCTCCTTCCAAAGTTCGTTGGCTAAGGATTCCACTTTTTTCACTCGCAGCCTTCTCATGACGTAGACAGTGACCCATTCCACTGATAGCTCCGCCTCGTATTCCAAGACAAGGCTACCATAACTTGGTTGATACAAAGCCATGTTGTTCCTTTATACTTAATATTATTACTTGAATAATTGGATCGCGACAAAACCAACGTTAATGCCCATCACAACTAACTTTTAAGCCATCGCAGTTAATCTCATTTTTCGCACAAGGTGCGGTCGTGAGGGGGTAATTAAAAGCCCAATGTTTCAGTGATAGTGTTTCAATGCTATTTACGAGTTCTTTTCGAGACTGATTTGTGTTTTTTTCCAAGCCTTTGTCTAAAGGCAACTGAAATGGGTTTGGCACCGTCACAACCAAACACCCCTCCCCCTCTCAACATCTCTCTCTTTTGTTTCCTATCCTAATCAAGCATCAGTCTATATGTTGTTGACTAGGACTTAAACAGTCTATTAATAGAGCCTTTGTAAGTTTTTTTTTTAATAAATTCCAGGCCCCCATATATCTAGAAGGGATGGTTTTTTTGTACCAAGAGATTGGGTCTGGATTTCTATGTTTTGTAAATGCGACCAGAAATAAAAAATTACAAATGGGCTTTGAAGCTCAATTACCCTTTGAAATTTTATCAATGTCACAATAAATCTAAGTGTAATTGACGTAAAAGGCTAATTGTAGTAGGAGACGGTCTTCTGGCCCTTCTCTGGGCCTAAGTATTTGAATCGTTTTCGCGCATCATGAGTGACGGTGGTTGATATAGGTTTAGATATGTGCAAAGGAGATATGAGAAAATTATTGGTTTTTCTCTCTCCAGGAAATGACAGAGATCCTGCCTCCACTCACAGACATTCAGACACCTGTAAAGTCCCAAGACACTCGTTTTCCATTCCCACAACCACCCCCGTCAAAGGTGAGTGTAGATACTTCTATTTGTTTCAGGCAAATAATTTGATATGTTCCCGAGGTGATCTTGTGCACTTAAAAATTAACCTTCGTGGAAACAAGAATTTTCAGCGTCTGCTATGAGAAATTACTTTTCTTTGAATCTTCGTGGGAAAACCATTTGACTTTGCTATTGATGCTTTCAATTGACCTGATCTTCTCTAAAGTATTTACAGTCTTTATATGGTGTTTAATTCTTGCCTGTCGATAGAGTTTATTCTACTTGAGCTGATTTTGTAACCTACACGTGGGCAGGTTATGCGTAGGCAACTATATGTTGGATGCGAGTGAATGAGTTTTGCTCTCATGGTCGGTTCTTCTTGACCAGATTCATTCACAATATCATGGTATACAGTGAGTCCTCGCTTAAAAGAAACAGAAAATGCAGCTGGCCAACGTGGATAATTTTTTCTCCTTCTTAAAAAACTAGGCAGCTTGATTTCCGTCTCGTTTGTTACCAATCATGCAAAATTTAAATGAATTAAATCAAAGTTTAAATATACAAGGTGTTTCATACTTGTTCATTTAAATTTATTTCTTTGGGTATCCTTGTTTACTCTGCAGCATGATCCTTGAAATAAATTTTTCTTTTTCATTGGATAAAAAAGTTTCAAATGAACATGAACGAAATTAGCCACCCTTATTTTAAAAGATTTTCTTGCATACAAGAAACTAGACAGCTAGATATGAAAGTCTAAAAGGCCATTAGCAATTCTGTTACTGCGTTTTAAGATACCCTAGGTCATACATTGAAGAAGTGCTGCAAGCCCCCATTCACCCTCTTTTCACATTTGCGAGAGTCGCTGATAAAACTATAGTTACGGCTTTTTACTGAGACAAGTACCCTTTCTCTAAGTTACTCTAGAGAGCGTATTGACAAAACTATGCATAAATTGTTAGGCTTATCTGATTAGTGTGTTGATTCTCTTTGTATGTGGGTAGTTCACAGGAGCAAAAAAGGATAGTCATGAAGTTTAACTTTAAATATTAAATGCACTTTTTGCGCCTTGTCTCACATATTGATGATTCGTTGATTTAAATCTTACTGTAAAATTTTGTGCTTCAAGTGACTGTCATTTGCTTTAACGTCACCCAGCCGGTTCAATCAAATCGAATGCTGCCAAGTTAACCCTTCTGTTCATGTCAAGCTGATCAAATTCTCGCAAGCCACATGCTCATAATAATAGCGAATCAAAGGCTTATCCTTTATCTTTGAGTTCATAAAACCTTACCAATATTTCGAATACAATGCATTTGCACAAGCAGTCAAATTAGTTATGTTAATAATCTTTGTGAGTTTCGCAAAATAACCAATTTCAGTTGATGCTGAACGGTAGTCATGTGGTTTGATCCAGACGCGAGTGCTTCGCGGTTTTCTGCGAGTGAGTAAGTGTTTTTCATCTGATATGCTCAGAAATTGGATTACCTAAAGAATGTCAAAGAATGCTTGTCAATGTTAGAGAAAATGCATTTGCTACATCGCAAAAACGTAGTTACTCCGTAAAGGCACATTGTTACTGTGAATTTTAACTTTTTCCTCATTCAATTTTATTGCATGACGTAGAGGCCCTTATTTCATTTTTTCTTTGTAGGAAAATTCAAATCACATGCTTCAATCAGGTAAGTTTTTTCATCATCTTAGGATCGCCTTTCTAAGAATTTCACATTTCTAAATTCATTTCATTGGCTCGAAACACGATTAAAGCCTCTTGCGCAACCGACAAAACTGTGGCAGAAACCAAGTGTGCTCCTCCGTCTGCTGCTGCTCCTCCTTACGCTGCTCCTCTGTCTGTTATGCTGCTCCTCCGTCTGTTACGCTGCTTTGCCTGCACTGTCTTTTTTCTGTTTTCTTTGCATCCCCACCACAAATTATTTCCTCCCTTCAAAACATTGGTTTTGATCCTTATTACTATCTTTTTAGTATCATTTTCTTATCTTTGCTTGTCCTTTTTGCATCCCATTTCCACCCATACGTATTACTCGCAGTTCAGTACGTCTGTTTAAACCCTTAACCATTTATTTAGGCCCGCTATTTCCTTTCGAATAATTTTATTGCTATTTCTTTTGACTTCTCTTTTCTTTTGCCATGTTGACCCTCATCATTTGACACAACTTGTATCTCTTTCCGTTATTGAAGTAATTCCTCTCAGTGTTCTCTAAAAGTTAAAATTATATTTAATAAACCAACAAGCAGCAACATTGGCTTTAACGTGTAATCTTTTATTAACTGTGTCTGTTTTGTGACGTTACCTCAAAACAGAGACATGGATTTTTTTCAAGGCATTAACAGTGGTTAGACAAACTCTGAAATACTGATTGCTTATATGTAATATAAATATTAATAGCAGTTTTCTGGTTAATTTCTTTGCATGCTGACGAAAGGATGGATTGTTTACATTCTTAACTTTGTGTTTAGAAACGCACCTTTTGTCATATTCTATGTTCATATGCAATAACATCCTGGCACGCGGCTGGATTTCAGAAATATTTGAAACCGTAATTACGCATTTCAATTCTCGACGTTCTTCTCACGTCTTTTTGAAAGTGATTGAAAGCTTTAATAACGAGATTACATGTGAAAGCAGATGTTCGATTCTGCTTGTAGTATTACTTAGGTAATTTCCTTTATTTAACGCAAGAATAATCGCTTGTATTTTATGATGATTTTAGATAAACAGAGCAATGCAGCAAAAAGTGACGAGTGAGTCCTTTGTATTTTTAACCGTATTTTCTTCATCATTTTATTCTGTTAGAGTCAAACAAATCTGCCTTTTATCCTTTTTAATTGTTCTATTGTAGTGAATGTAATATCGATCATAACATGGAAAAAATGCTTCATACTTTTAACTGTAGCATTGTTCTTTAGGCTCTAGAAATTTTGGCAGCAATCGAGATGCAGATTTCTGTACTATTGTCTGTTAATTTTCAGTCAAGTATTTCAGTTGATTCGAGAAAAATTTCTTCACGACAAAAAGAAAAACAAACTATTAAACTATAATCACTACATACATTAAACAGTATGTGTATTATATGAGCAAAATACTTTTTGTCTGAGGTAGAACACGCTTGTGTTTCTGGATTAAGATCGTTCTTGTTTTTTTCACAAAATATATTCATTTTTTATTGTTTTTCACAAAATTTATTTTTTTTATAATTCTTTGCCAATTTTTGCGTGTTCTTCTCGATTACGAGTCATGTTGTCATGTACTGTGAACGTTTAGGCAAAGCCATTGCCTTGTGTGATGTTCTTTTACCAACTCAGTATTGCCTTTGCATGACAACCAATTTCTGTTGGATTAAGAAATGATTGAATAATCCATTTTAGTTTGGAGTGAGAAAGTGAATCAAACTGCAAGTTCGAAATTCTCCTCAATTCGTTCAAAATTTCACTCGTTCAAACCTCCCTTCTTAAATTTGAATTGATCGCAGACATTTCTCGTGGCATGTAATTTGAGACAGACTATAGTAGTTTATTTTAACTATGTGTCTATGGCCCCGGGGTAGTCAAAGTCTTTTGCTCCTCGGGTATCGTCCGAGTAGTATTGTAAAGTAAATTTGTAAGTAGCGTAGCTTGTATTTATGTATTGTAACTTTTTAATGGATATATATATAAAAAAATTCACTAAAATGGATTTGTTATCTAGTAAAGTAAATATTTGTAATTGTTGCAGGAACTGGACGAATGATTTTATTACGTCAAGCGATGACGAATCGGATAGAGAACATGAGGTGACGGGAATATGATGTCACTGTTTTTTATTTGCTCACAGTGTATTTCTAGCAACTGGAATGAATTATTTTCATTTTAGAAGATCATAGCCTTTGCAAAACTGCATAATAGAAATCGTGCGCCATTTTCATAAATTCTGTTAAGTAGCGACTTGAAATAGCATGAATAACATTGATCATAATAGCGAAACAACATCATACTACATACTTTTGGATTTCCATAGAATTTTAAATCATTGGAATTTTCATATGTACATAAGTAATGTACGTAAGCATTTTTATTTCATGGGGTCGCGATCTTTCGTCATATTCTAAACAGTATATGATTTTTGAATGGGGTGTTTTGAAAGTTACTGCAGGAAATAAACAGATAGGTTTTTTGAATAGGTAGTAACATTCTTGAAAGCTCGAGCTCGTACCCATCATATAATGAATTTGTTTGCGGTTTGTAGGGAATTACGAAACCGGAGGCTGTTCTCGGTGCCAGGTGAGTAAGAATGGTTGCTCATTACTGTTGTCTTCATTTATGAACTCTTATCGATTCTTTTAATTGTTGTCATCGTCGCCATCAGTCATCAGCTGGTTGTCACCAATCATCAGAGATCATCAGGCATCATCAGCCGTGATCGGCATAAATCATCAGCCACCATCCTCTATGATCAATCATTAGGCATCATTCTTCTTCAAGCTATTGTCGTTGCTTTAATCACAACAATCATAAGTCATTTCTTCATACCTAGCAAAACATTGATTATCGCCAGTAATCAACATCAGTTGTCTTGTCTCTGTTGATATCTTCCTATTATCGCCGTTAGTGCACTTTCAGTTCTCAAGGTCAAGTTAAACTAACGTACCTAAGCTAATCATCACTAACGTACCTTGGCTATCGTTAAGTCTTTATCTTATACTTGGGTTTAGGTTTTCACTGTAGCCCTAATGCCTATGTGCTGAATCTCTCTTCAGTAAGTTATAATTTGAAAGCTAATGGCACAAGAAAACATTTATCATAAGATGCATGATTGCCATAAACTAGCAAGAATTCCTTTAACTGTAAGTTTCTGTTTTTTTTCTCAGTAATCAACGGCTATCGGCGTCTTCGTCCTCCTCAAGCGATGCCAGCAGTTCTGAATCCTCTTCGGACAGTGAGAGCTCGGACTCTGAGACGGAATCCTCTTCAGGCCGGAAAGCCATGAAAACTCCGTCATTAATGTTCAATAGTGAACCTGGAAATACACTAAACAGTTCAACGCCACACAGCCAAGGTAGAAGTGTACCAAGTTTAAATGCTCCTGTCAAGAAAGCTCAGCGAGGCAAAGTTATGTGTGGGGAGTTTTTAGAGAGGCAAGTTTCGCCTTTAAATAGCATTACTAAAGAAGTAAAGAGGGACGTGGAAATCTCACCGTTTGCCAATGATCTAACTGACATTGAATCGGATATTAAGGACTCAATTCTCTTGTCCGAAACGCATTTGGACCCAGAGTCTCCCTTACAACCTGAGCCTCGCATAGATTTCACGTCAGTTGACCCAGCCACAGACATTGAAACGAGTATGGAACGAACTGATACGCCATTCAAAGGCAAAATTAACCCGTCTAATCATTTTCGGTCAGATAATGAATTAACGATGAATGCAGAATTAACAGACCCCTCATCATTTGCGGATGATATAATGGACAGATTCATTTTTGATCCCGATTTTCCAAACACAGGTCAAGTTGATGATTTTGCAGATATAATGAATATAGGGAAAAGTCCGTTTGGTCCAAATTTCCCAATCATTGCAATGGAGGCTGAAACACCATCTGTTCCAACAGTTAATATCGACTCGTTAAACTTCGCATCTGCTGATGTAGATTCCTCTAGTTCTGTTGGTATTGATAGATCTAGGGGAGGAAAACGTCCAGCGGCCAGTATTGTTGCTAATAATAACATCGATAGAAGTGATGCAGATCGTTTAGGGAACTCCAGTCTCAATAGCTTTGGTAAAAATAGTTCATCCACGCCTTTGCAGGGAAAGCCCCAGAGTAAAAAAGACATTGAGCAGGAATGGTTTAGAAAAATCATTTCGCCAACAAAGAAAAATTTTGACCTCCCGTATGTAATCCCGAAAAATTGATGATTGGAAGTGGAGCCAAAGAGCCCCAAACGCCAGTAAAAGCCTCGAAAACTGGGCCACTAAAAGTTAGGATTTCACTTGCAAAGGTTCATTTTGGGAAACAGAGTACTAGCTCGGAAACAACGTCCACAAGTTCTCCAAAAAAACCGCCAAAGATCAGAGGCAAAGATATCAACAATTTAATGCCTAAAAAGAAAAAATCAGTTGAGAACAGTAGATCAAAGGGTAAGGCAAAACCAGGTGTTAGTGCTGTTAAAAATGACAGGCCGCGGCAGTCAGGGGGAAAAGACATCGAACAGATCAAATCTTTAATGGCTGAATTATCTAACAAAACAACAAGCGAGGATGAAGAACCAGTTGATGTAATGCGAACTCCCTCGCCTCTCAGGCCTGAGGCCAGAGTGTCAGGTAAACAAATTCAAGGAACCCCGGTTAATGCAGTCGCAAAGAAGGATCTTAGTTTTGGGTTGAAGCAAGACACTGAAGAAGCACACGTAGATAAAGATAGGACTAAAAGCACTGATGTGTCAAAGAAAAAGAGTGAAACTCTTACGAAAATTAATTCACGAAAACGGACTTCATCAAGTATGTCACAAAGTGATTCTAACTATCAGCAAAGTCCACGAATGAGTACTAACAAAACCAAACGAATCAAAATTAAGAAGAAAAACAGTTCTGGTATTGTTTCAGGCATTGATCAAAGTGATGACAGCAATTTAGGCTTTGAAACACCGAACTCCTCAAAGTTGACTGCTCCCACTGAAAACCCTCTCGTAGTGAAGATAAATATTTCCCTGCTGTTAAGGATTCCCAGTGCTAAACAAGAAGACATTAAGACTGAAGTAGATTCAATAGTTAAAGAAGAAATTATGAGTGAAACCCCCACTGAAGTTAACCAACTAACAGAAAAAGTAAGTTTCATCAACTTATTTTTTGAACTTTTTTCTCCGAATAGTCAAAACGTATTAAGAATTGGCATCGTTAGAACTCATTGTTGAAATATAAAAAAATTGTTGTGAAAACTGATACCTTCGAAGTGAAGAATACTTAGGTGGCTACAGGTTTTTCAATTGGGCTTATGTGACTCCTACACAAATGCACTTTTATTTGCAATGAATGAGTGTATTTTTCTTTAACGGTTTCAAAGTTTATAAGCGATGCTGCTTTTTGGTTGTTTGTCTCACCTATCGATAATACTTTAAAAAGACAATTCACGTCAGGTCTTTTTTGTAAAATATGTAAGGAATTTTCACGAAAGCCTTGTGTTCTGAAGCCTGGCAGCAGCTCTGTAATTCATCAAGTATCTACCAAAAAAGTGTTTCTGCTAGCGTTACCATGCAATGTATTAAGATATCGATTGCCCTCTGATGTTCCCATTGAAAGGTGCAATACTGATATCTTAGCATTTTACTTAGAATGTTACTGAGCTAGCGAAGCTAAAATGCATTTTAAAAGTGAGATTTATAGTTTCACCTTTGATAGCGCCATGTCTTTTCCGCTGCTTTAAAAGCCATTGCAAAAAATTCTAGATAGGTCTAAGCAGAATGAATTAAGTTGATTTATGAATGATCTAGCTTTTGAAACAAACTGAGTATATGATGCCAAACTGTATACAATCTTGAAACAAACTGGGTATATGATGCCAAGCTGCGATCATTTTTAGCTGTTCTTACCAAGTTACTTTTTGAAAAGGAATTGATACCCTGACCCAATTGCGTTTCCCTTTTTCCTTGTTGCATTTCAATCAGTTAATGTGAATCGTATAAATCTAGGCATATGGAAAGGTTTAAACTTTAAGAATAAGACCATTTTGTGTAAAAAGTTACCAAATCATCTTGAGGTCGTAACCGTTTCATTTCAGCGTATGTTTTTATTGATGAGGGACATTTAACTTTTATCCACACTATCAATCACTCAAAGAGGAACACTGCGTTTAGGGATCATCCCTTTTAAGTTTTGTAACACATAAGCAGTGTTGTCATAAGTTATGTTGAATAGCAGAGTCACACAGTTACATGATCATATGGTTATATCTCTCTAGAATTCAAAAGTATTAACACCATATTGACTCTAGGGTGCTTCTACAAACGTACTGGGCGTTGAATCGATAACAATATTAGTTTTCTATACTTACTAACTGCTGGCTTTTGATAGGTACGCAAACCGTTACCCAATATGAGGATCCCAAAGATAGTGAAACCCCAAGAGGTAAGTGGGTCGTGCAGTTTTTCATAGCGAATAAGCGATAGTAGGATTCAGTTTATTTTTGTAATAGGCAATAAGTTAAATCCTCTTTGGCAAATTGCAATTATGATTTACACAGATATGAGTTAAGTTGTCTTGAAGTAATTTAATTTGGCAATGGCTTAGCAACTTGTTTTTTTAAATTAGCGAGAAGCAAATTCAGCTTGTTGTCTCGGTTACTGTGGTAACAATGACTGTGGCAGAGTTTTTATTTCAATATTCGACGTCCTTTTCAGGGAACTTTGTATTTTGCAATCACATTTTGTTATTCGATTTTTAAATTTGAAGTTTTGAGTTTGATTATTTGTGGATTTGAGAACCTTGCTTGGGTGAAGTCAACGGAAAGAAAGAGTTTTAAAGCTATACGATACCAATGATGATGATTTTTTATGTATAGCCTACCAAGCTATTAACTTCGTTATTTATATAAATGCTAATAAAAATTTATTTTGTTTCCAGGATGAACAAGCTCACAAAGTCGGCAGAGGATGGTAAAATTTCTTTGTTTTCTCACTGGGGAAGAACGACGTCTTTTCTTTTTAGAAGCTTTCTTAAAGACTCATTGCTAACATTGAGCCATTGCGCTACGCAAGCATCCCATAATGGATTTTTAGACAGTCTGAAATCAATTTTGGTTAATCCATAGAAGTTTGCTGCCATTGTTTGAATCGTCGCCACGCTCGCAAAGGGCCATTGTTAGCAATGAGTCTTTAAGTTTTGAAAAACCACATATTTCTCAAGGGAAAGTTTTATAGAAGTTCTTTGTTGTGTTTATGAGCACTGAGCTAATGTTTATGGACATGGCTGTGGTAGAGGGGGGGGGGGGGTAGAGTCTGTGAACTCAATGCTGAGGGGAGGGGGTGAAACGTTTTGGCCACGCCTTTTTTCGTTGTGAGAAAACGTCTTTTGATCAACAATGAACGCCAATTTACCAAAAAGGAAAAACCATGACTAACTTTTGGTTACTTATATGCAGTTTTGACATCATGAAATGGCATCAAAAGGAATACTTTGCCAAATGTTACTCCTCTCAGGATTTTCTCATCGAATCGAGATTAAACGAAATACAAATCGGACACCAGGTTGAGAGATTCTGCTGTTTATTATGTTAATATATTTAAGCTAATATGGGTTATCTTGTCATGTAGGCTTTGCTGTAAAAAGTAGAAATTAAAGTAAATGTAGAAAATAAGATTTCTTTTTTCTTGCGTTATGTAGTGTCGATGGACATCCCGATAATATGGATACTGACACTAGTTCAAACTGTTCCTCATCTTGTAAACAAGCCAAAGACGTTGGAAAGGACAAGAAAGCAAAAAGGATTTTGGAAGGGCGAGGGGTCAAAAGGAAAGAATGGGAGAGATGTTCTAAAAACACATATCCTAATGTGTGTGGTATGTGCGGAGCATTACAAAAAGACTCTGGAAGGGATCCAATTCGACTTGGCGCGTAAGTTTCATTAATTCCTTTAGCAAGCCATATAAACTATTTATATATATATCAATATATCTGATATAATTTTGTTGGCGCTGCAAGCTTGAAAAGCCAATTTGCATGGCTTGTTTTTTCAAAGCCAATATAATTTTATGTAATCCAATGATATGATATAATTCGATAATAATAGTGTAGAATATTAAATGGTTTGGTATAAAATAATAGATATTAAATATAATATGCTATAATGCAAAATCATTTATTCAATTATTCATTTTCCATTTTTTAATTTATTTAGTATTCAGGTAACTTTTAATTTTTTAATTCTTTTGTTCTTTGATAACTATTTTACTTGAATATCTGCATAGGAAAGTGTTAGCTGATTATTTAAAAGCATTGTTTTCTTTATTTTTGTTCATTATTTATGCTCTAGAGATAACTTTAATGACTTTCTTCCAGATACAAGACATCTTACGTTGAATATTTAAACTTGGGTAAACGAAGTAAACATATTGCTGATTGCCTGGTTAGTACATTGTTTTCTTTAATTTATTTGGAATTTCACGTCTATTTATTTATTAAAGAATCTATCTAGGATTGTCTTTGGATGTGCGTCGTCAATTAGATTTTATCACTTCTTTTTTGAAGCATATAAATTCAAGGAGTGAAATTCCTTTGTCATTTTGAACTGTTGCACAATATCAGCTGAAGATTATTTCCTAACGCTGCATAGTTGGTAATAATATGGTTTTGTTTCTTTAACAATAACGAGGCTTTGTTTCAATGAGTTTCTTTTCAATACTGTAACGATAATAAATTATATGAAATAAATATTTTCCCGTTTTTCTTGTATTCTTTTGCTTTGATTATTTTAATTCATGGTTACATCATGAACGCTCTCTTTTCATAATCGATTCTTATTTTTTCTCCTTTTTTGTTTTATCAACTCCAAGCTATGCATTGCTTTCTCTTTAGGACGCAAGTGAACGGGCCCCAAAATATATCGACGCAGTTTTACAGTATATCCAGTATCTCGTTGGCATGGAGATAACTGGTAAAATGGTGAGCTGTGCCTCGAAATTTCTACTCTCCGTAGCACCTGCAGTGAAGGTCTTTTCTTAAATTGTTGATTTTTGTTATTTATTAGACTATTATTTATTTACGTTTTATAAGTTTGATTTTTAAGCATATAAAATCATGTATTAGCCTGCCACACATATCATATTTGCATATAGGCTCTGTTTATAAAGAACTCATTGTGCCCAAGACTCTTCCACCCCTTGATCTTCTTACGAAACCAAAACACAGCCTTTATCCTGTCTGCTGGGCAAGCTAAACTTCAATCTCATCTGTATAATTTATTAAGTTTTCGTATAAAAGTTAGGATAATTCTATCATTGAATTCATCAGCCAGAATTCTATCATAGACATAACAAGGATCATTGAAGAAATGAGTAAGAGGATAAGGGAGTATTCAATCCATTGCCATTTTTAATCTTTACAAATTGCTTTTTGTTTTCTAATTAGATGTTCTTGTTTTCTAGGGAACAAAACTTGGTACAGAAGAATACATGTGTATAACGTCACAGTGTATAGATTTAGTCGAGTAAGCAATTGCCTCTGTCTTTTTTGTCCATACGCAATCGCTCAAAAGACCTCGATTCGCTCTTAGCACGAGACAAGCTATATTTAGCGAATTGTTTTCAAAGCATTCATTTTTTAGCTTTGTACATTTTTGCTAGGGAGTTGATTTTTATCTTTGTGTGCCCAGCAATCGGTTTTCTCATATTTTTGGTTTCTCTCGGTTAATTATAATTTGGTCGCCAATAGTGAAGACAACGTTACTCGCCAATAATAGAGACAAGTCCAGAAAGAGCTCTCCATTCCGGATAATTTCCTTAACCTTTAAAAACCATTCTCAAAAACAAAGTAAAAAAGGCGGAGTTCGGGTGTGGCATTTGTTTTCCGTTGGCTTTTATTGCGGTCATTCACCGTGTGGTTGCCACGTCTTCCGGGCTCTTGTTAACCTTTTGGGTTGCCTTGTGGAATATTTGAAATGTAAATCTTACTTGTGCCGCAAAATTTCCGCTTTAATATTTCCGCTCTAATATTTCCGCTTAGTATTTCCGCTTAATATTTAGAAATTTTTTTCGTTTTTAACTGGAATTTCTTTTCTATAAACAAATTTTTTTATAGATATGTCGTTAATCAATATGGAAAGAAAGAAAACAATAACCTTTCGAAATATGATGCTCGATTTATATATCTATGGTAAGTCTCTTAAATTCGCTGTATAAAAAAGATCAAGTTCCTTATTTCTTTCTCTGCCAACAAAATTGGTTTCTTCCATGATTTTATGCCCTTTTAATTATCTTTGAGTCATGCTGGAGTTCGACAAATTACCACAAAATTAATGAGTGAGAAATGTGTATGCAATAATTTTGCTTTTTGGAAAATTTGCTTTTTGTTGCATTCTAATAAGTAATAATCAATTCATTTTCATTGCAGTTTGCGATTGCAGAGTATTTTATATTTCAAGTTATATGCAATAAAAAAGGATTCTGCAGCACGTTATTCAAAGGTGTGTTCCATCTCTATGGTTTGTTTGTCATTATCGCCTCGAGGACAAACACAGTGTGCATCTAGATAGAACCAGTTCTCACTAGGAAGTTAATCATAGCCGAATAAACGGCCTTTTTATGCAAAAAAAACAGGTACCTGACAAACCTTTGAGTGAATATGAGGCTGTGTATAACTCCTCCGTAATTTTCATGTATTGGTATTTCTCCATGCGAATCAGTCTGATACGCTGGTTAGTAAATAGCCTAAGAGGACTGGCATAAGACTTCGTCTTATGATGTTATCGTATATTAAAGTAACAGAAATGTAAAGCAGTGTGCAGATAGGTCAATCAAGAAAACTTAAAGGACACTATCCTGTTCGAAGATAGCTTGAACGGCATTTTAATATCAATTGTAATGTCTGGGAGGTTGGTAGCTTACAGGCACCATGTCCCGACGCATTTCGCATGGCCATTTAAATTTTACCATGGGTTGGACTAAACAATAGTTATTGTTGCGTATCAAATCGGCAACGTAAGGCTAATCCGCAATATTTTCTGGATCATAAACGAGCTGAAAGCTTATTGCTAATTTCTAAACTGTTGACTAACGGGACATAGTGCATTTAAGCAAAGTGTGTGAATTTTAAACCAATTTTTTTACTTTTCTCATTAATAAGTTCTGAAGAAAGCCTTATGTTACTATCTCATTATATCATATTTTGTTTCAGCTGCTTTCAGAGTATTTTAAAGTTCATCGGTCGCCACAAAGAGTAAATATAAAAGGGTATGGTATTTTCATTTTTATTTTCTTAATAGAACGTGCATCATTAACAACTGCTAGGCATTTCATAGAAACGATATTACCTTAATAGAGGGATCTCCTTATCTTTCTAATTTCAATATATTATTTACAAATTAGTCATGTGCGAAATGGAAGCTTCCGATCGGTTGTTTCCTCTCTGTATGAAATAATTGTTGACCAATTTTTCAAGTGTAAATACATCGTGGTGAATATGACGTAAATAGATGGAGTTTCGTGGTATGTCAATTGCTTTTCCAGGCTGCAATCGGCTGCAGGGATCATACGGCAATAGGCTTGCAAATCACTGTTGGTAGAAAATTTTATGAGCTACAATGCCAACAGTAACTTGCTACAACCAGCAATTTGCGTTGTGTTTTTATGTTTTTCTTCTAGATTCCCGAATCCTGCTACTTCCACCCCCTTTCCATCCTGTTACTTCCACCCCCTTTCCAGTCAAAGGAATATTGAGGGTTTAGGTAACTATTATGCAACTCACACGAAAAAATGTATCCCCCAATCTTCTACGTCATTTATAATAAACCAACAATTTACCCGGGGGAACGAGGAATAGCCGAATTTGCCCTTGAAACCTAACGTTGTTGTTCCAAGACTTTAGGCAGGAATGACTATTAAAATGACACTGTCAAACATCTGATTCATAGGAGCACCGGGACACCCTCACCGATGTCACCAACGTCTTCTCATACGGGCAGCGTTGCATCTTTCGGCAGTGCTAACAGTTCAATAAGCAATGGAAGTTATGAGAAAATGCTGACTATGGGGCAGATGGTGCCCATTCAGACTGAAATGTTCGAGCGAATGCAACAGTATTTTACGTATACAAAATATCTTCTTCACGGACATCGGATTTGGGACGATGCAGATTCTTTAGTGACTCAGTGTCAAGGTAAGCCTCCATTATTTTAACCTTTGCATTGTCATTGATGGTTATTAGTGTATCTATACATTGTTGCAATGGCATCCCAACATCAGTATCTACCGGTATCGAGTATAGAAATACGGTATTATACCCCATCGTCAAATGTTTTCAATCAGCTGATGCCAGTCAAAGTACGTATTCAGATTGTGTCCAGAATATTTGTTTTTAAAATTGTTCCTTTTTCGTCTATTTATTTCTTCATTTGCTGATTGAGAGGATTTCAAATATTTTGAAGAAAACTTGCTGCACTAGAGACAAGTCTGTTTTTAGCCTCTAGCTGCACATGCTTGTTAATTCTGATCAAATAAACTTTTAACATGATTCATTTTGCCCCAAATGTTAGACTGGGTTTCTTAAATTGCTTGGTTGCAATAGGATGATAAAAATACGTTTTTGGTTGTTATTTATTTTAGAATTTATAAACAGCGTGTCACGCCGAGTTGGTGCGATAAACATTCAAAGGTTTGTAGCATGTTATTTTTCATTGTACATTTCATTTGTTATCTATATGAAGGCGCATTTCCAGTAGAACTCGCATATAAAGTATCGCATGGCTCAAGTTTACGTTCAAATCGAGTGGTAGGCTTGTGAGCGTATCTCTTCTCAGTGCTGCGGTGGGTTCCAAGTAAGGACCAACCCGTTATATTTCTCACTGTCATTTAAAAGCCAAAAATGAAACTTCAACATATTGTAAAATGCTTTGCTTGTAAGCGAGTACTAGAAAAGCATATAATTGCGTATGATGATAGAGTCGTTTGTAAATATCACGAATTGAAGTTGCGATAAACTGCATATCCATGAGATGGTAAACTGCAGAATCTTAGAAGGTCTTAGCAACAGCGCTATTCTACATACGGCATTAACAAACTTCTCAGTGGCTGGTCACTTGCGCACCAAGCAATTTTGGTTTAGTTCATTGTCCTAGAAATACATCAGTGTTATGGCACCGTACAAACTTTGACGCGATTGGCTTCCTCGGTCACGTGATGCCTTCTTGAGATATTCTATTGGCTTAATTAATTGATGTTTTTTTAATTTTTTTGTAGCTCGATGTTACATTTAGTGGATTACATAAGCACCGGACTTGACGTCATAAAAGACAGTGAGAATTGATGATATTTACCTGAAGAAGAACTTTTGTATACCAGATTCGAATTGTGAGCAACTTTAGGGTGGAATGTGGAACTTGTCTTACAGAATTTCCACTGCTCGTTAAACGGAAGTAGCCTTAATTAATCTTAGAGAACGATAGTTTTGAAGTATTTTATCTGGTAGCTGTATGCTATGCCTGTTGGATTTAACTACAATAGGAAGTCAAGAGTTTTCCTTTATCAATCAAAAGCTATGAATTTTTCAGATTACCTCGTGTTGTTTTCTCGTGAGTGCTCTTTTCCAGTGACTGAAAAAACGAATACTGATAGATAATTCAATAAGCTAGTTGTCATACATGGCAAGGAGTTGGTTGCTTACCATAAACGATATTTTGATCTTCCAAGGGTCACAGTCAGAAAAATAGGGGGCAAGCTGTGTTCCTTGTCCAGATTCGACATGTCTGCTTTTTTAAGTACTACATTTTTGTACTGTACGGAAATTAGAGAGTGTCAGCTTTAAATCCAAGATAAATGCAATATTTCGCTTTAAACATATTATTTCCCATCTGTCCCTTCTCACGGTTCATCGCAAGCTCCGGCCAAAGCAGGGGACTGGGACTAGTAGCTCTCGTTTTTCTCTGACGTCATTTAAGTCGTTTGACTATTTATTTTGAAAATGTACACCTAATTGATAAAGACGTTTTCCCGAGCCCACTGCGACCCTGAACAAGGGTATGAATGAGCTACGGTCCAGCCGTCCGTTTTTAATTGTTTCACAATTTCCTTTCAAGACGTTTTTAAATAACCTTAGGGATATTTATCCTATATCAAATTTCTTCTGTCATGAAACTTGGTTTCTTGCTCAAATTTTAGATGAGCTCTCGAAAATTTTGCGCTGAATTTGCATGAAAACTAGACATATGTTTTAATGCGCCGAAATTTACTATGTTAAAAAGTACTCGAAAAGGAAAATAAATTAAATAAAACAAATCTTAAGGTCGGAAACTTATTTCAATAAAATCTTTCATCGATCGCAGGGTTACCAAAGACTTTTGTCAAGCATTGTAGCAGTGTTAGAAAATTTTTGCTTAGGCACAGAAATAACACTGTTTATCAACCTAATATACTAGCTCGCTACTATGACTGAAATATTTTATTTCTCAGAAATTCTATTTGGATACAGTTAGTTTTATTTCAATTTCCACTGCATACGATCTATGAATAAAACGATACAAACAGTTAACTAAACTACGAGAATATTAAGTATCAATACAATCATTCTAGGAAATTAGTACATCATTTTTTAAAGAACCTCAAGGCTCAAAGAAAGGAAGAAAGAAGGATAATTTTTCTCAACACATTCATATTTAAACAAAGTTATCAAATTAGGTCAGAAATAACACGTGTGGAATATGGAGTTATATATTGAAATAAAATCGCCCTTCTAGCTCTTTCCTGTTACAAAACACTGGACCGATAATTGTTTTGCACGAAAGACCCCAAACTAACATACCGTATTGTAGGAAAAGTGAAAATAAAAAGTTTCAACGACAGGCCGAAAAGTATGTTTGGTGTAAAGGTATGATTTGCTCTGTTTCATTTGAAAACTGGCCACAAGTTCTAGCCAATTTTTCAAATACGAAACATGATTCTTCCCTGACAGATTTTCATCTAAATGAACACCAAGAAATTTAACTTTGATGAAATCTCTTTATGAATATCTCATTAAACATCTTATAAAAGAAATAAAAGTCCCGTTAACGCATCATCATGAAGTTAAAAATATCTCATTTAAGAATGAAAATAACAGATATATTTTCCTTACGCTATTCTACATAGGCAATTAAATTGAAGTTTAATCCAGGGGCGGACTGGCTGGTCGGGCTATTCGGGCGATCGCCCGAAGGGCCGGTCGGTCTGAGGGCCGGCTGATAAAAGTACAAAAAAATAAATTAGCTTAAAAAGTATACCCACGCGTTGATCTGTTTGCCTTGAATTTTCAGAGACACTTGAATTTGAATTGTGGGAAAGAATAAATATACATGCAAGTACTCGAGAACCATTAAAATTATGAATTCATTATGAATTCATTCAGCCCAGACACACTTCTTCAGGAAACATGTTATTGTTATATTTTCTCTTGACGGTATTTTCTTATTGGCGACTACTGTAACATACTATACTGTAACACCCCTGTTTCAAGGCGATACATAAGATTTTAACCTGCCTTGATGTCTTCTTACTTAGCTTTTGCTTGAAGCTGGTCATGTTTTTGCCTAAGCACAAGCTATCGCTAAATGTAATAAATTTAAAAGTTATTAGAGTTCACTAAGCGATTTGCTCTGTGATTTGGAGCAATAAAGAGGACATACGTAGAACGAGGAAGAACAAGAAGACTTCAATCAAAGGTGGTGCATAGAAATTTCGCGAGGAAAAGCTGCGAGACTTAAAAAAAGGATTCAGCTACGATACAAAGCTTTTTTATCAAGCAAAAGCCACAAACATCACAAAAAACAGCAGGGTCTTGCTCTTGCTCCTTTCAATAAACTAAAACAAGTTATGGAAAGTTTATTAGGCCTACACTATCATAAGTCAAATGCACCCCCTGCCCAACAGTATGGTAAGGTGCTACACGATAAAATTTCAACAGGGGTGCCCATGTTTTCTTTCTGGGGTCAGAAATTGACAAATTGATATTTTTGGGTTGCTGAAAATCATTGTGGTTTTCCGGAGGATTAGAAAATTATTTGTCACAAGTGGAGTGTGATAGAAGCCTTTCCACTTTAAATAAATAAATAACAGGTTACGTAGTGATTTTTCGCAGCCAAACCTGGAGTCCTTCATGTTAATGTTCTTAGAAAAGCACCTGTTAAATGACATCCAGAACGATAGCATTATCAACATATAAGTTCCTGTATTTAGAATCAGAGTCAAACCAAGAAGTTACAATTTTTTTTTATTTACTGTTTAGTCAGCATATGACATATTTAACATGTTCCGTTAACCATATTCTGTTAACCAGCATTCATCCATGCACAAAATTACTGAATTTAAAAACTTGTTTTCCTTACAGACTAACATTTACTTGCATTTTCCGAGGAGTTTTTTATTTGCTATTATTGTGGGCCGGTTTGATCAAATTTTGCCCGGGCCAAAATAATTAGCCAGTCCGCCCCTGGAATCTGGATGTTCTTAACTTTTTCTAAAATATTAGGCTGGATTGTTCTTAATTTGTTCTTAACTTACTAGGAGGTGTGACCAGTGCAATTTCTAGTTAGTGTTTTCTAGGGGGGGGGGGGGCTGGGTGTTCAGGCCTCACTTGAAACAAGTGAGTGAAACACCCTTTAATGCCGCAAAGTTTGGAAATTAACCGAAAAAACTTGTATAGAAAAAGGATTTTTCAAAATTACATTTTACAGCTCAGCCAAAGCTGGTTCTTAATTTGTTCTTAACTTTTGGCCATTTTTTAGGCTCGTATATTTATGAAAATTGTTCTTATAAAAAAGAATATAGTTCTATTTATGACACGCCCATACTCCTATTGTCAAGTAATAACAATTTTTGCCCAGACATAACCAGTAGTTCGACTCAAGCAAACAAAGGAGCAAAAAAAAATATTGATAATCACACTGACATTTTCAAAAGTTTAGCTCTATGTATACGTTATGCTACCTATAAAATTTCCGAAAGTGGACCTATAAATTTAACTCCCCTCCCCCCTCCAAACGCAGGAGAAATTAAGTACAACTGTTCTTGAAAAGGAGAGGGAGTTCAATAGAGGTTGTATTGTGACAAGCATTTGATGTTTCATTGTTGCTGTAAATTGCTCTTTGTTCCGCGTTTTATTGTGGTCGCTGCTTTATCAGTGTTGTTGAAAATTCTTTCTGGTCGGCATCATAACAAAGAAGGAATCGAAGAAGGGGACGTTTCCGCTCAAATATCATTGTTTTCCGGCGAAATTATCGACGAACATTGCAAACCCAACTTTTATGAGTATGTATCTTACATTTCATGCAAATTTATAGGTGGTTTGGTAGGCATTCGTCCTCGTTCTTCAGAAAGCTTTTCCGTGGCATTTGCCTGTTGCCTCTCTGCTACACCGTTCCAGCAAAACGGAAGTCTGAAGGTATATTCAAGCAAAATTGTGAATCAATACACGAGTATTGCATCCAGCTAAGTACGATAGTGTCATTTTAAGTTTAGTGTCAATGTTTAAATCCATAAAGCCATTGTTTGTTCAACTTGTATCGGAAGCACAGTGGGAAGGACGGCCTAACCAAAACATTCATATGGCATTCAATGTGATGTGGTTATAATGCTTTTCACTGGCCAGTCCCGAAGATGTTTTTCACTTATTATCTCGAAGATTTTAATTTTTAGAAAGAAATTAGAATGATTCTGGTTACTAATTGTGTTGCAAATGTCACCCAACCGAGCTTTTTATTTCGCACATTGCTATGTCATGCTGGTCCAAAAGAATGTATCTCTCAAAGAATGCGGCATTGATATAATTGCCGAGAAAACCTAAACTTATGGACTGTTCATGTCGTCCCTTTGCGGGTCAATCCTTGATAATATATTGAATGATTCTTAATTTTCTTACAAAACAATGCACAAATTAGAAAATAGCTAACTTTTTGTTATCAACAAGGGGGCTTCCTTAGATCCCCTGTATTGTTAGCAGACCTTGAAAGTCTGTTCTGGTACTTCTCCTGTTCTGAAAAAGTCTAAAACAGGATGACACAGTTCAGTTCAGTTCAGTTCATATAATTTTAAATTCCACTACATACAAATTTTGTCAAAACATTAGAATAAACTATAGGCTACAAGTTACAATACAAGTTTAAAGACTAAACATAACTAACAGAAAAAATAGAAAATTTACATGAAGAGGAATTTTTAAGGAGGAGGTCTCTCAGTAGCAAAGCTAATCGAGGAGAGGCATTCCCCTATGGGAAAATTTTAATTGATGAATATAACTAAGAAACGTTTTGAGGAAAATAGTTATCATTACTATCTATAAGCTGCTACAATAATTATTTTCAAAAAGAAAGGCTTCGAGTCTTTGACGAAAGATATGAACAGATGGTGACCGTTTAATATCTAAAGGAATTTCATTCCAGCCTTTTGATCCATGTTGATGTATAGATCTGAGACCATATTGATTGGTATTTTTTTGAGTTAAAACATATTGTCCTTGCGAGCCTGTTGTGTACCATATTGATGTGTGGACGCCACAGATTTAAACAAGTTGTGGAAACAAGTAGGGGATATTTTATTGACAGATTCATACACAAAAGTCAAAAGTTTAAGTTGAAAGAGATCATGCAGTTTTTAGATTTTCAAACTGTAAAAGATAGGAGTTGAGTGCGAGTTTAAAATGTTTAAGAATAAAGCCAGTTTAAAATGAATGTCAATGGACTAGTTTATTTTTTCCATTCAGGTTCACTTCCTGCATATATTTTATTTGCCACATGCCTGAACATGAAATCCTTCTGCAATTATATACAAGCAGTGGCACATGGAAAGAATGAATGGGTGGTTCAGACCCCACCATTTTTCAAATGCCCAGTCTTTTAGATTTGCCAAAAATGCAAAGATCTTGGTGGATAATTTGTTTTCTCAATGTTTACAATATTGTGACAAATTTAAAGAAAAGTTCAAAAGATTCCTCAAATATACCCATCCACTAACTGTGTACTTTTCAAAGAAAAGAAAACAGGGAAAAACCTTGATGACAGCTTCATTCATAAAAATTCTTCTCATGTATGTCACTGACAATATTGCATTATTTTTACTATTTTTTCAACTTTGAGATCACTTTTTTCAAAAACCCTAGATTTTTCAGGAAAAATTTGCAATTCCAAGACTTTGAAATCTGAATAGTTTTAGACATAAAGCTGGTAACCACAGCTGATGACATGTAGGGACAGACAATTGTACAGATGAACCAGTCTGCAGAGAAGCAAATGCAGGCATGAGATTAGTTTAGAGTGTGAGATTGAGAAGAGATTTGAAATTGCCCATCCAATCAGCAATTGTATTATGGCATCATAATTATACTTGTATACCCTTTGATTGTTAAAACCAAATTTGTATGAGATCCTGTTTAGAACTGTCATACCTAGCAGACTGACAAGCAATCCTGTTTTTTATTTGGCATCAAAGTCTAAAATATGAGTTGCTGATAAGGACAAACCATTTAAAATCTCAAAGTCTAATACTTTTTCTTGAATCATTTGAAACACATCATGGCTTATTATTTCACTTCCCAACAACTTTGGGGATTGAACAAGACACTACTGTGAGAATGCCTATTTCAGTAACTGTTTTAGCTAATGTATTGAATGGCTGCTACTGACACATATGAGACTGGTGCAGCAGCAACCTATATGTCACACATTTTTCATGCAATTGTAGCTTGATCACTGTTCAAAGAAGGAGAAAAAGAGAGTTGAAATAACATGACTTTACATGTTCTATCTCATTGAAATACTTGTGAGTTCAGTTTGACTATCCACATGCCCATGCTCAGACCTTTTTTGCAAGATTTATTTTAGTTGACAAATTTAACAACATTAAGTTTCAAATTTATTCCAACCAAATATTCTTTAAATCTTTGTTCAAATTGCAATAATGCATTAGAATCCTATATGATTATAGGATTTCAACTCTGTTTTTTTACCTTTTCCCAATAGTAAAATACCTGGTTGACTTTAGATGTAACCAAATAACATGAGTTTTTATATTATTTGCTAAACTTGATGAAGGGCAGTGTTTGTATTGAGAAATATGGCATGGTTTCTGTACTTTAAGCACTTTCTACTCTTGACCTTGTTTAGTGAAGATTAATCCATTCTTGATACCATTAACGCTATTTTTTCCACATATGTGCTTCAATGTCTGCAGACCTGTATAAAATATCACATTTATAAAGACCTAATTCAATACACTGTAGCCTTAGCTGCAAATAGTGTATATGGACTGTGTCTTGGTGAATGCTTCAATCTACTTTTCTTTTTTGTTACCAAAGCACACAATAATGGAACCCACAATTAGATTATTACTTCAGTAGGAACAAGCCCCTTGAATTATGGAAGCAAGTTTCAAAGGTTTATATTTCAAGTACTCTATCGAAAAACAAGTTGCAATTATCAAATATTGTATGAATTACAGGAAAAGAGCTAATTCTTTATTGTGAATGACCAAATTAATCTTGCAAAGTTTTATTTCTTTGCTTACATTCTTTGCAGGGAGATTTTTGCTTTCAGTTTGCTACTGGTTTAACTAAATAAGCAATGCTAAATCTCAGTAGTCTGACTCATTTTGTTAATTATTGAATTTTTAATTAAATTTATTTAGTACAGTATACTTATTCTACTAGAATTATGCTATTGGGTGTATAGAACAGGACGGTTCTAAGTTGCTACTCTGAGTTTCATGCTTAATGTGATCATCAGGCAACAGTTGAAGCTACTTGGTCTATGGTTGTTATTATATTTAGTTGTTATGTCTCTGGATGTATCGGCGTTAGTTCTACTAGAGTTCTATTAGAAATCTACTAGAATTATAACCCTACAACGTTGTAGTCCTGTTCAGTTTCGGTTTGTTTTTACTAAAGATATTGTATTTGAGAAGCATCATTTTTAAAAAAATACACAAGAATTTATGATTGAGCTTGCGCCTTTAGCATTGATAAAGTTTGGTTTTATCTCTTTTGATAACCGATATTGCATTTCATAGTACGTAGACATTTTAAAATAGAATTTTGTTTCAGTAAACCTTGTTTATCAGTGGAATAAAGGTACAGAAAACCTAACAAATTTGCTCCATGGTTGGTCTATCAGGGGGCCATGGTGTGTCAAGGGGGCCATGGTGTGTCAAGGGGGCAAAACCCTCTCTCGAAAACTCTCTTTCTTGAAAACTCGTTTTTACTGTTACATTAAATGCATCCTCGGCATCATAGAGAATTCAGTAACTCTGTTGCATCTAAGCTAGGTAATTGCAAGTTAAAAACACATCGCTTTGACCAATTGCCAACCCTTAGCCTCCCTATAATGGCATCTGAACGTATCTTCTATTTGGCAGTCACAAGCAGTGCGAGGTCCCAGATTCTGTTACATCCCATTCAAGAAACTAGTTCTAATACAACCTAAATTAGTGTGGGGCTGCAGCTCCCTTGCGCTCTAGGAAACTGCCAGATGCACGAAGAGATACGGAAAAAGCAAGATGTTATACTTTGTGCGCGGATTGGCAACTCCTTTTGCAACTCCTTTTGTGCGCGGATTTCCTCGGTTTGATAATAAACGCTAGACTGTTTCGCGATTAAGACGAATGGCGTGGGCGCCGGCTTTGGGTGTGATGATTCCGTATAAGCGTAGAAGCATTACGGAGCGGGAACCTCCTTTGTGCCTGATGAAGACAATTGGCTTTTCACAAATTTCTTACGCATAAAACTTCCTCAAATCAATGTAGATTTGCTTGGTACCTTGTTAGTTTATCTTATATTTAATTACAGGCTTGAATCACGATCACAAGCTGTTCAAAGCCGTCACAAACTGCTTTCCAACGCTCTTTCTACGGGTTAGGGTTCTTGATAGTCAATACTCTTTAATTTCAGCTCTTCAAATTTTGTGGCTTTTTCTTTCATTTATGTTTTTGTTTAATGTTTGTGTGTTTCTAGCAAGAATTTATAGATCCACTATTTATATGAACAAATTAAGAACAATCCAGACCCAGATTTTTAAAAATATTAATATCAGCTAGCCTGAACTACAATTTGCTGGTTCTTATAAAAAAGGAGTGTAAATGAATTCTATAGATAAATTAATAAAATGAGGTCCTATAGAGCGCAGTCGACTGGATACGCCAAGACCTTCTCCGCTAGAAAGCAGGAGGTTAGTTTGCATTCCAGTTTTGAAAGGTATAGAAAACCTAGAGACAATTTCATGAGAAGGAACATGATTTTTATGAACAAACCTCTTTTGACTGAATCCATCGAAGTGTTTGGATTATCATTTGTAATTAAAAGACTGCTTGTTGCCTTTGAAGATTAATTAGTGGTCAGTGGTCTATACCATGCTTTCCTGTTTCTTTTTAAAAATTGCCATATGTTGTAATGTGTCCTAGCCAAAACTCGTAAAATCACTGTCTGTTGTAGACTCTGTTTGTAAGCACCCACAAGCTAGAAATTAAGCTCGATGGTTCTGTTTTCCCTGACGTTTAAACGTTTGACGGCTTGTAGGATGCATTGTATAGTATCTTCTTGGCGCCTTTATGGATTAGGCCTTTTTAAAATGATTTTGCCAACCAGATTCCGCGTTACAGCTAGTACGAAGTAAACCAGGTTGTTAAATGTCATTCTTTTTTACCAGCAGCTTTAACAAGAATGGTCCTGCTGCCTTGAAGAGATGGATTGTGCGTCTGTGGATAAAGTGATCCATCGCTCGGAAATTCGGATTAAAGAATCTTTCAGGAAAATGGCAGAGTTTCGGCAGCAAGGTCAGTTCACTGATGTAGTTCTTGTTGCCGGAGATAAAGAGATCAAGGCACATAAAATCGTTATATGTTCCTTATGTGACTATTTCAGTGCCATGTTCACAGGAGAGCTAGCAGAGACACGTCAAAATGTTGTGACGATAAATAATATCGAACCAGAGGCGTTGGAAGCACTGATAAATTATGCTTATACTTCTGAGCTGGAAATAAGAGTTGACAATGTCGAGAGCCTTCTTGCATCCTCGTCTATACTTCAAATAAAGGATGTCAGGGACGCATGTTGTGAATTTATGAAAAGTCAATTGCACCCGTCCAATTGCTTAGGTATCAGAGCCTTTGCAGATGCGCATAGCTGCGAGCAATTGTTCTCCATTGCGGATAAATATACTCAAGACCATTTCTTGGATGTTTGTAAAAACCAGGAATTTTTTTTGCTAAATAGTGGCCAGCTATGTGATATTTTAGTAGGGGAAGACATTAATGTGACAAGCGAGGAGCAAATATTTTCCTGTGTTTTGAGCTGGATAAATCATGATTACGAGGCTAGAAAGTCTGCTATCGGGGACATTTTAATGCACGTTCGTCTGCCTCTTTTATCACCGAAATTTCTAGTGGATGAAGTGGCCCGATTTCCCGCCATTGCAGAGAACGCTTTTTGCAAAGACTTACTTTTGGAGGCCATGAAATACCACCTTGTCCCAGAGAAACGAGAGGAGCTTACAAACTTGAAAGCCAAGCCCAGGAAAGGGACTGTTGGTGTTCTTTATGCCATTGGTGGTTAGTTGATTTTTTTATATATAACGCTGATTGTCCAAGAACCATATCTGTTTATCCCTTGTCTGTTTAGGCAAAACAGTTAAACACTTGTTTAAGCATTTGACATTTAAGTAGACATCAAATATCAAACAAATTTTTATTCTCATTTTCACCTTCGCTTAACAATTAAATTTCAGTGTTATCTGACAGAAAAAGAATTTAATGCCTTGCCAGAAAGATTGAATCGAGTATTCTTTTTAGACAATTTTTAGAAAATCATTTCATGATGCGAAACCTTTTAACTTGTGATTTGAACGCATGTGGTTTTTTTAGATCTTTTTCTATTTAGTATATGCTTTAGTATCAGGACCCTATTGATAACAGTATATCTAGTACCGAAAGGTTACCCTGTTAAAACATTCGATTATTATTACCATTTTTGATGAAAAACTTGGAAAGTATGCTTCGATCTTGAATTAGCAACTTCTATAACATTTTATCAGGGACATTCGACATCATGGCACATCTTTAAACGATCAAGGCATCAGAATAGATGCCATTTCAACTTTCTACATAGGAATACCAGAAATTAGTAATAGCACTGATGAACTACATTCATTGTACTACAAGCAATTGTACTGCATGATTATTGCAGTCATGTTAGTCGCTAAAAGCTATTTATCAATAATCCGTTGTTTCGTTTTAGGTATGGATTCTTTAAAAGGCGCTTCGTTATGCATTGAGGAGTACAACCCTCGTTCCAATGTTTGGAAGCAAGTGGCTACCATGGCAACCCGTCGCTTACAGTTTGGTGTTGCTGTTCTTGATAATAAACTATACCTCACCGGTAAGACCTTTGGGCAAAGACACATTCAGACGCAAGGTCACAAACAGAGTCTTAGACTGAAATAGATTTGAATTTTGAAATTGGAATTCTTGTCAACTCATTGGCTAATCCATCTTATAAATTGCTATTTTCTTTATCATCTGGATGTCCCAGCATAACGATTGATATACAGCTTTATATCCATTTAAAATAGTATATTTAATTGGGATTATAATATTCCTTAGCTACACCCTGATCAGAGCACTTTAGGCTTGCTAGATGTCTTACCATTGTGATTCCAGTCTGCCTGTGTTCGGAGTTATCTAACAATGCATTTATATATCTCAGTCTGTTTCTTTGTATATAAGCTACATTTTCTAACTGTGTGATCTATGCTATAACTGGGACCCTTTGTAGTCAGCTTAGTTTTAAAGCATTTTATGCAGTCCCGTAAATAGTGACTGGTTTTCCTTTATACAAAACATGATAAGGCCTCAATTGATCCTAGGTGGAAGGGACGGCCTTAAGACGCTGAATAATGTTGAATGCTATGACCCAAAGACATGTGAATGGACGACTCTTGCACCCATGCTGACCCATCGACATGGAGTTGGTGTCGCTGTTTTGGGTGGTCCCATTTATGCAGTTGGTGGACATGATGGATGGTCTTACCTCAATACAGTTGAGAGGTACGTTAAAATTTTTTAAGGTGAATCCCATGTCTAAGCAACTCAAAAGTCTGAGAAGAACAAGCCTGTTATTTTTCAGGGGATTCCACCAGACTTTTCATTATCTAATACTTCAATCCAGTCTCAGTTTGTTTCAATATAAATGTTTTCATATTATATTTAATTTAAGCTTTCGTTATTGGTTTTAACAACAAAGCCAATTTCCCTTTTCAATAGAGCTCGTTTAAGAAACTTTAGTACTCGGGAAGTTTCCAGCTACAAATGTTTTGGCTAATCATTTCAGCAAAATTTATTGATTGACAACTTCTCGTCTCTAACGTGATCTATTGATTTTATCTAGAGACGTATTTATGTTGAATGCAGTTGCAGCTGTTGAATTTCGTGGGAATTTGCTTTGGGGCTTATTACAAGAGCATAAAAAAACGCGTATGCTGCGTGAGGTTGATCCTCTTCGCAAGGTTTCTAGGCATCTTCCAGTTTCCAGCAAAAATCGGCTCTTTGTTTTGCAATAACTTATCAATATTCAAGTTAAAACACCTTTAAGTTTTTCAGAAAGTTGTAAATACGCTATACGCTTTTCACCACCAACTGTTTGCTGGTGATTTCATCAGAAAATGTATTTTGCTTCCAAGAAAATGTGTTTGATACATTCAATATTATCCCTATCAAATACCACATTTTCATAGCATGTGTTAGTATATTGATGAAATATTGAATACCAATTCCTTTTTTTACAGTCTTCGAAAGCCAAGCTGCTTTTGAATTATTGATCACGAAAATTATAACACTTTTGAACCGGGATGATCAAGAGAATTGAAGTACAAAATTGTTAATTCAAAGAAGCTTAATTCAGTTCATCGTTTGCGGTTAATTGTGGAGAACCAAAAACCTTACCAATAATTTAAGTCAATAATTTCTAAAGAAAAAAGGAGTAGACGCCAGTAAACAACCCAAAAATTGATCCTTTCACAGTGTCACGTGCTCGTTAGAACTTGTCTTCTTTACTGATTTTAAAAGGCAATTTCTACCTCTGGATCAAAATCTTCTAATTGAAAGAAAAAAATATGCGCAAATTAATAATTTAAAATTGTAAGTAACACAAATAGAAGACAAGTCAATATTTTTCGAAAGCTAAGTCCAACAAAACATACTTTTAACGTATAAAAGCCATTTAGTATCACTGCACATGACAATTTTTTTCATCATTGCAGATATGATCCCCAAACTGGACAGTGGAAGTTTGTTGCCCCGACGAACACCCCCAGAAGTACAGTGGGTTGCGCTGTTTTAGAAGGGAAGCTGTACTCGGTGGGTGGTCGAGATGGATCATCCTGTCTTAGCTCTGTCGAAGTATACGACCCATACACTGACAAGTGGTCCATGGCTGCACCTATGCTGAAGCGCCGAGGAGGTGAGCGAGCTTGTTCCTAAAATAAGAGGAGATAATGAAAAGGGCCCGGGCGTAATTCCTAGAAGATTTATTGGATATGCATATTTCATGCATGTTGTGCGTAATTGCCTAGTTTTATCTAAGTGTAGTTTTAGTTTAAATCATTTAATCATAAACTTTTCCTGCCTACGCTAAGACTCCTGTTTGACTCTACTTAGGTATCGAAATTGTAGGCAGACAAAACTCGTCAAAGCAAGAACTCTTCTACGGTATATCCAGCCTTCGCCATATGTCTATGACCAGAGAGGTTATTTTTTTTGTTTCCTTTGAGGCAAAGAAAGTCGTGTAAGAAGTATAAAAAAATTTGATATATATCTAAACCAAAATGTTTATTTAATTAGCAGGCAATTTTTAAGCGAATCTCTTGACAGCGAAGCGTGAGGAAGATAACGCTGAAAGTATTTCTTGTCAGGAAAAGGGGAGAGACAAAAATAATTCCCTACCATTGACTATTAAGTCTCTAGGTTCTGCTAATTCTACGAACATATCATTTTAGGAGTTGGTGTTGCCGTCTTAAATGGCTATCTCTACGCCCTTGGTGGGCATGACACGCCATGCAGTCAAGACATCTCGAAGCAGTTCAGCTCAGTTGAAAGATACGACCCTCTTGCAGATCAGTGGTCACTTGTTGCAGCCATGAGAAATTGCCGAGATGCTGTCGGACTCGCAGCGCTAGGAGATCGTCTCTATTCTGTAGGAGGCTACGATGGCCTCAAGTACTTGTCTGCTGTGGAGGCCTATGACGCCGAAACCGATGTTTGGGAAAAAGTTGCCCCTCTCACCATACCAAGGGCTGGAGCTTGTGTTGTTGCTGTGAAATAAGCCAGTGCTTCTATGAAAGGTGCGTCTTCAATTTATTCTATATGCTGTATAGTTGATTCACCTCACAGTTGAAGATTCAAAGTGGAAGATGAATAGAGCTATGGCAGATTGGACCTTTTTTGGCTAAGATGATTTAAGTCGCTGCGCTTAGTGGCTACGTGATTTTTATGAATGTCTTGCATCCATGATAAGTAATCACAGAGAGATTTGCCAATGACCCACCAAGTACTCTCAAACAGATATGTTCTTAATAATTTACATATTTTTAACATCCATAATTGTCTGTGTTGTTTTTGTCGTAAGAAAAATCATTTTTCCTGTAGCATTTTGAATAAGAAACATTTGATAAAAAATGCGTCATGAGATGACAAAGACGGTTAGGTACCTATTAATGGCTCAATTGAGAAGAATATTTTGTTCTGTTCGGGTCTATACATGCCTTCGGTTCGTTACCCTGCGCTTTTGTCTGATATTTTTCCTCTAAAAAGTAGCTCTTAAGCACTTTGGTATTTAAGAAACCTTAAAAAAACTTTATACTTGGCACTTAAACCAACAGAGTACAAATGCCAAGCATAGTTTCTTATAAAGATATGCGTAAAGACGACGTTAAGTATGGTGCTTATCTGGCATCAGGAATCGGACGTACTTTTAGTCTTAAGATGGGTATTAGGAGAGGATCATTGTGATATTTAAAATGAGCGGATAGAGGGGTTTAACTTCCACTTTTTCTCAGTTTACACGCTTTTTCAAAATCGTACCGCCAAACGCCCAATTTGAATTTTGATTTTGATTAGCACATTGATTGATTTATCAATAAAATCAACGTGTAAGATTTGTTCAAAATTACAAAGCAATATTCGACATCTTTTCTTTTCAATCAAGAACCCGTGCGCATTTGAACCAAGTTCTTTTAAAAGCCTGCTACAAAATTTAAAGCAAAGGTTTTTGCAAGAATACATTTGGACATGTCTTTAAATACAGAGGGAACCGCTAACCTCCCTTAAAAAGTGTTTGTCGAGATTGTGGTTGCAGATTTGCTAAAGCCTCGGAAATGGACTGGATTTGCCTACGAAGCTGATTGGTGGACGGAATACATTTTCTGATTAGCAGACCAATCAAGGAAATGATGCTCAACAGAACTTTTATGCAAGCCAAATTTTAAGCACTTCATTATTTGAAAACGTAGTACACCACTTAACGCGGTTTACCTTCATTTCTCCTGGCAAACGCAGTGAGAAGTAGCCCTGCTGTTGGTTATCTTGATATCAAAACGATAATCTCGATTTGCGAAACAGCATCTGCGAAACAAATTGCATGGTCAGCGAATGTTTTTGTTGAGAACCTCTCCCAATTTTGCTTCTTATACCCTTTTGTATTTCAGCACCTCCTTGTAAGCCATGTGTTTGCTGCGGCCTTGTTTCCATCGTGTCTGTTATACTTATCCGCTGGTATGACGTCATTGGCACGAGGAAAGAGAAGCCAAAATCGGAACATTGGATTCGACCCACGAGTAGTTCAGTAAAAGTGACAGAATGCCTGATAACTGATCATATGCAGATGTATTCCTAAATTTTTTAAAGAACAAATGATAATGAATAAATTTGAAACCCATTGTAATTTATTTTACTTAACTGTTTGTCCGGCAACCTGATGTTGTCACTTGTGCATATGATAACGTTTAGATTAACCCTTGCAAGAATGGGCAATGCTTCAATCAACTTGCTACGGTGGCCCACAGGTGCCACGGCAAAACTTTCTTTCTCACGGCAAAACTTACTTTCTTACGGCAAAACTTACTTTCTCACGGCAAAACTTTCTTTTTTCACGGCAAAACTTTATTTCTCACGGCAAAACTTTACTTCTCACGGCAAAACTTTCTTTGAATTTAATTTATTACTTATATTAAATTTATTTTGAAAATTTTATCTCGTGACATTGGATTCTCGTCGTCGTATTGCTTTGTTCCTTTTGCTTTTCTAACATAGGCGTAGTAGACAAGGGTCTGGGGAGATAAGGGGGCTGTAGCGGCAACTGTAGTTTCTCAACACTGAAAAGTTTCCAAAAAAGCGATAATCAGGCAGAAATCTACCATGATTCAGTCAGGCAAAATTTTCATAAACAATGGATGTTGTTTGTTGGGCAACCACTTCGATTTTTTTCTCCCCTTATATTATGCCCATGCTTATTATTTCATTTCTTTATTCATTGTTATTACTATTATTCGAAAAATTAAGTACCTAGCCATCAACCCACCCTGTGAGTAATACGATATGATATGATATTAAACACAATACCCAATTTATAGGTTTTTTACAAGCCACAATCGAGCGTGCCAAGTGCACGTACGTGATTTTTTTGCACGAATTTTATGTGCATGCCAATTTTCAACGAATTGATCTTTTTCACTGCTTTCAAAACAAAGGAATCAAAGACCTTGCATGCGGTACTGTTTCGTTGAGATAGGCATATAGGCCTAGCCTAGCCCAACCTAGATAAATTTTAGAACATTTCTGGGCTGTCTTTCTGCAAGAATTATCAAGAGAAGATGTAGGTATTCGCAAATTCTGCGAAGTTTAAAACGTCTAAAGCATTGATTAGATCTAAGTATCACGTACACAACAACACGTAAAGAAAGTTTTGCCGTGAGAAAGAAAGTTTTGCAGTGAGAAAGAAAGTTTTGCCGTGAGAAAGAAAGTTTTGCCGTGAGAAAGTAAGTTTTGCCGTGAGAAAGTAAGTTTTGCCGTGAGAAAGAAAGTTTTGCCGTGAAAAAGAAAGTTTTGCCGTGAAAAAGAAAGTTTTGCCGTGAGAAAGTAAGTTTTGCCGTGGCACCTGTGGGCCACCGTAACTTGCTATTGGTTCCATGAAAGCTTTCAATTTATTCTTATCATAAAGTGGATAGTTCACCATGAAAATCATTCACAGGACCACACGTTATTTGAATTAAAGGATATCAATTTGTCTGGAATTAGATATTTTCGACGAGAGATTGAGGGGAGGAGGGTCTAATCTCTTTTAAGTGAATTTGTGGCTGGAGATCTGAGAAATTTCAAACAGATTTGTGGAGTCATAGGGTGAGTTGCGTATTTAAATAAAGAATAGTATTGCAAAGACATGCCTGACAAGTGTTAAAGATCGAATAGTTGTTGTAGATGGAATAGTTTTGTTATATTGGCTTTGGCTATCTATAGTTTTGTTTACAGCCCAACCTTTCATTGTATTTGTATTGTATTGTAGATTATTTGATGTTAGTTTTACAATAGCGAATATACACTATTTAAGACTAACATGAAGCAATTTCAAGGATTGCATAAGACAGTTCATTTACTGCAAAACGAGCATGCGCACTTGTTTTCAAGGAACCAAGTTTTGATCAAATTCTTAAATTGTCGGGTATTTTGTGCTGTCTTTATTGATTTCGGGAGTGAATTCAAGATTTTAGGCCCTTGAACACTTAAGGATCTGATACCATTATTTGTAGTTCTGGCTTTTGGAATGTCAAAGGGATTTTTGAGTCGAAGGTTATGACCTGTTGTTTTGGGTACAAAATAGTCTTTCGTGAAAACAGAATTAAGGTTGTTAAGTGTTTATAAACTTCGAGCGCTAGAATTCTAACTGATTGGACATGTATGGTAGTTTCTTTTGAGTTAGCAAGTAAATCTTTGTACGACGATGAATAGTCCGAATAGGCTAGTTTTCAGTTTAGGGTACGGGTGTGAGTCACTTAAAGCTTTTCTATTTGACATTTATTCATTCCGACGCAGTGCAATATGCACTTCATCTCCCTACGGTTGCGAGTTTATAAATTTAAAGGCTTTGCTGATATTCTGCAATGGCGCAGCGATGGGGAAGCAAAAGTTCTCTTTGAAAATTCTCTTTGAAGAAGGGTGTTTTCTGGCGTTCAAAAGGGTGTAGACCCCAAATTCCTCCTTTGCCTCCTAATCGGCTCGACTCGCCTTTGCCTCCTAATCGTTCCACGCTGGCAACGCTACTGATGTTCTGTACCGTACCTCTTTTAAATTATACATCCATTGACAGTCTGCCAACTACAGAGAGTATGCTGGTCAGTTTTCCACAAACCTGTCTCTGTAGCAACTTACTGCCAACTGCGCATGAACCGTAGTCCTAGGTTAGATGATCTCCTTGATTTGCTAAGTCTATGAGCTTACAATAAGTTAGACAGGTGCAGCTGCGTAGGTTGGAAGTTTTAGAAAGCAGAGTTGATCGAAGTGGTCCAAGCTTGGAGGGGAATCCATTGCTTTCCCAAGAAAATATTGTGACCACATCCTTTGTAACGCAGTAAACCGTCCCTATTTGTAACCCTTTTTCAATTAAGGTATACCATTATCTTTGCATTAACACACTGCGGATTTGCACTTTTCTCTCATACCAAGTTTCTAGGGGTTGGTGGGGTGTTGTTGACTGTTTGTCTTATAATGAGAGCTGTCCATTTAACGAAGATCTGTTCAACAATAGCTCTTTGCTGTATATTTTGAAAAAAACTTTCATGTCCAGTTTGAACAATTACGTAGATTAATGCTTATTATTATTATTATTATATGTTGTTGTTGTTGTTAGTATTTGCCTTACTAAGATTTGTATTTTAGGTTTATATTTAATTTTTTAGAAAAAACGTTTTGGTGTAGAAGTCATCACATAAATTAGTTTCAAACTTCAAATTGAACACTTCGTGACCATGATAACATTCAGAACCTTTGTAAGAATTTTAGCTTATTAGATTCTCTATTTAAAACTGATGTGCTACCTAAACTTACAATTAATCATTTGGTCTTTTTGTCTTAAAGGCACTTTGTCCCATCAGACAACCGCTCAGAGGCGTTTATGATCGAGAAAATATTGAGAATTAGCTGATTGGATACGTAACAATAGGTCTATTGTGTAGTCCAACCAATGGGAAATTTAATTCACAAACTAGCAAGCTCCCTGTTAGACTTTGTTGATTCTTTCTCGGGTTAGCCTGATATCTGTTTAAACTCGTACCCCTCATTTCCAGCCACCCCGAAACAGATCAAATCAGCAAATATGGACGAAATGGCTAAAAAGATTGAAATCAGGTAAAAAATAGTCAATAACAAAATACCTGGTACAATTCCATTAAAATGAAATAAAAAAATAATCCTGCATTGCTCTCGAAGTAAAACAGTTTTGGATTTTCTTCGAGTCGAGCGAGAGGATCTGACCTTATATGGATCCATGAAGTGAAATTGAACAGGTCCAAGAAAAATGCTTATAAAGGGAATTAAAAATCACACGCTAGATTCTCGTTTGAAGGGACCAGGGCCGTCGAGAGGCAAGCCTTGTTGGGGGGGGGAGGGGGTGTGGACTACCTGATTAAAAAATTTTTGCCTGAAATTCTTTATTTACTGTTACAAACCTCTGTAATACATTTTGTCAATTTAACTCTGTATGTAATTAGCAACTATTCATTTTATACGATAATAGCCGACTTTCCTAATAGTTTTGTCAAATCTCTATATTGGAAAGGGTAAAGGGTATAGCTACCACCCGTACAATTTCGTCGCGGTCTTGAAAAATACCATGTTGTCAGTTACTTTTAAAGCTAGGTGACAAGAAGCACTGGTTGTCAATTTAGATCCCTCTTTCTATCTTAGCATGCCTTTTGAATGTTAGAATAAATCTGGAGCTGTTAGTGAATTGCAGTTGATGCTTCTACCGAGAAACTTTAGAGGAAATGGACACAAGACACAATTTTATCTAAAGAGAGCCTGGATTTTTAAATTTAGTGCCAACAAGAAATCTACAAATCTTCAAATCATTAGTTTGTTTACCTTCATTTATATCAAGGAATATCAGATTTGACCATACGGGCAACTACCTTTGCTTGATCATTTCCTGGCTTTATGACATAAAAGTCTCTGAAATACCTAAAGCGTTTCTTCCACCGAGTGGATTTTTCCTGAAATTTCCTATTGAGATACTTTTGTGACACCCTCCTCCCCCCGATCGCGACGCCCCTGGAAGGGGCTGCCATGTTAAGTATGTCGTTTACAGTTGACTGCTAGAATAATGTTTTATACCCTAGTTTCCATATGCTGAAATATTCAACAAGGTCATCAAATTACTGTTATATCTAAAATTAGGGTAAGGGCAAAAGAGAACTCTCCACGGCACCTCTGTTTGCCTTGAGTGAGCTTCCTTGCCAATGACAAACTTGATTAACCTCGAATGCATCCATTCATGTGCTTGCAAAAGCGTCAAATTTTTACGAATGAAGTTTCCTTTCTGCCTGTTCCCAATCCTGTGGTTAGATGATAATGACTCCACTTTTGCTCGTAAACTCGAAAGGAAAATAGGAAAAGGCCAAATTTGTTCGTGAATCTAAAACAATGTTATTGTGATGGCATTTGAACCCAACACTTTTAGGATGTAAAGCTATGTAAATCCGAAGCATTCACTGATTTAAAAAAAATACTGGATCGAGCTTCTCCAGCCCAGCGTCGATTCCACATTGCAGCGTCCATCTTGAGACCTCGCAGTGTTGTATGAGACTGGAGTGCAGTCATATTCGTTTTAGTTCAACTTGTTTTTTATAGCAAAATTCAAAGTAACTGATGAAACAAAAACTTGCAGCATTCGTAAGTAACGTAAAACATTTTTGCCGTGGTATTAAGCTTATGTAAGGGAGAATCCACTGTTCACGAATTTTCCTAGAATATCTAAAAAATTAATGATTAATGTACAATTTGAAGCGGAGCACTGTGTGTGCACCATTTTAACAAATGGCAGCCCAAAGCTTTAGGCGCGAGAGGTCTCAAGATGGAGAGATTCAATAGCTTCCTCGTGCTGATGTAGGAGAACAATAGGTTGTTCGATCCAGTCTTTTCTTGAGATCAGTGGAAGCAGTGCATTACTTTTGTGTAGTCACAAATAAACATCTACTCCCCATTCATCTTCTCTCGCATGCTTGGCACTCTAGGTCAAAGCCTATTTTATGGAAATTTTCCAAGACCACACTTTAAGAAAAGAAGGCTCTATATGAAGCATGGAATTTCAAAATACCGACCGTTGCCGTAGAAAGCGTTTTTCTTTATATTCAACATAACACGATTACAAATATGTTTTTTTTATGCTTTTACGCCATTTGACAGCAAAAAGCTGATTGGCTGTAACATTTTTCGCTCTTGTTGGACCAGATTAATCTGGACCAAGGAACTTGCGCTACGATTAATGAAGATTTATAGTACTGTTCTATTATGTTATAAAGTTTCAAAACTCTATCAACAGAAAAACATATCTATAACAAAAATAAAGCTAAAATAAAAAAACCCATTCCACAATTTTGAATTTCCAAGACCACATTTTGGATTTCCAAGACCACAAAATTTGGGAAAAACCACACTTAAATAGGCCCTGCTCTAATTCCAACACAATTAATGGTGTTTTAAATTTCTGAGGAAGATTTTTGCTGAGTTCATATCATGCTCAAAAGAAGTTGGCACCGTTTGTAGATCATAACACAATAGACTAGGCTTCAGATTAAGAACAACGATTTTCTATTTAACATATCACAGTTATTTACATTTATAAATAAGAACTCCGTTACTCAATGTTATGACAGTGCGATCTCGTTTTTTGAATATCCCTTTAGTTAGCTTGGTAAAATTCATAGCTTTTTCGAAGGGAAATCAGCTGGGGGGAACAGGTCTTTGTTTGTATAAAAAGAAGGGCAATTAACTATTGTTTAAAACAATTGAAAGTCACTTGAGCTGAGGGGGCAATCGCCCCCCCCCCCTCCATAGTCAGTTTGTTAAAAGCGGCCCTGATAGACAGTGGCGGAAATTATGGGGGTTTGGGGGGGGGGGCTCGGGCGACCTCTTGTATCATCAATTGCCTCAGATGAGATATCGATCTTGATATAAAAAATCATTAATGGATTGTTCTTTTTGCTACTTAATTATGGTGTGGTCAGGAAAAATTTCTCAAGGGTCCCGTCAAAAATCACTTATTTTTATCAAATGTGCAGTTTCTTTAGAATGAGACATGATCCAAGATCTTGTCGGAAAATTGTAGGCCTGGCCCCCCTCCCCCCCCCCAAATGAAATCCTGAATTTCCGCCACTGCTGATAGAATTATCTACTAAAGTTGAAAACCCATTACCTAGCTCCAAAAGTAGAATTTCAAACCCTGCTGCTGAAGCCCTGCTTTTGAAACCCTGCTGATAAAAGATAACAAACACTAATATTTGCACTTTTATTGCTGCTATGCACCTTTTCTTGGTGAGTTAAAGCTGGTACACAAGATTTTACTAGTAAGTTAAACATGAACAATCAGTTAAAGAATGAATAATCACAATAAAATTCATTTGCTACCACATCGATATTGAATAACGGTATGCAGGAAACTTTGATATAGAGTTCGATATACAATAAGCGAAACCTGACCCCAAGGAGTTTTTTCGGCCTAAAGCTTTTATTTCTACATTCAAGGATTGTAACGATACAATAACTATGCTTTTACGAGTTGCTCTTATCCACTTATAATTATTTCAGCTAGCATGCGCTAGTTTTGCTTCCAATTGAACAGGGGCGCCTACCCTGGAGGGGCAAAGGGGGCAAGCAGTGCCCTTAAATATGTTGTGTTTATTGTTTTTTTCTTTTTCATTCTCCAATGATTCTGCAATCATAGAGTAGTGAGACTAAGCGGACAATCAAAGTTTGAGAACCAGCCCATTTATAATTGCCATGACTCCTGTAAAACCAAACATTTTTAATAATGATAAGACCATTTAATACCCAATTGCATGGATAATTTTCTCAACACTATACCTATGCGTAGAGCCTTTGATTCCAAAAAACCCAATTGTATGGGTGGCACAGATGCATGCAAATATGTTATTTTGTACCACTTGCCCTCATAAGTACTCAATTATGGTAGTGAAAAAATTCTACTTTTTGCCCTTAGCACCAACACTGCCCCTCCTGCCTTAATCTTGTGCAGGCGCCCCTGCAATTGAATACAGACATCTGTTAAACCGCTTCCTGAACTTCTCCACCGATCTTGCGCCGAAAGAATTCGGCTAATGCACCAGAATTCACTCTCAGAATATAAATTGTTGGGTCAAATATTACAAATAGGGCTGCCAATGCACAGCAAAGTCTAACCTGTACGTTTCTGTATGACAAACCTTCTTGAAAACAACACAAAAAAGACAGAGGGAAAAAACAGACTATATAGCAAAGCAGCATCATAATGCACTTGAGTGCAGTTTCTTTTTCCTTCTCTATCCGCCGCAAAACTTTTTCTCGTCGCCATATCTCAACTTCTTTACCGATGTAAAAGCAAACATTTCGCTTTGCAGAATCGGCAAGAGTGTGCCCAGATCTTTTGAGGCTGCTACGCAGAAACTTTACAGCTTCTAGTTCGCTGTGGTTGGCATTAGATGTTTTACGGAAAGCCTGCGTGTTTTCTGCTTGCTCAATGGCGGGATCTATCGCTACCAGTCCGTTTTTGTACAGTGGCATATCCGTAGCCGATAAATGAAAGGAGTGATTTATCATGTCGTTTGATTGGCTCTCCTCTTTTATTGGTACAACAGTCCTAGCTAATCGCTTTGCCTTCCTAAAAAACAGTACTATCAATATCCAGGTGATCACAACTGTGCCGAAGACTACAGTTGGTATTACTCTAATACCCACCACCTTGCCTTCGCGGGCACCAGCGCCGCCAATAGCACCTGATGTTCCAGTTGGGATTATGATAATAATGCAAATTCCAAAGCGGAAAGTACTTGTTTTATTAGCTTTGCGGTTTAAAGACATATACCTTTCAATCGCTGACAAGATGATGAAACACGATTGATTAGCAATGATGTACAATAAAACGGCTGTGACGAATATTTCCGAGCCAACTTCCATGGTAGCATTTGAAAGCCGCGCAGCGAAAATCCCAAGAGCTCCAAACAAAGTCACTAGCAAACTGCTGCCCGTTGTAAATTGCAATAACCTGTTCATAAAATGTTTCGTACGCTGGTTGAATGAATAGCAGAACTTGACTGAATTTAACGCTGTTCCCATCAAGAACAGAATGGCACAAATGATCAAAAAGCTGTCCATATTATGCATCGCATTGCATAAGGGTTATTTAGCCCTTCTTCTCGTGTGTCTGTTTATGATTTTTTAGAGTGATTTTTCTTTTAGAAATATCCTCATCTTGCGTGTAAGCGCCTTTACTCTCAGATAAAACTTGATTTCTGACTCTCAATAGCGTTGCAGCTACAGCCACCAAAAGCAGCGATCAGGTGCAGCGATCAGATGCAGCAACCAGGCCACTGCTACTTGAAAACTTGCCTGTTGATTTGCCTGTTGATAAAAGAGAGTCTAAATTTGTTACTACCGCTTGATGATAATTCCTAAACTTTCTTCGCGCATTTTCCTGCTTTAACGAATACAGAAATTGCATTACGACTGGATCCCTCGCTACATTTTTTATTAATTATTAATAGTATATTTTAAAGCTGTTATCCTCTGGAGCATCCTTTTTAAAGTCAATGTCATGATGTTTTATCGAATAGCATTAGAAGAATTGAAGATAAGATCACCCGTGTTAAAATTCAAATACCAATTTTTACTGCGTATCGTGTATAAAGGCTGCAAATCAACAACCATTTCAAGTTAGCATTTTAGACTAGTTGGCTGGCTGGTACTTGGAAAGTTGGCTGGTATGTGTTGCTGCCTCGATACCTTTTTCTAGCAGTCAGAGGCAAAGTTTAGTGATAAAGATCTAAAGGCTTTTGCCCCATTCTCTTAGTAGAATAGGGGCAAAAAAGGGGTATTGTAAATGTTATCTTGAGGTGAGCTTAGAATAAAACACGTTTGACGCTTTTGGTGTATAGAACAGAACGGTTCTAAGTTGCTAGTCCGAGTTTCACACTTGGTGCATTCATAATGCAACAGCATGTACAGCTCTGCCTATGCGGCATCGAACACTTTCTGGTAGTCGGTTAAACAGTGATATAATCATCTAAGTGGATCTAGAAGACTCTGGTGATTACTAATATATTATTTCCGTTCTCGTTGTTTGATCTACTCTGCATCTTACACTTTTGCTTCATCGCACCCGATTTTACCAATGTCCAAAATTCAAAGATCTCTATTAAACGTGTTTTACACAATGGTTTTACCAACAAGGAACGCCAATTTTACCTAAAGGAAACGCCCGTGATTAACAATTGGTTACGCAAAGACAGTTAAAAAATCATAGGATTACATCACAAATAGTATGTTGCCAAAATATTACCCCTCCCCCAACATTTTATCATCGTTTTTCTTAAAATTCTTTATATATTGATAGTGTTTGCATACTACTCTTTCCTGAAAATATGCAGTTCAATGAGCCATGCAAATTGGCCCTTCAGAGTTTTGGACTATCTGTCTGAAACCTCATGTTCGAAATTATCTGGTTTTCTGAAGAAAATTTGGAAGATGAAGTGCCACTCGAATTGCTACTTTCAGGTTTAAATGTCAAAGTTTAAACAAATCATCTGATTGGCTAAGCGGAATACATTTCTGCTAGGATCCTATAAAGAGAACTTACTTTTTTTACGTAAAACGACGAAAGTTCGGAATTGTTGCAGATGTTGGTGGAGTAGTTTGCTATGATTCTCACGTCCGAGAATTCTTGCAAGATACCTCCACTTTCCATCAGCCAAGTTTTTAAAGTGTTATTCTTTTATTCTTCTGCTCTCAACGGTCAGAATGCATTAGGTCATAGACATCCTGAAGGTCAGAAACATAATTGACTTAAGACGGATGAAGAAAAGTTGTTTTGAGGAATTGCAATGGAGAAATTTTCAAGCGCACAATGCAGAATATTTGATTTTCAATAGTAGCTGTTTGCCTTTTCTTATATAAAGATTCCATTGATCGAATCATTAGAGCAGTTAATGCTCAGGATGTCGTCTTTTGGTTATTCCTCGCTGTCAATGCCTTTGTTGTAGTTATGAAAAGCCAAGGGTATTGGTTTGGGCCTAGCCCTCTTCCAATCACCCATATCATTAACATGCGCTCGGATAACACAGTTAATGAGGTTGTTAGTCTTATCACTTGCTGCGCTATGGTCACTTAATTTTGTTTTCTTGAGTTCTGAGTCTATTTATTTAGCTTAACTTAAAGATCCTAAATGTAATTCTTTCTGCGTGGTTGAATATTTGGTGCCCTGTGTGAGGAAATGTTCATTCATAGAAAAGACTTCTTTTGTAATTAACCAATTAAATGATGTTTCGATTGGTTGTTAAAGTAACATTTCATGCTATTGTTTTATTAATCATTTCATGTTGAACCTTTTGCGAAAGCTCATTCGCTGCTATGTGTTTGTATATTGTTGGATCTGGGTGAACATTTTCAATTTCTATCAATACGGTCTTGATCACTCTTGTCTTTCTGTGGGAGTGATAGAAAAAACGTCAAAGAAACTAGCTTGTATCAGTCCTCTTTTTAAGGCCCAGGCTTATCGGACTAGCCTGTCGATTTGCTTGGATTCATAGTCGTAAGAAGAACCAAGAAACGTTGCAGTTAAAATGATGGATGCAATAAATCTTGCTAATAGACTTAAAGAGATCAGACAAATCATCCTAAAGAATGCGAGAGCGGTAGACCGATCCTTGCTTATGCGTGGGATATGTTGTTAAATATTGGTGGAGCAGGATTTTGTCGCGTTCTCACAGTAATGCCGCAGATAAGATAACAGAACAGCCAAAATTACCACTGCTAGCTCAAAACATTGTCGGTGGTGTTGCTTGTTCCGTTAACAGATCTTTCTTTGCTCTATAAACTTGCATCCGTGCTGCTTCTGTGATTATCTAACTTGTTGTTGTAAAGGCTCAATAATGTCACTTTTGTGTCGTTGAGCTTAGTAGATATTTAAACTTTACCTTTTGATGACATTCCTCAGCTGAGGGGGGGGGGGAGGTGAATGATGATGTTGATTTGATGATGATTTGATGTTTTTTCGACTTGCTTGACAATGACAGATTTTTGGAGCATTCATGAGGCATCTCATAATTGTAGTCCAAAACCGTGCCTTATCTTTACAAAAGCTCTACTCGCATCAGTTTTTTAAAATAATTGATTAAGTACATATAATATCCAAAGGGTATTGCCAAGTAGTCTGTAAAAATGATGCATTTCATGCCAATCTATGAACTTCTCAGAAATTTAAAATATCTCCAAAACTAATTTGTTGTCATTAAAACCTTGTGGGCTTTTTGAACGACATTTTTGCAATTCTCCTTCCTCGGCAGTCATAGAGAATGATTCTTGAAACAGTTAACGACAAAAGTGTAAACAAATGCGCCTAAAAGCTCTATTAAGTATGTTGCTAATTTTAAATGATTTGTAAGTAAATGTAAGGTCACAAAATCTATTGCAAAAGTACCTCTATGGATGATAAATTTTGAACTTGCATTTAAAAATTGCAAATGAGAAAGTTCTAGCTTTGAACTTGCCGTGTTTGTTTATAACGTATTGAATTTAACGATCTTCAGTTCTTGTTGCCTGTTTATATGGAAAAAGCCACACCCCCTTCTAGCTTGTAAGCTAAGAAGTAGGATCAAGCTCCCTATAAAATCCTTTGCATTGTTCATCTTGCGTTTAAATGGCAAATGCGCCATCCCGGCTAAGTGAGATCCCACTGTTTGAAAGGTGGGACCTAATTAGGTTTGAATGATTTTCTCCATATTATTCGCTGAAAAGTAGGATGAAGCCGGACTTCAGGATGAAATATTGATATAAATGCGATCAATTCTTTCCAAATTTTTAGCTCAATGGCTAGAAGGTGGGATGACTTCCTCCGTTTAAAGCTGGCAGGTGGTACAAAATTTATCTGTAACCATGGAGTGATTTTAACTTGCCTACCAGGTTATTATCCAAGAGATAGGAATATGAACAAGCCCTTAGAAGTGTCTTGCGAAACTTGTTGTTTGAAAACTTACAATATTTGGCTATTACTTGGAAACTTTTATTGTTTCATAACGCTTTGAGTCGCTCTTTCAGTCCTTGACCCGAATTTCCAGTGTTTATATTTTAAGTGTCCTTTTTGGAAAATAGAGCAGCAAGAAAATAAAGAATTGACAGAAAAAAATGCAGAAAAAATTTGCCTACGAAATTTCTTCAAAGTCAATACTCATGGTCTTTATAATGAGTAAGGAAGGAAAATGGACTTTCTACTGTAAAACATAAAAAGGTAGGAAATATTTTGTGCCTTCCAGCTACATAATCGTCAATGTATATTTTCTTTATATTGATTATGTGCAGAAACGTGATTTTGATAGGGAAACATAGTGCAAACCTCTGAGAATCTGCAATGAATGGCCTTATACTTAACCCAAGCCTTCCTTTCAGGATTTGCACGATTTAAATCTAGCAAATCTCCGAATTGGTTGGCCTGAGACTGATGACATGAAGTGACCTCGTATAGAGCAAAAGGGTGTTGATGTCAATTTTAGCAAATCTGCTGTTAAAAACTTGAATTGTGACCGTACAGCTTAAATATTAACAGAGCACTAGATATGAAAAGTCGATGAAATCTGTTGAGGCTGAGTTGAGCTATGGTAACTGAAAGATCTGGAGTTTGCGAAAGTGATACTGCACTTTAGCTTAATCCATAGAGTTTGGAGTCAAGGACGAAGTACAGTGAATGGATAAGGAAGAGAACAGGTTCATTTAGATATGCCACAGCCAGTTTTCACTAGACCTGACTGTTTTATTATATGTAGGGCTTGGTGGGGTTGTTATCTGAGTTAAAGCAACGACTCTGGTAAGAGTGTGTTAGCTAGAATTAGCTACTGTAATTTAATGCTTTCACAACAGTCGCTAAATTAGTGAAATCATTTGCTATTATTCTTAAAGATTCATAACTTCGACCAGTTTGTCAATCTGTTCGGGTTTTCTGGCCACTGCTATTCCAGTTTCTGTCTTCACTTAGTTCAGTGCGAAAATGGTTAGTTAACAAAGGACAATGATACTCAGAATACGGTATACATCTTGACGGCTGATAATTAGTGAAGTGCCTTCGTTTTTTGAGATAAAAGGCTACAATAAGTAAAATATTTCCTATGGTTCTAATTGCAAATCTCATTTCTCGCACTTTCTCTTCCAAATTGGCGTAGAGACTAGACGTCAAATCAACATATGATTTCTTAGAAATGGCGTCATTTCTATTAAATATAATTGAATCGATTGAATCGAATACAGTAGCAATTGAATCGATTGAGGCAATGAAACATTAATGTCAATTCTTACAGATAATAAAGAACTGCAAAAACTAGTTGATAACAATTGACAAACAATGAGCCTCATTGCACCATCAATGTGCCTTATTTGGGCTTAATCTTCGCATTCAGTTTGAAATCAGATCCCTATTTAGGTTTTGAAGCAAAAAATTTATTTTACATCAAAGGCTGCTGTGTTATCTTCAGTTCTGCGCTCATCACCGCATAAAAGTGTCACATTAGCATCGGCATTGAGGGCTATTTGATATCAATGCTTATGTAATTTTCATCGTATGATATCAATGTTTATGTATTTAAAAACTTTGTTACATTTAACAAGCTAAAAATTTCAATGGTCTCCTAGACATACCTTGTTAATCAATTTCTCATTGTATTTTCGCGTTATTTGGCATTAGCGACAGATAAGTACATAAAAAGAATGATGACGATCGATGATTATGTAATTCTAAAAGGTTTTTAACTTTTACTGATGTTATATGAAAATTATATGAAAATTGAAGTAGTGAAGGAAATAATTGCAGGATTTGGTATATTTCTCTACAAGGAAATGTTCAGGATAACATTTCCCTTATGCTCGACGCTCAGTTATTAGATCGTCAACGTATCTTGGATTGTCAATTAATATCAAGACCTGCAAATAATACCGCTTGAGTTTAACTTCAGTCGATTAAGACTTTCTAGCCTACGTCGTTTTCTTTGCTATTAAGATACTTTAAATTGTGTTGCTAATGAACATTGAAAGGATCACTTACCTTCTTCAGTTTCTTGCCTCAGTCCACCGATCCTTGCTCGTCGACATGGTGAACAAGAACTATGTGAGATTTGCTTTGCTAGTTCTTTAGTATATTTTGATAAGTATTGCACCTGTTCTGAATCAAAACCTGAAGAATTTATCACTAATCAATGTTGTGTTGGCAGCTACACAGCTATAAGTGATGCCCGTCTTATAAGGCTGTACAATAGAGCCTCCTTTGACAACTTCACCTGTTATTAGAACATAGAAAGAACTGTTACGCTTCTTAAGGCCCGATTAAAGTTGAAGACCAATTTTCAATTAATAAATAATCAGTGCGGTTGGCTCTAGTGAAAAAAATCTTGATAAAACTGCCCATTGGAGGTATATCAATCAGAAAAGCCTTAAATTAAATATTATCATGATAATCTGCGCCTGTCCTTGTTTTTAGAAATTAAAGTTACATAAGAAGGAATTTGGTAAAAAGGTTCTTTATTTTATAAATGAATGGTAAAACGTGAAAACCATTGGTTCATTCATGCATTATTGCATACTGGGTTTTTTCAAACAGATATACTAATAAGCGGAATTCAATAACCATTCTCAATAGTAATTAAAATACAAAGATGTTGATTATAGTGGTAGCAGTGATTTGAAGCTCCTGATTTTAAACTTCAAACATTAATTGGCAAATCGAAGTAAGTGCTACACAGGGTCATTTCTAACATACTAATTAATGAGAGGGGAGCAATTGCCCCTCTAGCCCCAGTGACCTTCCATTGTTTTAAACAGTAGTTAATTGTTCTCCTCTTTAGATAAACAAAGGCTTGCCCCTCCATCTAATTTCTCTAGGAAACGGCTATGATGCTACTCTTAATAATGATAATGACAAGGACTCTTGCTGTTAAAATCAAAATGGAATCATGGATTGGCAAAACTGATTCAAGCAGATTGCGAAAATGCCCAATGAAATTACTAGCGATGTCAATATGGCATGGATCAAACTTCACGCACGAGGGTAGCCTATGATTCAATTCATTAAAAAGTGGGTTGGGATTTAAGGACATTTTGAAAACCGAACTAAACAATATAAGGAACCTCTAGATACTGCCATGATTTTTGGCAATGACAAAAGAAACTGATCATACTATTATGGCAATAATACCAGAAAGTATAGTACCAGAATAACACCAGAATAATACCAGATTTCAGAAAATAATGCGATGACTTGTTCTCTTGGCATAAACTTTGTAAACTCGAAGTTTCGTGCTATATGTGATCAATTAGTGACCGGTAAGACAGTAGTTTGCATTCAATGTAGTAATCATGTGCATTATAGAGACAAAGATCAATTCCTGCTATCGGCTGTTTTTGAAAAAGATTGTCTTTTTTAGTTCATAGCATTAGACTACGTTACCAGAAGCGTCCGAAATCGGCTTGTTGAAGAGCTGTTGTATTCTGAAGTAGGAAGTTAAATGTATGATAATCTTACATTGCATATATTATAATAATTTTGGAAAGAAACGTCGAAATTCAGTTTAGATATCGGAAAAAGTAATTGTGCTTTTCTGTTAAGAAATGGTTGTAGAGCAAAGGAAACGCCAAAGGAATGTGTACACGTTTTCGTATTCACTGTCATGATGTCATTCCAAGAGCATTTTAGGAGGAAAATGTACTTCAGCTCCCTACTATGAGCAAAAGTTGATCTTTTGCTAAAGTTTGAAACAAAAACAGTGATCTGCATCCGGCAATGGAATAAACTTGCCTTGCCAATGTGAATTTCGATCTCCATGAATTGCTCATTGCACAAGCATATGCACCTGCACATCAATGAAAAATGCGAGATTTTAAACTTGTCTGAGTTAGCTACGCGTTACTGAGAACAGTCTTCTGTAGAATCAGGCACTGTGATTGTGCAGTTTGAGTTTCCTTTTTCTCTTTATCACAGTTTGTCTCTAAATTTATCCCAATGCTACACAATAGAGTCTGTATTCGACATATCCCTGGTAGGTTTCAAGTAATGTTTACCGACCAGTAATTATTTGACCGACTAGTTAAAACACTTATTACTGGTGCTCTATAAAGATATTACTGAACAAATTGTGATATCATTTTAGCATAGCATTGAGTTATATAAGCTATTGTTCAGGGCCACCGGAAGGTTTTGGAGGCCCCGGGGTAAAACTGAAAGATGAGGCCCTCTGGGTGCGTCCGGAGCAGATATGCTACTTTTGAATATATTTTCACAAGGCTTGATTAATTCAACTCTGAAAATGGAATTCCTTACTTTAAAAGATCCCCTAGACCTCGAATTCATGGGACATTTTGCCCCATTGCCCCCTCTTGGCGGCCCTGCTGTTTATACAAGATACGGTATAGCTGTATAGAATGTTTGTCAAAGCTACACTCCTAAACACAGACAAAGAGGCTACCTCATGAGTTTAATGGAGTGAGCTGCATAGAGTTTTGCTTTGCCTAAACGTATTATTCCTTTCAAAATAATTCTCAATAAATCATTTATGGGTGGATATCAAACAACTAACAATTAGCAAACATCTTTTATTAACAACAAAAATTCAAAACCTTTCTTAACAAATTCATTTTAATTGCATATTTTTGTTGACTCTGTTAAAATTATTTTTATTTTCTTCTTGTGCTAGATTTACAACCCTTCTTATAGTTTGATAGGGCCTGCATTGGCTACATCAGCTTAAAAATTCACCAAAGATATGAAAATCATTGGCTCTTTTCTGCGTATTTAATTCTAATCCAATAGCATCCACGCAGACAGTTTTAGTCTTACACACATGACAGAACGTCACCTGTCAGTAAATTCTTCATAACAGATTTTCCAAATATTTTGTTTCCATGGTGAAATCTTTCAGTGAATGTCTTTTAAAAAATTTGAGTAGAATCAGAATAGAGAGTTTATCCCCGTAGCATTATAAATTTCAATTATTTTTCTAAGCTTTTGTTTTTTCATTAGTTATTTCATATTTTCTGGTGCCTACAAATGTAGATCTATGTCAAGTTTAGTTGATGAGTAGATATAACATTTAGAGTAGAACTGTTAAAGATCTTATCTGTTTTTCAGCCATCGCCATAAAAAGTTTGTTCAAATGTCAATTTTTTTTCAGGTAACGTGTGTATGGTCAAAGCTTACCTGCACAAGGTAAACAGAACAACGGGTTATAGGCTGCAACTTAAAGGTTGTAACGGAAGCTGTATTGCCACTTTGAACGCATATACTAGTAGTAAACTTTGCTTTTTACCCCATGAAAGTTATGCAAACTGCAAAACGTTAGTTTTAGTTAAATTTAAGTAAAGAATAATGCTTAAAGCAACGAGGGAATATGAATTTTCATGAAAGGTTAGTAAAGAATTAAACAAGGTTGTTTACTGTTGCTTGTGCTCTTTAGTGTTGCAGGGTTACAGTTACTGAGTAAATAAATGCGACGGCCTGGGACATTTCCTTTCAATCGTACGATAGAATTTGAATGAAAGAAGATGTATCGGCTATTGAAAATAGAAATTATTACGTTTGATAAGGTATCGTAGATCGTAATATGTGGGGAAGGCGTAAAACTCGTGGCATGCATAATGGAACGCGTGAAGCATTGATGCAGATAGGGGCTCGATAGGGGATCAAGCAAAACATTATAGGGTCGAGGGAATACAAATTTCTATACAGTCACCACAGAAAAGTAGAATGCTTGAGATAAACTATATTGCGTGGTGTCAATATTGCTAGCTTTTCCTCGGATCATACAAAGATTCCTAGCAGAATTGTCGATAAAACTGTACACAAGAAAGTGGTCAATACATTTAGCGGTAAGATACACATTCAACAGTGTAGATAATTTCTTAGAGTGTTTTATGAAGTGAATTTCAAGTAGCAATTGGCGTTTCAAGTAGCAAGTTAAACTGTTGAGCGACAATCAGACTTGTAGGCCAATTTTAAAATATATCAACATCGACTCGGCCAAAAGGCTTGTTTGCACAATAGGACAGTTCAAGGCAATTATGTAGCATTCTGATAGTTTAAATTTAAGCTATGATGTAATATAAGATAATTTTGCGATGCTCCATTGTGTTGTAAACAGACATTTCCCTTTTCAATGTATAAAATAACACTGGCTTGTTAATTCATATCAAAATCAAATCTGAACACTTACCGATTGCTCTTGGATACAGCTGCCTGGTATCAAATGTCACATGAAAAGTAAGCCACAACAATATTTATGCTGGAAAGACCTGGACAGGGAGGAAACTTGATAAAACAAATCCTTTAATGCGATGCTTCGCCATAAGGATTTTCTGATATAAGGCACATTGATAAAGCGATCGAAAGTAATTTAAGTTGCTCAGTTCCTAAATGACACAAATATTTAACGAAGCGAAAGCTTTATCAGTCAGTCAACACGACGGACAATGAATTCAATGACGTTTTCCAAGCAGCTGCAGGCAGGTAGAATTTGTATTAGAACTGTTGCATGTGAAATAGGACGAACGCGTAGCGACAGGTCCAGGTCAAACACTCTGTTTTCGTTGAAGAAAGACTCATAAGGAATAGTGCATAATCCAAACAAGTTTCAAATTCGACCTAAATGTGCAGGTTTCCCTTTATCATGGAGAGTTTAGGAAATTTTGAAGAATTGTAGAAGTTTTGAAGGTTTGGATTGAACCTTGTCAAAAGAAATTATTTATAAGAAACATAACGCCTATAGTTGAAAAGATATCAACGGTCTTATTTAGAAACAATCTATTTTTGAAATAATTTTATTTGATACCAATGAATACTATTTTGTACCATTCACCTTGCAAGGCTTAAATCTTTTTGGAAAGGGGAATCAAGATTAACGAATGAATCATTAAATGAGATTTACTACACTGTCGAAATATAAAGGGGAAAATTGGAACTGCCATTCATGGATCTAGGACCACGACCAACTGCCAAGCCACTCCCATGATTACATCTATGACCACACCCAATATACTTTCACTTTTTTTAAAGATTCTCTGTTGTGAATCTGTAATCTTTTAGAATATTCACCGCCACGGATTGAAAATTGCTCATTCACGGAAAACATATTGCATAGTAATGGGTTGCAACCAAAAAATTCGTCGAAACAAACTTGTACTCGCTTGTTGAGGAGGGCTGAGCCCCCGAAAATTCTCTGGATTTTGACATAAGGGGCTAAGCTCTTGAGCCTCTAGCTTTAGTGGCCTTAGAATGATTTTGAAGTATGTAAATAGCCTTTTGGTGGTAGAAAACTTGTAAATGGCTTTGAAAAAAGCAAACATTTAGTAAACTAAAGTAAAGTTTTCGATATATGTTCTGACGTTTTAAACTCTGAAGAGTGTCAGACGAAAAGCTTTAGTTTACTAAATTTTTGCTTTTTCAAAGCCATTTTCAAGTATGTAAATGCTGGTAAATGTAGAAAAATGTTAGATTAGCATTATATTAAGAAAATATCTTAAGCAAAAAAAATAACATCGAGCCCCAGCAAAATTATTCTGGTTCATATTAAAAAGTGTGTTATATGAACACATTTATCGGTGCGTTTTGCTCCAAAACAATAAAAAATCGTTGCTGATCTCATTTCGCAGAAGCAACATTCCCTTTTCCAGAAGCATAACTTTTATTTTTGGCTTTTTGAATAGTTTCTCAGAGGCCTCTTTCAACTGTTTTGAATTGATCACTTACACGGAAGATTTTGAAACTAATTAAGCATAGTGTTGCAACGAAATGTTGCTGTTGTTGCTATAACAACAAACTAACTACCTACAATCCCAGGCAAAATTTTGAGACAAAATGCAATTTTTGTATTTTTCCTTCTACCTTGCCCCCGTAAATTCGCATCCCTCCTTTCCTCCCGAAGTGATGTTGGATTTGTAGTTCTATCATTTTAGCTACAAAATCATGCATTCAACATTGAATTGGGGGAGGGGGATAAACTATTTTTCAAAGGAAAGAGAAAACATAAAGTTTTCTTGAGAAGTCTCAACTATTTTTGTCTGGGATTGTAGTATAGTGTGAGCCGTCACGTTCCAGGTTCTACACACTTACATATTTGTGATACATCTAATTTTGAGACCGTTTTCTTTAAAAGAATATTTCTTCTCTTCATTCGTATTTGTTCCGTGTACAAAGTATGTGTTTTCCTTTAGAAAATCTCAAAACTGCGTTTTTGAACAGCCTTTGGATGTTTTCATTTAATTTTGAAGCATTTTATTGATTCATGCATGATTTCAAAACATTCATTTTCTTTTTGATGTATCATAAATCATTAAGTTTTTCTGTTTGCTGAAATCAAAAGAACTGTCTTTAAAACCTTTCAGGATTCATTTTAAATAATGACAAAATGAGGGTAAATGTGATAAATGCAATATTCCAAAGACCCCTAGTTTTGCTATATTGTGGATGACTTGTTTCGCGAGCAAATACTACTTGCAGATGATTGACTGCCTTTGAATTTGAATTTTCTGGTACCAAAATAAAAAATCACAAAAGGGAGACATAATTTTGTCTGGATGCTTTCTGTATCTTAACTTCAGGTTTACGAAAGAATGGCAGAGTTTTAAGCAAAATGACAAGTTAGAGAGTTGAATATGCAAATGAATCAAAAATAAGAAAATTTTGACTACAGGTGTAACTCACTCAACTTTGCCGAAATGATTAATTTTTGCATGGATTAAATTCAAACAATTTGTGCGACTCGCAAGCTGCTTATTAAATACACTTTAACCAGCATGCTCTATATACTATGGCTAGATGCATGGTAAATTTCTTTGTTTTCGGCATTCTAATCGCAAATATTTCCGATCTGAAGGCAAAAAGCATCATGAAGAGTCCCTGCTAAATCAAATCTTCGCTACAGCTCCAGACAAATGAGCTTGCTTCTGAATTCCTGCCAGTGCATCTTGTATTTCAATTGACCAATCGTAAAACCACTACTTATGATCAATGCAGCTAGCTCTAAGACCCTTGCTACGACACTTTCTAATCAAATGAAGCGCGAATAACTGCTTTAAATATTAATGCTTAACAGAATAAACGTGTTGATGATGAGTGACCGAAAATCAAAGTTTGAAGCTAGACATCTGCTAGTCAATTTGCAGCACTTCACTGTATTCCTTATTCTTTCTTTCAGAATCTAATAGAATCTTTCAGAATCTAATAGAATCTTTTAGAATCTAATAGAATCTTTCAGAATCTAATAGAATCTTTCAGAATCTTGCGTAGCGCTTAGAGTCCAGAAAGCGTCCATCCTCCCTCAGTGCAATTCCCTTAGTTTCATTATAATTGATGCATTCGTCCACAAATATATTATTCATCCAGTCATCAACATGACAACTAAAACGATTCATCGTACCTACGCGTTTATTCGAGTTATTTCTTTAGATTATTTGCCCAATCCACTACTAAAAGGTAGAATAAAACATGTTGAGAAAACTTTCACATACCATAAACTCCCATGTCTTGTTACTGGGTGATAAATTTATCACCCTGAGACGGTATGTAAGTACTTAGAATAAACTCATAGCTAAATATGAGATACAACCATATCACTGACCCACAACTGACAAACTTACATATAAAGTAAATGACAAGTAACCCTTAAAAACAGCTTTACAGAAGCTCGAATCGATGCCATGACTATGTAACGATTATCGCTCTTGAACATGGGACCAGGGGTATGCCCCTCAAATGTTAGGTCTGATTTAAACGATGCTCCACAAACTCAATTCTTGTAGCCTATCCTTGTGGGTTCAGTCACACAATAGGCGTTTGGTTAAGCGTTATTTACGTTGAACCCAGTTTTTAAGAACACAAAATTCAGAGTTAAAATGCAGGATATGCGGTATATGTTGTCCACCTAGACAAAAGTCATTATGTTAAGGTTTGCTGTTCGTTTGCCATTTTAGGAGCCTCGTCTAGTTAGAGTGGATAGAAGAGTGACGTTTAACTTCCACCTAAGCAGGTTAAACATCCATTTTTGCTACAAGTGGCCAACATTAAAAAAGTAATGACAAAGGCTTATATACTATGGTCCATAAACAGGCGAAAGATGGTTTCCTATCATTGGAAATTCATGCTGAACCCGATCTGGCCACCTGCTTGGAAGAAGTCTACATGGGTGTTATCTTGCCCAGCCCCAGTGACGTCACTCTCGTTCTCAGACTCATCTCCATCTGAGCCTATCGTTCCTTTTATCTGGTGTCCATCAAACGAAGTGCTATCTCTCTTTCGCGCTGCATCCACATCAAAGCCAGTCATATCGGTACCTTGTTTCTTTCTCCTTCTTCGTCTAGGTTTGATGCCTTCAGCAGCATTTTCACAGCTTTTCAATGCACGGCTGACAAACTTGGTGTCAAGTCGTTCCATGTCACTTTCCATGTCAATACCAATGCTCATTTTCACAGCAATTATATGCTGACAAAACATCGAGGAGTCACATGAACACGTAGCTCGTGGATGTAATTTGACTAAAAAGCTCTCATCAGGTCGCTCCCATTCCTTGACAACAAATGACTGTATAGCAATGTTGTGATGTACCCCACCATTTTCGTAAATGCGTTTCCCTTTGTTCAATAATGTCTTCTTAGCATCAATTTCTGCTCTTTCTATTAAAGCACCCTCTTGAATAACAAGTTGATCATTTTTTATATAAGGAACAATGTTCTCTGGTAAGCATAAAAATGGGATGGGTTGCCAGTTCGAAATGCTTGCTTTGTATATAACACTGTTTTCCTTGGCCATAAATCTCCCCATACCATTCAGCCCATCTTTGATTTCTTTCTTCACAAATTGCTGAACGAGATAGCATGCCAGCAGAATGGTGTGTATTGACAGGCTACTCAGTGCCTGTAAATGCTGCATTACAAGCTCCCAGCAATCATTTTTGCTATCGCTAACTCCTGTGTACGGATTGAATATGCCCCATTGTTGAATTACCCACCTGCCAAGCTTGGACCTTACCATTGGATCAATATTAGCTGCAAAGAATTCTTGAAGTGATTCTCCCCAATGATTTTTGCATTGCTCGAGTCCCTCTTCGTACTTTTCCACTGACTCACAAGACATTAGCTTACGCATATCATCAAGGCCAGTGGCTACTTCTTGTTGATTAGCACCATTCTGATACAACCATTCCTTAGTTTGCTGAATCGCACCCTTCCATGAAGAAATAGGAATAAGCCTCAGGCCCATCTCCGCCATGCAGGCCTCCTTTATAGCATCTGATTCGGTGACAATAGGGCATTCAACTGTCTTGAAGCTTGGCACATGCTCTTGCACAATGCGAAAAAGTTCTTTGTGATGACGTGAATCATTTTTCTCATGAATTGCAAAGTGTGTAGGAATTGCTGGCTTCCCATCAAAGGCTACATGAGTGAACAAGAGAGGGGAGAGAGCTAGATTGCCAATTTCATAAGTGCTGCAATACGAGAACATAATAGATTCATCTTTGGCAGTATTTTTTTGAAGCATGCCTCAAGATGGACAGACAAATCTTTTATGGAGACAATACATAAAAAGGATGGTGATATTTGCACTGTGTTTACAAACCCGTTCAGACTATAAGCAAGTTCATGCAACTGCCTGAAATCCTCTCTACTTATGGGTAAAGTTTGTGGTGGCAGAACAATAGGCCGAGTCAAGTTAACGGATCCACTGCCATTAGATATTCTCCCCCGTTTACTTGGGGTTGAAGATGTTGAATCAGCACTCTGTTTTTCAGCTTGGTGACGTGACCTCTTAGCAGAAACAACTATACCATCCATACTACCCATATACTGAATGATACAAGGTTTAAGTAGTCTGTTGTCATTCAGCAATGTGTAGACACTTTTATGGAATTTTGATGGGCGGCCATCAGGTAGTTTAGCCACATAGTAGCGCTTTTGAATAATTGGATTCTTCGATGGTATGGACTTTGGTCCATGATTTGCCCACAAATATTGATCATGGCGGTAGTTTCCTGAAAAAAATAAATACTCATTAAATACGACATATATCCTTTTAAACAAATGCAAAATAACTTACCAGTACTTAAGAAAGGTCAATAATATGTTTCAGAACTTTTGCAAATAACAACATCATTACTACTCATGCTCCACATTTTGAACTGGATCAAGCTCTATCTTTGAAGGACTTGTTAATAAGATATTGCAATTTTTGTGATCTTTGCTGGATGTTTTAAAATAGTTGTGAGGTTTATGGAACAAGACCTTTCCAGGCAAGAAAGCCACACCTGCCTATGTATAAGTTTCATTACTGACATAAGAAACCATGTTGAATCCTACTAGTCAACAAAACATCAACCATTGCATACCAATCACCTTCACCTTCCATTTGTTCAAAAAACAAGTCAATCATATCTTATACAACAATTTGTACCTACTTACTGATGATGATGATATCTGAGAGATTTTAACGTATACCTATTCCTCAAGGCATAAGGACAGGGCAAGGTTATTAATAATATGCTAAACTACCCAAAAAGAGACACATGAAACAACAACCTACAATCACCCAAAATGCTTCACCTTTTCCCATGTCAATACTTCAACCTCAATCACTAACAAACACAACTACTTCCTGCCTGATTTATTCCATCAGTTACACCAAATTCAACCTTCACTAAATTTGGGGAGATGTATCACCGGTCTTGTTTTGGTGAATATCTCTGTAATATTAAGAAGAAAGTACACCTTCAAGAATATCACAAAGGTAAGGCATTAAAGAAGAACATTCAAGAAAAGCCTCTTTTGAGAAAAGCATTAACTCTAAACTTTGTGGTCTTATTTCTAATGGACCTAAAAACAATTTGTTTATCTCTCACATAACGTAGCTTTACATTTTAAACTATTCTTTATTATCTATTCCAGGTTGAAATCTACATAAATCTACATAAATCTCATTCCAGGGTGGAATCTACAATCGCCAATAAACAATATTAATACACTGGGGGATTGTTGGATATCTCCTGCAAAAGCTACATGGATAGACTGCATTCTCTGTGTTTTGCATACAGAATATAAAATCTGGTATACATAGATTAGGTTTGCAAAGATTGCATGGAGAATATGTTATCTGTGTATGATAAAGAATGCAGTCTGGCTACATGGATTCCACACTTGAATCTATTCGCTAACATCTCTTACATCTCGTTTTGCGATCTTTGTCTTAAATTTTGGTGTTCTATATATCTAATGATTCGATCCTACTTTTCTTCTCTCTATTCAACTGCTGCTATGGCTATTCTCTTTACCCAATGGACAGCTATGTTCGAAACGTCGTTTCAGTGTTTAACTTTCCCATGTACTAAAGCATTTTAATTATATTGATTTGTATTTACAAAATACATACCTTGATCAGCCTCAGTTTTTGGCATGAAAAGAAACACATTACCAGTTTTAGGGTCAGCTGGTATGCTGTCACAAGTAATAGCTTCGTATTTGTCAACATTTTTTAGTATGTCAACAACGGTTTCGGCATCCAGAGGCTTGCTGTTTGCCGTTGTAAATATTGGCATTCCTGGTGCGGCTTGTTCCTCATCTGATGACGATGATCGATCGTCGTTACTTTCTGAGGACATTTTATCTTATCTCTATTACATAAAATCTATTAATGAAGTTTATGGCTCATAGTCTCTCCAATATATCGATGCACAAGGCAAGTGCATTCAGTGGCCATTATCAGAAAAACATGGGCGATGCAGCATTTTACGTGATTGCGGAGTATTTTGCCTTCTTTTCATTCAGGAGCCTTCGGTTAGCCTACATTCCGCTCCTGGAAAATCTGATAAACAAACTTGCGCCGCTTGACAACTAAAGAGTTCATCTGGTTTTACTTTAAATTAGGGATATTGCAGGCCACAAGACACAAACTAACTAATAGATAATGACGGTAAGATAATTTTACTATGCAAAGTTTACAAACTCAATCGCTCTTTTCGATTCACAGCCAGAATCAGCCTTAAAGTAGGAAGGAATCTTGGCATATCAGAAATAATGAATTCTAAATTTTTGATTGTCAGTGTACTTAATGCTGCTATGGGCTATGAAAAGTATTTAACTTTTTTTTGAAAGTAAAAAACCTGTTGTACAAATAAAATTTGGCAAAGCTAAGCAAAGATTTTGTTTGACTTAAAAAATGTGAAAAAGTGAAAAACTTTGCCCTCAAGTTCTCGGACCTGTGGTTCAATTCTTGTAGCGCTAGAACCATCGAGTTTTATTTCATGTTTTTATCATTTTTATTTTTGTGCGATTGATACCCATTTAATATCCTAAAGGTAAACACAGATTCAGATAATGTCCGTGTAATTGTGAGATGTCGCCCAATGAATGACAAAGAAAAAGAAATGGGCACTAAGATGGCTGTGAAAGTGGATGAAGTAAGAGGCAGCATTACTGTTGCAAATCCTGGAACACACTCATCAGACCCACCCAAAGTATTCACTTTTGACAGAGTCTTTGCTCCTGAATGTAAACAGACTGATGTTTATAATGATGGGGCAAGGCCGATTGTCGAGAGTGCTATAGAAGGATATAATGGTGAGTGTTTGTTTGTGATTCTAGTACAATTTCAAACTTTTTTATTATGGTTACATTGGGAATTTCTGGTGGGCTTAAAACAAATTTTCTTACAAATCTAGAAATATTTGCTAAACTTTCTAACCAATTCATTGCTTTAGCGGGGGGCTTTTTTGCCCTTTTCCCACAGACACTTTGTCTGTGACTTTGATACTCCTAGCAGTATTGCAAATATAGCATGGAATGAATAGGATGGCAAACAGAAAATAGATAATGGGGGCTAGCAAATGTGTGATATTGTGAGTGGTGCAAATGATTCTGGTGCTTTGGTGTGAGGATGTCATAATGTGAGAATGAATGTGAGAATGTGAAAAAAGAATGAATGGGAAGTAAAAATAAGGTAAGCAGGGTTAAGTTGAGTCACTACAAAACATGTTTAATAGCCAAAGAAAGTGTTATATAGATAGTAGTTCTAGTATTTGAGAAAGATAAACATTGAAATATTTTCCTCAATGAACAAAGAGAAGACAACAATTAACATCTGGATTTAGTCTTATTTCGTTTTGAGTTATGTTCCTTTAGGCATACTTTCCAGAAATCCAGACCCAAGCCTGATTGCAGTTTTTAAACTTTATAGCACCACTGCTCAGGGGTAATGCTGTTTAAATGCTTTAAGTGACTTAATGTTTTTTCAGGAACAATTTTTGCTTATGGACAAACTGGTACTGGAAAGACGTTCACTATGGAAGGCATAAGGACAGTTCCTGAGTTGAGGGGAATTATCCCAAATTCGTTTGCACATATTTTTGGTTTTATTGCAAAAATGGATGAGGATGTAAGGTAAAATGATATTATTTTCTTTGACTAATTTGCTTCAAGTATTACTTTGAGGATATTTTGTTTTACTACCTTGATGTGAGCAAGTAGCATGTAATCATGCGCACAAAAAGCATTTGTTGTCATTCTTTTCATTTCTGGACTAAAAATTGTAGCTCTTTACACAAAGTACCTCATAATTACCACACAATTTTTGGCTTAGAAATTTGGCTTAGAAATTTATTTCATCTACCTCCCATTTAACCATTGTACTGATTTCTACTAAGAATCGTGTCTAAGAAATTTCCAGTGAGAATGCCATTGATTTGCTAGATATGTTATTAAGATTATCCCTATGAAACATTTAAGAGCATTTTTGTCTACTAGGTTTCTGGTAAGAGTTTCATATCTTGAAATTTACAATGAAAATGTCAGAGATCTATTAGGAAAGGATCAAAAAGCAAAGCTCGAGGTATGCATATCATTTGATGCAGACTTTAGTTAACTATGTTTATTGACAGTGTCCTTTCGAGTTTTAGACTAACTACTGCTAAAGTGGGATAAAAGATTGACTACACCCTTTTGATCACACCCTTTTTTTCTAAGAGGATGACTGTTTTCCATATGCAGGCAGGCTTCTAATGAATATGTTGCAACAGGATCAGCAATTAAGTAATTATCAAATTGCATCTATATCATTAGTAGACAATTTTCAAGATGCAAGGCCATCTTCCTTGAAAAATGCTACATACCATTACAACACTCGGAGATTTAAGAAGCAGAAATGCAACAAATTGTTGTGCATTTGTTCTGGCTCAGCCAACAAATATAATTATCATAAATGAAAAGGTTCATAAGTAGGAACTATTTATGTCTTTAAATGCCATAGAATCAATGGGTATATTGTGCTAAAAATATTTCCACCTTTTCCTGACAAATCTAATACATGATCTCTGAGAAAAATGTCTAACTCATGTTATACCCTTTTTCAAAAAAAGAATACTTTGATATTGATGAGCCTTGATATGCTTAAAAAGTTTCAGTATTTAGTCTAAGAATATTATCAAATCAGTTTTAGACAATGGGATGGAATAAGAAAACAAAAGGCTTTCCTTTGCATAATTTCAAAATTTGGCCTAGAACTTACATTAAGTTGTGCGATTACCTAATAAAACAAGACCTGTTTCAATAAGTAGTTTTGAAAAATAAAAAAAAACTAAAAGTCTGTATGAAGCAAATATTTGCTCTTGAAAGTGCTATATCTTTATTGGGACATTTTGGAGCGCTATAAAGCCAATTTCAAACTATGAAAACAGGTACAACCCAGGCTTAATTAGCTGAGACCAAGCCAGCCCAATTTTGTCCACACTACAGAAAGCAAAGATAGCAAAGAAAATTTGAAACTGAGTCAAGCCACAGTGCATGTAATTACATTTTCCCTCCAAAAAATGTTTGAAAACTAGAAGATACGATTTTTCAAAATGTTTCAATGCTTAAAAATTGTTGGTCTTTAGTGTTCCAACCTTCTAAAGAAAGGAGAACTCACAAGAAAGCTTAGAAAGAAACCCAGGAAATGCAAATTACTCTCCTCTTGAACTTTACTGCTTCTCTGTAGAGAAAGTTTTTTTAAGTTTCTGTTATTTTTATTATGACTGTCCTTAAAACAAGCATTTTTTGTTTAAGGTCAAAGAGAGACCAGACATAGGTGTTTATGTCAAGGATCTTTCATCATATGTGGTAAATAATGCAGATGACATGGACAGGACAATGACAACTGGAAACAAAAACAGTATGGTTATCAAGAACCTCTCATTTTGTTTTATTATTTGCACCATTCATATCCATTTAATTTAGACAATATGAGCACAGTTTGGATATTACTGGCAGTTGAAAAAATGGAGGATATTTTGTGTGACCCTGCCATTATTCAGAGTTTGTTTACAGTATTTTTTAAGTTTTCACTTTCTATGAAATAACAATCAGTTGTTTGCTGCTGGTATATGATTGGCCCTATATACAATTATCTACATAGTAAATTGAAGACTGATCTCTGGAAAGCAACTGCACTGCAAATTTTAAATTTTCATGACCATGCCCAACAAACGGTCTGAAATCATGGGCAAGGCTTTTTAACTATTCAATATGTACTTTAGACTAATGTGTGTACTGTATAATTACATATCATAAACACGTCATGAAGTTATAAATCCTGAGGGATTTCTAGAAATATTACTTTCAGGAAGTCATTACTCAAAACAGATTTTTCTGTGCATTCTTTTGAATTCATTTTTTTCTTTTTTCCTATACCATATTACTTTAAAGTTACTTCAGTAATTAAAAAAGTTATGCTAAAAAACATTTTTTGAAATCATTTGGATATTCTTGGGGGCTTACTGCCTTTACTCCCTTCCAAATGTTTTCAACAGGTCTTTCTTGTTGATATTCTATACATCGACAGCTTTTTATGCTTTTTGTAACTATGTTATGAATATTCCCTTTTTCTTGTACTCTCATATCTGCCCTTATCGTAGTACACCATATGCAATTTTAAAGGAAACATTTACTTTTAATGTTTGTCTGACTCTTGAAGTTATCATGCTGCTCAGAGTTTGTAGAGATTTTAAGCTTTCATGTTTCAAAATTGTAGGATCTGTTGGCGCAACAAACATGAATGCAACTTCCTCAAGATCTCATGCAATTTTTACAATAACTATCGAGAGAAGTGAAAAGGGCATTGATGGGCAGCAACATGTTCGAATGGGCAAATTGCACATGGTGGATTTAGCGGTTAGTTATTTGCATTTTTCTGCAGTTCTCAGGTCGTGCTGCCAATTTTTCCGTTTTTACAGTAGCTTGCAGTAGAATGAGACTGTTGGCATCCGCTCAGCCAGCGGCGGCTTTGCTCGCAAAAAATACATGAGATGAATGTAATGTTAAATGGGCATATTGCAAACAAATGCATTTTCTCTGTTTTATACAGGATACGATATACCACAACAAAACTTTGTCATCGTTCTCTGTCCATTACCATGTGTCTCTGTCCATTACAATTTTATTTACGAAACTAAGGGTGGCAGATCTATAGGTGAACATGAACTCGGATTTTATTTAAAGAGCTCCAATTACATCTGTTTGTGTTTGTTAAATATTCAAGTTTCAGCTTGAGAAGTATTTACCCTTTGATGTATGATCGACGAGCAATGTTTGCATACCAATCTTTCTTCAGCTAAAATATTCTTCCATTGAAGCTTGAAGTGTCCTCTTGAGAATTTTCTGCTGCCATTCTTTACAAAAGAAAATGATATAGGTTTCAAGCTCACTACATGCAAGACTGAAGGTTTTCAAACCTCTCGTTTCAAGCTAGTTTTAGGAACATTTGTTTTACATGGTACCATTTGTAGATCTGAAAGACGCCTACCTGATAAATATTCAGAATACTACAAACTTAGGGGAGCGCAATCATTTCAAAGCTTTCGCTATATAATTGAACTGAATTTTTTAAGCATACTTTTGTACTTTTCTTAATTCTATTCTTAGAATTGAGTTCATTATCTTGTAAGAGTCCTTGACCTTGAGGCCCTGTGACAAGTTGCCCCCTTGCCACTTCTCGATGGCTCTGCTTGTATGTTTGCTGTTTTTATCGACCTTAAAACAAGTTGATTTTCTGTCTAGCCGTAATAGCTTTCATCGATTCTGGTTGCTTGAAAACTCACTAAGCGCAGCAAAACGCTATTGTATGTTTCACTAAAGTTTTGAGAAAACAGTAGCTTTTTCATTTTTAATGATCTCAGTGTTCAATGTGGGATGTGGGATGAGATTTAATTGCAGAACTATGAACGAGGGTATTTTAAAAAGTCGGCTCCTTTTTCCGGAAAAGTAAATCAGGCTCACTCTAGTGGGCACATCATGAGTAAAATCACACAGCAGAGTGCAAGTTATTATACCCAAATGCCATGCAAAATGTTATGCTTGAGCAACACTACGTGGTGAGAAATTAACAAAGTTGGATATTTAATTGAAAATGGGTCGTTTTTTATAAACGATAAATAGAGTCATAAAATTACAGATAAAACCGGCATCATCAACATAAATTCTTAAAGCTTCATTCTTTATTTCTTGTTTTTTATTTCTTCTTTATGTTTTTGGAAAAAGCGGACACACTGCGTACTATGTTTCTGCTTTTTCGTGCCAGCTTCAAATTCTTCTTGTTTTACATCTTTATCCTTTTCGGAGTTATCTATTACCCTTTTTTGGGAAAAATCTGCAAAATTGACGTTTTGCGAAAATATATATCCGATATTCTACTTGATTTTAGGGATCCGAGAGGCAAGCAAAGACTGGGGCTGCAGGTGATAGATTGAAGGAGGCAAACAATATCAATCTATCACTGTCTACACTTGGAAATGTCATTTCAGCCTTGGTCGATGGAAAAAGTACCCATATACCATATCGAAACTCAAAGTTAACCAGGCTTCTCCAGGATTCTCTCGGAGGAAACTCCAAAACAGTCATGGTATAATGCTTTTTTCTTTGTTCTTAAAAACCTGTTATCCCTGTTCCTTGTTTCTCCATGAGTATATCAAGTCTTGTAATGTTTCAATTTAAAATGAAAATAAGTGATGGTGCTTAATTTGAATCTAGTTATTGAATCTAGTTATTCCAGTATCAGAAATGTAGAAATATTCCTCATGAAAGGAAGAAAAAATGCACGTGATCGGTGTGTTGTCCTCTCAATATAATTCAGCCTTGCTAACGAGCATGGTTAAGAACTTTTGAATGATGCCAGAATGATCCCGAGGCTATGGCTAAGTTTTGAGAGGTTTGCTGTTCTCTCTTTGCCCTACTTCGTATTAACACCTTCTTGTTTAGAGCTGCCCTCCTGTTCTGTGCAGTAACTTAAAACCGCCCTGTTCTAAATGTCTAATCGTAAGCAGCTCTTCTTTGCGGCATCAGACACTGTATGACCGACCGATAAAACAATAATTTTAATTACTTTGCAGTTACACTACTATTGTGTGCTTAATTGTAGGGGGGGGGTCGAATAAAGAGGGGGGTGGACATTTTCCTAGATTTTCATAAAGCGGAGGGGTCATAATAAAATGAACTACAGGGAAAATCGTAAATAAGCATCTAAAATGGGGGGGGCATTTTTTTCTGAGAAGTTTAAAATGTCTAATATGGGGAAGAGGGTTGATAATAAAATGAGGGGGTTGGTCGTCCTTTGAGATTTCTATAAAATGGGGGGGGGGGGTCATTATAAAATGCTATGAAGGGTGAAAATTTTTGAAAAATGCAATATGACCCTCCCCTACAATTAAGCACACAAGAGTAGTGTATGTTGATTCTCTGTTCATTGTTCTCTTTTCCTGTTTTTTAGATCGCAAACCTTGGGCCAGCCCACTACAATATTGACGAAACAGTAAGCACATTGAGGTATGAAGATCGAATTTTTATTCATCTCCGATGCATTGATTTCATTGGGCAAGAAGCATGTGAGCCTCAAAAAAATCTAGGCCATTTGAAATCACGAACAAATACTCAGTGAAAGAATAAATTATGCTTGTGACTTGTGTGCTCTGCCTGTGAGATATGCAAAATTTTGCATTGTACAGAAAGATGTGATAATATTGCATTTATGTATTGTAATATGATTCGATAAAATCTGATATCGGTAATATTCAATATAACATATGAAACTACGCTTTTGATCTATTGAAAAGAACTGTTCTAAGTTGCTGTTCCAAGTTTCATGCTCTATACGATTGAAACTGCGTGGTCTAATGGTAATACGAATGCATGTACAGCGCTGCTTATATGCCATCTAGCACTTTTTGAAAAGGCAGTAAACAGTAATTTTTACATGTAATGTAAGTTAATGCGGCAAATACACATTGGCGTATAGAACAGGACAGTTCTGTTGCCTAATGATCGCATTAAGCGTGAAGCTCTTTATCTGCTACTATGCATTTTGTCACCTTCTTTCCAAAAATTTGTTGTGGCAAGGCGCTCTGCTATCTCACTCAGCCATCATATATCAGATGTATCTATAGAAAGTAAGACAGGAAGCCTTAATCATTTAATTCAATATTCAGATACGCAAATCGAGCAAAGAACATTAAGAACAAAGCAAAAATCAATGAAGATCCGAAAGATGCTTTACTCAGGGAGTTCCAGAAAGAGCTGGAAAAACTTAAGGCACAGTTAGCAGAGGGTATGTAGTTTTATCTGATCTTTTTTTAATACTGGATCTATAGAAATATAACGGCAAAGAATGCTCATGGACTAATTGCCCTCTTGCTACATCATAGCAGGGCTTAAGGAGAAATTTATTTTCTTTGCAGCAACCCTCTTTCTTTGATGGGCGATTGTCGTGAACAACACACTTATGTATTTTGGAATTCAACAATTAAGGATTCAAAAAGAGTATTCTTATGAGAAGGGACAAACAGAAGACACGAACACAAGACAAAATACACAATTTTCGATTAAAACCCGCAATGTCGATATGTTTATTTAGATTTGTTTTGTATGCCGGTTCTTTTTTCATCTTTCTGATGATCTGCGATATATTTGCCGTGCCGTCGGCACTTCATGGGGTTTGCCTCCCCTTTAAGCAAGAAACACCCATTTAAGCTTCTATATGAAAGAGCTTCTTTTTGGTGGGGGTAGTATTAATGGCATCAGTTTTAAGCTCTTCGTTGCTTCCCGTCGATGCTTCAGCAATATAGCTTTAAGGTCTCCCTAATATTGTTTTACTGTACAATGAGGTTTCATAAAGCCAAGGTTCCTATTTAGTAAGGCACTAGTCCGTATGGATAGCTTTCGTTGGTGCACAGGCATCCATATCATTTAAGAGGCACGGTATGAACGCTGCAGTTATTGCGCAAATTCCCTTTGAACAACCGCTTATCCAAAATGCTATAACCTTGATACCTCTCGCCAATCAGCCGTGGTTTGCTCAATCTAACTAAGTAAATTACCAAATGCCCTTTTCGTGCCCAAGCTATCAATTTATCTTGTATGTACATTTACCGATGATTTCGTAACATGCCATAATTTATCCTAAAATTCTTGCCTTAATGGAGAAGACGCTTGTCAAACGTAATTTAATCCCAATCATCTTTATTTATCTGAATAGGATCATTTTGTCATTCTTGATTCCATCTGTCGCCAATGTTTTAACAGATTGGTAAAAATGGTGTCCTGCTAACTAAACAGGTGCTGAATGAAAGTATTGTCTAGAAGAGATGATCCCAAACCATTGAATATCAATTTTTTAATTCTTTGAGGTGGTGAAATAAGTGGAAGTGGAGAGGACGATGACGATGAAGAGCCTGGGCAAGACGGAAAACCCCGAAAGAAGCATAGAAAAGGTATCTCACCTGAAATTTACCATACCATTACTGTTTTTTTGATGGAAAATTCTTCAAATCGTCAATTAGATATTTCATAAAACAATCCTTTTTCAAAATGAGTTTTGGTACAAATGTTTCTTCCTGTCTTCAATAACTTTGCATATTATGCAGCTTTTGCAAATATATCTGCTGCAGCCTGACAAGCGTTTCTGTAGAAAAAGTTGCTTTGTCTCTGTATTTTGATATTTTCTTGATTTCCATATTTTGTCATTAAAGCCCTGTCTCTGCGATAGACCATCAAAATTTCCCATTTTATTTAAATGTATATCCTTTAGGACCTAAATACCTTGAATTTCAATGTCCCATTAAACGAGACCTGCCCTACAAGATTTTTTTGATTTCATATTTAATATCGATTATTGAGCCTAATTCTATTCTTCTAATTTGTTTGGTAGAAAATTCGAATTTAACGGCATTTGCAATGATTTTAATACATTCAGAGCAAGTTAGAATATATAACATTTAGAAATACACCAATTTGTAAATAAAGAGAATATACATAATCTGAAAAAGTTTGGATTTGTGAGAATACTCCATATAGAATATTATTCAATATTATGAATTGTGTTTTTTGTTTCGAAAATTCAGTGATTTCAAAGGTAAATCAGAATTCCTTTTGCAGCTGAATCTGTTAGGGATATTTTGATTGATTGACAGCATAGTCACGTGTTTTCTTATAGGAATAAGTTGGTTTAATCTTATTTGATAATAATTGGAGAAAGCCTCTTATATTTAATGCAATGATTCAAGATCAACCTGATGTTTTAGAAACGTCTTCGTAACCTTCTCACGAGTATCGGTTTGGCTATCTGCTTTATATATGTTTTGAATGTGTATAATTTGTACGCTCAATTTTGAGTCGCTTGACGAGGAGTAGCATTCGTAGTTGATTTGATTTGAGATCGACTATGGGTTTTGAATGGACTCGCAGATAAATGGTAACAGCTCATATTAGTGTTTACTTTTACGACGAGTCCTTTTTGGTACATTTTCTTTTTTCAAAAATGTGGTAAAGCTAATTTCAGGATTTTTGTCTCTCATTCGTTTCGTTAAATTCACCGAAGTATCTTTGTTAAAATCTATAGTTAGTTTTCAAGTTTTTATTTATGCAATTGCTCTTTGTGTTGCATTCTGTTGGTACTTTAACGTTAGGCACAAGATGTATGTCACCAAGAGAAGTTGCTAAAATGCAGCACCAAATTGAGATAGAGCGAAAAAATCTGCAAGAAAAAACTGGCTTGGCACAAGAGGAGCGTGACAAGGCAGCAAATGAACTGGAAAAACGCGAGAGTGAAATTCTGAAGGCTCAGTAAGTTCATATCACCAATTACCTGTAGTTATCTACTCCCCGAATCTTCTCGGTCTGTTTACCTGTATTAATTTTTTTGCTGTAACATTTAAATAATAGTAACAAATCTATAAAAGAGTAACACGTACAGGTGATGCTGCCAGCGCCAGGGGAAAGGCTAAGCCAGAACTTTAGGGAGTAATCTCCCCTCTACTGAAGCCAAAGTTATTTTAGGAGAATGTGAAGAACGCTGCAGCCAACTCAAAAATCCAGTATAGGATCTACCTAATATCCTAATATTCTGAACATATTCTTGCTTTTTTCCCATCTTTGAAAGTAGATAAATGTTGTGCCCATCTAGAACTCTCTATTCTACACAGCTGCATAACTCCTTCATTGAATGGCTAAGCATTCTGGTTAAGATGGCAGTAATTGGTTCCTTGCTTCTAGCTTTAAGCAAATTTTTGCTTTTTGACACAGACCAGAAATAGTGAATTGTAATGTAATTTACTAACTGAATGAGGATATATTTCTAATGTTATGAAATGGGTATAGTGTTAATAGGCTAATCTTCGTGAGGTTGCTTATTTGATCCCTTAAAGAAGGCCTTCACCCAGTGAAACTTTTTTCTTTCTAGGGAGGAGCAGAAAAAGTTGCAGGAAAAGTTGAAATCTATTGAATCGAAAATGATTGTTGGAGGAGTGAATTTGGTGAGGCTTTGAAAAGCTCAGTAACTCTTTGCCTACAAACGAAATTATCATTTGCTTAAAAAAAAGTTTTCATTTAGTATTTGAAAGTTATTTTAAGCTAGTTTAATGTAACCAAAACTTATAAAATTATAGATGGGGTAATATGTTATTCTTGAATTTTGTTTTCAATTATGTTGCACAGAAGGATGATTCTACCACGGCACGTTTGAGGATACAAATTCAGGTCTATTTTCAGGGTTTCATATGACAGTTTTTGGTTTTCAGCCTCTTCATAATCTTGCCTCCTATTGATCTTCAGTTGGAGAAAGCTGCGGAACAGGAGCGTCTTCTGGAAGAATCTGCGAAGGAGATGCAAGAACGACGAACAAAAGAAGAGGAACTTAGAAAAAAGATCGAGGAAAGAGAGGCAAGTGTGCAATGCTGGAATTTTTCACTTGAGTGGGATTTAGGCCATAGGAACCTTCTGCTCTTTGTAGGTTTTGATCCGTTTGAAGATCCAAATTTGAAAAAATTTATTGCTGTTCTAGGGACTTACATAAGACGGAGCGGGCTGTGAAAGCAAATATTTTGTTAGGGGCTGCTTGATTGAAATAGAATAGGTAAAGCTCTTTGTGTGGCGTTCAATAGGTATTCAGATTATGTATTCCTAAATTTGGTTAACAAGTCATTTAAAGTTGGCTTTTTCTCCCGTTTTCTTAACAAAACGGACGTATTTATATGAATACTGAAGTTCCCTTTCGGTACGTGGAACATTGACATTTTGTTCTAAAAGAAAGCACTTTGATTATAGACAAGGTGGACAAGTACCATACAGGCTTAGAAGTATATACTCTGCATCCCTCTTAATCGTTTTGTTTTTGTCAAGTTCAATTATGTCCATCTTTTGAAATATCTATTGCGATGTATGATGTTTTGCTAAACTTTTAGGCTGAAAAAATTGATATTGAAGAGAAGTATGCCAGTTTAAAAGAAGAAGCAGTGGGGAAATCAAAGAAGCTGAAGAAGGTGTGGAACATGTTGATGGCAGCCAAGTCAGAGGTTCGTCTCCTTTATCTTTGCTTTCCAGAAAAATTCTACGCTCATATTGTGTTATTCCTTGGTACACAAATGAAAGAAAATATTGCTCAATGATTCATTATTTCTCAAAGAATTGTGAAATATCAGAGCAGAAATTTTAAAACTTAAGATGACAACATTTGCCAGATTAAAAAGAAACTGAACGTGTCGAAAGCCATGGCTGCCTTTATAGGGGCATTTGGACGAGTTTTGCAGTGATGGGCAATGTGCTTGTTTTCATTAGTTTATTTCCCCTCTCACTTGCCGTGTTCATCCTTTTTTAATTCTGAACATGAATCTTGCAAGATGAAAAATTGAAATTTACTGTTAGTATCATTCATCTGACGATCTATTTACATAAACCGTTTCAATTTCTCTGCACTGCGCTCTACTTTCAGGACCTAGGTTTGAAATACGGTGATTACATTCTTTTAAGACTTTTGTGAGCCATATGTCGTCTTATTTTGCGTCATTTTGCTCTGCAAAGAATCATGGTATTAATAGCCCATGAAAGATTATGAAGCTGGATCGAACATTTTTTAAGAGTTCACGAGGAATGTAATTTCTTCATTTTCAAAGAAAAGCAAAATTTACGGACGAGAGAATCAACTACGGATTTCTAGGTCATTTAAAAATCGCGACCTATAGCTTCTTTTGACATATGTGCCATATTTGTGGGCCTTGGAAAGGGTTTTGGGCTCGTGAATTACGCAGAAATATTTCTCTTAAGCAGCTTAATTCTTCATCGCGCAACGTACTAAGACCCCTTTGGTATGTATCAACATAATTGCTTTATTTTCGTTTATTCTCTAGGTTGCTGATATGAGGGAAGAGCATCAACGTGAAACAGAAGGTCTGCTTGACAGCATTAGAGAAACCAGCAAAGAACTCAAACTATTACAGCTTACAATGGATTCTTATATCCCATACGAGTTTCAGGTATCAAAAATCCAATTTCACTCATAGTGGAAACTTTGTACTAAATTAATTGAATGATTATGCCGTATTTTCTTGAAAGAGTGCAAAGCCCAGCGTAAACTTTAGCCTATTGTGAGCACTAAAAAACCAATAGAAGGTTGCCTGTTCCAATAAAGACCTAAGATTAGTAAAAAGAGCATTTGTTCCCTTTTTCCTTGGGCTTAAAAGCACCCATGATTATTCTTCATTCATGAGATGATAACAATCGGAAATGATTTTACAGGTTTTTCTGTGATGCAGTTAACAGACGAATTTATGTGACATTTCTTTATTTTTGTTAACTTCGAGTGGCTTTCTTGATGTAAACCGTTGCTATCCTTTTTATAGGAATTAATTCAAAGAAATGTCAGCTGGAATGAAGAAATTGGAGAATGGCAGTTGGTACGTTGTTTATACAGTCGAATCCCATCATGATTTCTCAATATAGTTTTGCGTTGCAGTAAATGAAGTACCTTTTAACTTATTTACTGAATCTGAAGGCGGTAATGGCTGAGACATAGTTGCAGCAAGCCAACGGTATCTCCTAAAACATTGATTCCTGGTTCGTTTCTCTCCTTTGATCTACTGAGAGTGTATCTATAGATTGGTCCTTCCTTTAAAGTTATCAAAGGAGAGAGATGTCTTACGGCAATGTAGCTGGTTTGCACGGTGATTGCAATATCTAAAACAGTATTTAGTCCACAACACATTAAACAAAGTACAGTTCAATTGCTAAGAGTTAAATGTTGAATAACATGCATTAGACTGGACTATATATGTCATTCTACACCATATTTTTACCTGTCCATATGTTTTACTTTTGCATTTAAATATGATGCCTTTGCTCAAGACGGATCAAGAATACAAAGCAAAGGTTCATTTAGTTTCGAATGATCTTTGCCTATGCTGATGCTGTAAAGGGTGTATTCCTTATCGCAGAGTTACCTTGCTTTCCCAGCAAGCAAACTGAGTCTGTTGTTGTTATTTACTGTAGTCAATTCACGAGGAGCCATCAGCCGTTGTTATTTACTATAGTCATAAAACCTACACTCGAAAATTTATTCCCTGTTTCCCTAAAATTCGTAATTCATTTTGTTCTAGAAATTCGTTGCTTATACTGGCAATAATATGAGAAAACAGTCACCAGTTCCGGAGAAAGGAAAAGAGGTAATTGCCTGTTTAATAAAAGAAGGTTCGAGGAAACTGTAGCTTAGTGATCATAACTTTGCTGATTATTAGTTTATTAAAGATTTAGGACTCACTGTTCCACAACAGGGTTGCAATGAGGGGGAAGGGTTGCCGTCTCATTGGGGGTGTATACTTGACCATTGGTAATTGACACTATAACTGACTTCAGCAAGCTTTGATTTCTTGCTATGATAATTACAGGTTAAAGTATTCTATCAAGAGTGGTATGACTAGAAGCCTTTTTTGTTGTTAACAATGTTTCTTCTCGCTCCACTATCACTCGCAAAGGGCCTCGTCTTTCGGCCTTGCCCCAGGGTCCCGAAACCCATCGGCAGCCTTGGCACTAATTGCAGAAGATAACAAGAGAAGAGCAATACGAACTCCATACAAGTCCAAATCTATTATCTTATCAGATAATGCGTTAGGGCATGTAAGCACGGTACTGATGTGCAAGTTTTTAGCCAAAACACGTGGCGTTGCTGGCTCTTTTATTATTTCCGTCATGTTATCTTTTCTATAAAATAGATACATACAAACATTTTAAACCCAGCTTGCCATCAAAAGCAGCAAAGGGCAGTTCGTCTTTTTCTATTGTTTCAAGGTAACGGCCCTTCAAGTAACGACATTTGATAACCTAACAAGGCTGCTAATTCCAATCTACAGAAAATTCCGATTATCTTGACATCGTAGCAAACCTCCTGCATTGGCCAGTTATCCGGTTTTCCCACTCATGCGTTGGAAGCAATCCAATCACATTCTTTCCCCTATTGGAATAATGGTCTAATTTTTCATACAGAGAATAATCTACTCCTAATTTTTTTTCGTTTCCTACGCCAATTTTCCGAATGTCTTTCCTGGCAGATCTATGCAAGAGTTCCATCTTCCTCCTACAAAATAACTTAAAGTAGCGTGATCTGGAAATGTTCTCCGAATCTATTTTGTTTTCAAGGAGTTGCTCGCCGTCCACACCTTTACTACCAACACTTTTTTGGCTTTGATTTCAGACAAGTCAAAAACAAATAAAAGCCCACTGAAAAAAAACCACCATTGTGTGACCTTGAATACGCGCTGCTTCTCAATATATCCACATCACATTTAAGTAGAGATTACGGAAGTATCTCTCTGTTCCATGACCTGGTTTTCAAGTGTATTAGTTTTTTATTTAATTTTGCAGCTCTGATGATATTTTCTAGGAAAAAACAGTTTTTGTTTAAGTAATGACAATTTTATTTTTTCTTAAATTTTATTTTATGTTCCTTTGATTACGATCTTAATGCTAATGCTCATCTGGTCACTGGTTTAGGTGCCTGAACTTGATTTGTCCAGTGTATACCTGACCTACACACCAGGTTTGCCACCGGGAACCGCTGAGAAGAAGCCATCCAGGCCCAAAACTGCAAAAGGGAAGTCATCACGCCCAAAAACGGCAAAGAGGTTCGTTTCTTGCTGTTCTTCAATGTAATATTCTAGTTGTAGCCTATGATTTTTTATGCGTAATTTTTCCAAATTGATGTTGATTTTTGCATTTTCAAGGCTAATTTTTTATAAAAAAGCAAGGCTATAGGCTTGGAAAAATCATTGATTTTTTTGAAAATGTTTTTGTTCTAGAAACAAGTTAATTATCTTCTCTTTAATCAGAAAGGGCTAGAATCGCATTTAGTTCGGGAAAAAAGTCTTTTTTAGAAGAATGGGGCGTCTTTAAAGAGATCACTATAGGTTAAGAAATTTAACCGCAATCGTAGATACAGCAAGACAAACGAAAAACATAAGCACGGACAACTTCATACGATCGAGATTTTTAATGCCTTTAAAACATAGCTTTTTATGTTGAGTTTCAGCTAAATAATAATCGCGCAACTGAAATAAAAAGCTTTAATTTTCCTTAAGGTTATGTTTAGGGTTCTTGAAAGTGAGGTTACATAAGTGGTTTCTGTTTTTGAGGCAAATTGACTCAGTGGCTGTTTGCACCTCTTTACTTGTTCGATTATCGAAATCAATTTTATCATTTTAACACTTGTATCCTTTCAAAATGTCTGGAAACCTCCCAGGAGCATGTGAGAGTATATAGAAAAAGAATAGTTCATATACAGGAGAGGATGACTGCAATTTTAGATGGGAACATTTGTTTTTTCCAAGTTCCAAGAGGGACCTCTTCTAAGTTCGGTTTTTAGAACTTACATTCCCTCGTTACCTTTTAGCTTATTTTTGTGACGTTAACTGAATACTTCTCACGTGTTTCCTCATTGCTTGCGTTTAAGGAAATCGAAAATGAAGGAAGATGAAAGTGCAGATATTCAAATCGATGATGCTGAGCTGTACCCAACCTCTAGGAAATCTTTGAGCCCGCGGAAGAACACGCGGTAGCAGACAGTAAGTGGACCACCTTGTGTGCGATTTCAATAAAAAGCCTTTTGAAAAAAAGAATTTATGTAGAAAGGAAACTAAAACTAAATCTAAATCTGACAAAAACTAAATTTTGATGCAATTGCTAATTGTTCATTACATGTATTAGCTATTTAAGTCAGATTGTATTCTCATAGTTGTACAACGTTGATAAGTTATTCAATGCAAACGTGTGTTATCTGAGTACATTCACAATTAATTCTAAAGTCTTTAGTTTTGCATATTCCTTACGACGAGAAATTGAGTATCCTTTTAGTTCTCAACTCTACGACAACTATACGAAGTTTGGCAGTGTCTCACTCTGATATTATGCTGAGGCAAACTCTTAAAAATTATTTGGATATATCATTGTGTACCATATTTCTAGCTTCTAGTTCAATACAGACCACATTTCATTCCAGATAACTGTCCCTTTCATGGGCTCCGACGCAGGTTGGAAAGTAGAGGGGCCAAGAGAAAATATTGTTTTGCAAAAAAAGTGAGGGGGCCATGGCCCCTCCGCCCCCCCCCTTGTCGGAGGCCCTGCCTTTTCCGGGCTTCCTTTGCTGTCAATTTATTGAATCATAGAATTATTGAAGTCTTGTTGTTCCCAAAACCTTTCATATGGAGAAGCTCATACAATATTTTAAATTATTTATTCTTTCTGTAGAATTCTCTCTTGCATACAATTTTTTATCGGTACAAATGTTGAGAATAGCTTTGAAAAAGGAACACTTTAAAACATACTTAAGCTCTTTTTCTGGCACACTTCGTAGTATAAAAAGTCAGAACATAGTCCGAAATCTCTAAGCTAGGAAATATATTTACCCAGTTGTTGATCGACATATGCCAGTAAACTGCGATATCTGTCGCATCTCATTCAAATAAATCTGCTCAACTGAAACCAGAAAACTATTCATAACAAAAGTAGTGTTTAACTTCACGTGGTTACAGCAATGACTAGGACAACGAATCAGAAGATCCTTGCTCTACAACAGCTGTTAATCATGCCTCTTATCACATGCTGCTGACGATGTCATCAAAGATGTTGACTTCAGCTCCCTTGCAGACACTGATACTATAATTCTTCTCTCCTTTCACGTATTTGTTTCTCAGCTCAGTGACGACCAAGATGGGGCTCAACCCGGCATTCTCCGCCAGAGTGTACGGAATGATCGTCAGCGCATGTTTCTTTGCATGGTTTATTCACCTGACACTAGCCTCGATTTTGGCGGCGCCACTTCCAGCAATTAAAGCTTTTTTCTTAATGAGGCATCCGATGACGCCCAAGGCGTCATGGTTCTTCAAAGAGGCAACAGATGATGCCCTTGAAGTTTTTAAACATTTTTTCCCTAAAAAGTGATTCATTTGAAGTGTTATTGTTATTAACAAGAATTTAACTTAGTTCTCGATTAAAATTCGTATTTTTAAAAATTTAACGAATTTTTATATCGGTCAATTTCTGATAAAAAGTCAAGCTATCAAAATCAAAGTAGGGCTATAAGCTTATAAAAATGATTATAATTATTAAAAAATTATTTTCCTAAAAGAGATTCATTTGATACTCTATTGGCAATACAAACAAGAATATTTTCCTCTCTGGAATAAAAGTCACATTTACAAAAGTTAGTGATTGTTCAAATAAATTGGTTATGCATAAAAAGTAAGGCCAAAAACTTGGAAAAAATAAGCAAAATATTTTCAAAAATTTATTTCTAGAAAGAGATTCACGTGATGCTTTGTTATCAATAAAAAATACTTTAACTTCGTTCAGTTACAAAGTTCGTATTTTTCAAAAATTAAAGTTTCTTTCAGATAGGCCAATTTTGGATAATAAATAAAGCTATGACCATAGACAATAATCACAATTATTAAGAAAGTAAGGCTTAGAAAAATCGTTATTTTTCTTCCAAACGTGTTCCTTCTAGAAATAGCTTATTTTGCTTTTCTATGATCAGAAAGTAATATAAGTGAGTTTACTTTTGGTGTGAATGTCAATTTTTCGAAAAATACGGACTTTTTAGAGGGGTCGGGTTTTGATAAAAAGTAAGGCTATAGGCTTAGGAAAATCGACGATTTTTTTGGAAATTTTTTTCTTCTAGAAACAGGTTCTTTTGCTTCTATATGATCTAAAAGTACCATAAATGAATTTAGATTCCATATGAAAGTCAACTTTACGAAAAAATATGGACTTTTTTGAGGGGTCGGGTTTTGATAAAAAAGCAAGGCTATAGGCTTAGGAAAATCGACGAATTTTTCGGAAATTTTTTTCTTCTAGAAACAGGTTCTTTTGCTTCTATATGATCAAAAAGAACAATAAATAAATTTAGATTCGATATAAATGTCAATTTTTCGAAAAATATGGACTTTTTTGAGGGGTCGGGTTTTGATAAAAAAGTAAGGCTAAAGGCTTAGGATAAACGACGATTTTTTTGGAAATTTTCTTCTTCTAGAAACAGGTTCTTTTGCTTCTATATGATTTAAAAGTACCATAAATGAATTTAGATTCCATATGAAAGTCAACTTTTCGAAAATATATGGCCTTTTTGAGGGGTCGGGTTTTGATAAAAAAGTAAGGCTATAGGCTTAGGAAAATCGACGATTTTTCTGGAACTTTTTTTCTTTTAGAAACAGGTTCTTTTGCTTCTATATGATCTAAAAGTACCATAAATGAATTTAGATTCGATACGAAAGTCAATTTTTCGAAAAAATATGGACTTTTTTGAGGGGTCGGGTTTTGATAAAAAAGTAAGGCTAAAGGCTTAGAAAAAACGACGATTTTTTTGGAAATTTTCTTATTCTAGAAACAGGTTCTTTTGCTTCTATATGATTTAAAAGTACCATAAATGAATTTAGATTCCATATGAAAGTCAACTTTTCGAAAATATATGGCCTTTTTGAGGGGTCGGGTTTTGATAAAAAAGTAAGGCTATAGGCTTAGGAAAATCGACGATTTTTCTGGAACTTTTTTTCTTTTAGAAACAGGTTCTTTTGCTTCTATATGATCTAAAAGTACCATAAATGAATTTAGATTCGATACGAAAGTCAATTTTTCGAAAAAATATGGACTTTTTTGAGGGGTCGGGTTTTGATAAAAAAGTAAGGCTAAAGGCTTAGAAAAAACGACGATTTTTTTGGAAATTTTCTTATTCTAGAAACAGGTTCTTTTGCTTCTATATGATTTAAAAGTACCATAAATGAATTTAGATTCCATATGAAAGTCAACTTTTCGAAAATATATGGCCTTTTTGAGGGGTCGGGTTTTGATAAAAAAGTAAGGCTATAGGCTTAGGAAAATCGACGATTTTTCTGGAACTTTTTTTCTTTTAGAAACAGGTTCTTTTGCTTCTATATGATCTAAAAGTACCATAACTGAATTTAGATTCGATACGAAAGTCAATTTTTCGAAAAAATATGGACTTTTTTGAGGGGTCGGGTTTTTATAAAAAAGTAAGGCTAAAGGCTTAGGAAAATCGACGATTTTTTTGGAAATTTTTTTGTTCTAGAAACAGGTTCTTTTGCTTCTATATGATCTAAAAGTACCATCAATGAATTTAGATTCGATACGAAAGTCAATTTTTCGAAAAAATATGGACTTTTTTGAGGGGTCGGGTTTTGATAAAAAAGTAAGGCTAAAGGCTTAGAAAAAACGACGATTTTTTTGGAAATTTTCTTATTCTAGAAACAGGTTCTTTTGCTTCTATATGATTTAAAAGTACCATAAATGAATTTAGATTCCATATGAAAGTCAACTTTTCGAAAATATATGGCCTTTTTGAGGGGTCGGGTTTTGATAAAAAAGTAAGGCTATAGGCTTAGGAAAATCGACGATTTTTCTGGAACTTTTTTTCTTTTAGAAACAGGTTCTTTTGCTTCTATATGATCTAAAAGTACCATAAATGAATTTAGATTCGATACGAAAGTCAATTTTTCGAAAAAATATGGACTTTTTTGAGGGGTCGGGTTTTGATAAAAAAGTAAGGCTAAAGGCTTAGAAAAAACGACGATTTTTTTGGAAATTTTCTTATTCTAGAAACAGGTTCTTTTGCTTCTATATGATTTAAAAGTACCATAAATGAATTTAGATTCCATATGAAAGTCAACTTTTCGAAAATATATGGCCTTTTTGAGGGGTCGGGTTTTGATAAAAAAGTAAGGCTATAGGCTTAGGAAAATCGACGATTTTTCTGGAACTTTTTTTCTTTTAGAAACAGGTTCTTTTGCTTCTATATGATCTAAAAGTACCATAACTGAATTTAGATTCGATACGAAAGTCAATTTTTCGAAAAAATATGGACTTTTTTGAGGGGTCGGGTTTTTATAAAAAAGTAAGGCTAAAGGCTTAGGAAAATCGACGATTTTTTTGGAAATTTTTTTGTTCTAGAAACAGGTTCTTTTGCTTCTATATGATCTAAAAGTACCATCAATGAATTTAGATTCGATACGAAAGTCAATTTTTCGAAAAAATATGGACTTTTTTGAGGGGTCGGGTTTTGATAAAAAAGTAAGGCTAAAGGCTTAGAAAAAACGACGATTTTTTTGGAAATTTTCTTATTCTAGAAACAGGTTCTTTTGCTTCTATATGATTTAAAAGTACCATAAATGAATTTAGATTCCATATGAAAGTCAACTTTTCGAAAAAATATGGACTTTTTTGAGGGGTCGGGTTTTGATAAAAAAGTAAGGCTATAGGCTTAGGAAAATCGACGATTTTTTTGGAAATTTTTTTCTTCGAGAAACAGGTTCTTTTGCTTCTATATGATCTAAAAGTACTAAAAATGAATTTAGATTCGATATGAACGTCAATTTTTCGAAAAAATATGGATTTTTTGTGGGGTCGGGTATTGTTATACAACTAGTTTTGTCTGTCGTGTATCATGTTTGTGGTTCGTTATTGTTAATGAGAATGTCTTTCGATGTTTGCGTCAGTCATTTTGTTTGTCATCGTGCCATCTCTATTTTAGTTGTTATTTGTCCATTTTTATTAGTCCATTTGCCGTTAATTTGTGTCATTAGGGTTTTGTGTGCGTCACTCATGTTGTTAAAAGCGTATGTTCTTTGAGTGCAAGTCCAGTCGAGTCGAAGTTGTCGTTGAAAGAAGTCGTTATGTTGTAATCGTTGGTTGCTGCTAATTTATACTTTCATTATTGAAGAATCTTGATTTAAAAAGCATTATTGCGAACTGGAGACTGGTTTTCGATCTTTATCTGCCCTGTAAAACTTAGTAGTTTTACATTGGTGACCACGACGTGACGAATTCG